AGTTCTCTCTAAATCACTCTCCCATCTCGCATCCCGGGTTACTTATTAAGTACACTATCATTTAACTACATACTCGACAGCTCTTCTTGATTGCATCTACTCGTTATTCGTTATTACCTAGTGTCGCCGCCTCCCACTTATTCGTTCGCCATAGTGGAATTTGCAAAACCGAGGCATACAGCACTAAAGGCTAGGGAGGTATCGCGAGGAGACCCTCATTAAAGAGTGAGGCTTGCCTCCAGGAGGAGTTGTGCATGTGCTCCTAGGTGATGGAGACGTTCAATGCACCTCAGCAATTCTGGGGGGTGCACGATTTAACTGAAGAAATTCGAATGTTAAAAGCTGCCTACTTTGAGCACGCTGAGCGTCTCACCCAACATTCTGAGAGAATTGGCCGGCTTGAGCAGCAACAGGATGACTCAAAAATTCGTTCCTTATGGAGCACACCTTCACCGTTTCCTCCTATGCTGAGTTCCGGCTCGTTTTCCCAACGTAGGCTTTCTTCTCAGGGTTCTCGCTTGCCCCCCCTCTCTTTTCTTCAAAGTCACTTTTGGTCCTCGATTAATCTGACACTGTAGTTGTTTTGGCAGAACCCGTCAATTCCGAACCTACTGACGACTTTAACGGCTTCGACGAAGAGAATTTGTTGGCAGATTTGCGATTGGATGACGTTGATGTACCGAGGAGAGGTGCCTCGCGAGCAAACAGCGTGCGCTTTGATAGTGCTATACAGAGTCACTGGATTCATGATTCTCAGAGCTCAAACGATTATTTCGGGCCTCGAAACAACAGCGGGATAGGAGGAGGTGGATATCCCATGACCGAGAGATCGTCATCCCACAAGTCCGACTACAAATCAGACGGAAGACAGAGCTCCATGCGTTCTTATGGTGACAACAGCTCCTTTTTTGAAGGTGATACTGGTGTGCATTTCCACCCACCTCCCCAAAACTTCGATATCTTAGACTGCGACGCACACCGACCTTCTGCACCTACCACTGGCCCAGCACCAGCAATTGTTCGCTGCTGGCTTGACACTGCCTCCTCATTTGACTCCTTACTATATGCCGTAGTTTGCACGGGTTCGGTTAAATCTTTGGTTGATGCTTCTCTGGTCACCAGGTTTGGATTACAGGACCAGATGGTCAAGGGGACGAATGGTGAATACAAAATCAGTCTGGCGATATATCTTCCTGATGCGACGATTCAGCAACCAACAAGGGGAAATGGCCAAACACAGCTACCAAAGCTAACAGTCCAATTTACTGTAGCTCCAAGTCGAAAGTCCAATCAGATGGAAAATGAGGTTGGAATCTTTCTAGGGAGTGATGTTCTGTCAGACCATATGGGGGACGTGTTGTTTTCACAAAGCCAGTTACTTTTATATGTAGATGATGGCCGGAAAATGTTTGTACCTTTTGCTCGCCCCGGTGCCCAAGCAGGAGTTTCGGATGTTTGCACAATACACATTGGCGACCAACTTTCAGAACATCAATTGGAAGAACAGCTTTCAATCGAAAGCCAAAAACAAGGATCTACTACCAGAGTTGGTTGTATGAATGAGTCTTCCAAAGGTGAAAGTTCTGAACTAGCTATGGAAGAACCTACAGTGGGAGGTCATATTCCAGTTTCATCGCCGAAGCCAGTTCGGGGCCGGAAAGCAGCAGTCATCAGCAGTGTTTCGCCACCCGAGTCATCTGAAACTCTTGAAGAACCGTCAAAGAGGGATAACCATAGAAGAAATAGTATACATCATTCTGGAGGAAATGTGTTCGAAAAGAAACGTGCCATGGGACATAAGGAGGAACTCACGGTGGAATTCGGATTTTCAAATGAGGCTGGAGCTTCTTCGAACGAAGAAGAGACCACAAAAGAGTCTCGATATACCGACCGTAGAGCTAAGAGCGATGGGGAGGGTAGCTTTTGGAATGCTGACAGTATCAAATCTGGCGGGGCCGGGTCAGGAAACGGGAATGCAAAGGGTGCTGTGGGGGTCTGGGAATCATGGAGGAAGGGCCAGATGACGCAAAAAAAGGATTCTCAGGCACCCTCACGTGGGATGAAAGTTCTCCGTACATCAAAATCTTCGTCCCTGTCCGATGCAAGAGCAAGTCACCAATCAGAGGGTAGTGGTGTTGTGGCGGACGAACCTGATCCCGCAAATCCAACTACAGCACATACCCCCCAAGGGTTTGCCAGAATCGACTCCTCACTTAGTGCCAATGGTACCAGCACGGGAGAGAAGACACATGTTCGATCCCAACGCCGAACAAGCTCGGCAGAGGTTCAATCATCGTTCTCTATGGGAAACCCTGCCTTAATTCCAAAGCCCAAGTCAACGAACGTAATTGGAGGTGCTTCAGCGTTTCACTGGATGGCATCAAAAAGCTCGACATCGGCTGTTGAGTAGATGATAGAGGGAAAGACGAATCAAGCATACATTAGAAGTACTGGAGTAAATCCCTTTACAGCCATTTAAGGAGTGGTGGATTCGAATGTTTTATTGGGGGATGCAGCGCGCTCTGACTTCAGATTGCTTAAGCTTTTATGGATTTCATCGAGGCACTGCCCGCATGACCTTGAGGATTATTGAAATAAACTTATGTTTTACTATTTTTAATTCCTTGACCTGTTTCTCTACCGGATTATCTAGGTAAACAGATGGCTAAGGGGTTCGTCTGAGAAGGGCTCTGGCAGCGAGATCAACTTTTCAATTGGGGAAATAACGGTAATGTGTTACAGCAATTCTTACTAGCTGTCTTTGTCGTGGAACCAAAGATAAAACAAGCCGAGTCCTACCAACAATAGATATCGATGATTCCATTTCAGGCAATGTAAGGTATAACAAAATAGATAGAGAAACAAGCTATACTAATTACCAAAGCTACCTTCATACTTGTCACTGGTCAAACCGTTACAAGAGAGATTGAAGAGACATTGAGGTTGACTGTTTTGTATCTTTGACCACAGAAGCAATCTTTCGAAACCTAAATAGAGGGAAATTAGTCACAGCCATCGAAGCTTAAAGCGGTTTATTATCTGCTTTTGGCAATATAAAACTTACTCTTCAATGCTGGCATCACCCATAACTTCATATATCCAACTTTCACTACTCGTGATGATGGCGCCCTCCGCGCGCAATCTGGCTAGTGCCAGAGGCACTTCTTGTTTGTTACAGGAAGATACCCCATCGGCTAGTACGTAGACCTTATGCCCCAGCTTTAAGAGATCTGATTTGCAGGAGTTTCAATTTGTTGGTCCAGTAAGCGGGATTATCTTATTAGAAAGAACGCACCTAGAGTTGTTTGGGTCACACAGATATGACTTTCGATACCAACAATGGCTATGGAGTGAGGAGCATGTGACAATGCCGATTTAAGCTCTGGAATAGCCATAGAGAATAGGGTCTTATCCCAGTCGCCTTTTGCATGCTCGATGGAAAGCTCAGAGACAGTCTCTCCAAGGCGAGCTCTGTTCTGTGTAGTTACGTAGACAGGAATATCAAGGATTTTGGCTTTAGGGACATGCGCATGTTAGACAATCACTTTTTATGATGCTTTGCTTTGATTTTGGGTAGAATTACTCGCTTCAAGGAGCTTCTTAGCTGTAGCGACGCTGTAAGGTTGTCAGAACTACAGCAGCATTTAAGAATATATGAGCTCTCTTGATAGGATGCAGTACCAATGTTCAAACCCATAGATTGGCTGGCGAAATTTCTCTTGCATATCGCAAATGCTCCAGGTGAGACAGATGTTAACCTTTGCCCTATTGTTGGCGCATGGAATAATACTCACAGAACTGCTGGATTCTCTATAATACTCGGAGCTTGGTCAGTACATTCAATCCTGCGCCGGTATTACATGACTTGTATGGTAACTGCTTACGAAGTTTTCCTGCAACCACCATCGTGTCTGTATTTATGAAAGATATGTTTGTGGTGGGGGAAGAGGTTATTGATAGTACGTAGCCAAACTGAATCTAGGGAATGTGGGGTGGGCCCTGAGGAGGTGTTCGCTAATTTATCAAGCAAGTTATGCGGGGATACATCGGCTGCCGGACGTCCGGTTACTACTAGTCTTGTTGTGCCCAGCCTATTCTTCACACCGAGAGCGAAATATCATGAGTGGTATGTAAGGAATAAGTCCCCGGCTTTTATTCTCTGATCTGTACGAGTGTTTCTGAATGACTGCCATCCAAAAGTAGGTACAAGGCGAGGATGCTCAACGATATTGATATTACACATTAATTCTAATACCCACCACATGCTGGTCTACAAGCCGCCCTGGAGAGAAAAGGATGATATCAGAAGGACCATTACGTTAATGATGGACCACACAAATGGAATCCAAGTGCTCATGCGGAAAAATCCTTTTGACAGTTAGCATTGCACTGTGATGATTTCGTTTTCTGTGGATTTATACCTGCATTATAAACAGCCGCCAGTCTACAAGTTACCTTGGTGTCAGCATCTTTGTGGCATAAACACGGCAGTCTAGAGACCTTGAAACTTACATAAAACCCACTATTGTTCCTGACATTGCAGCTTCAATGCCTCCAAGTATGGCGTATAGGAATGGCACTCCAAAAGACAGTTTAGTCGGGTGCATCGCAAATGCCCAAATACCGGCTGCAAGGTGGAACGCGGCATAAACAATCAATGTCCAGAAAATCGTGAACCTCCATATATCTGTACTGTAGAAGAGATATGCTGTAGCCCCGGGTTTTGGGTTTATGGGCCAATATAGAGACGGGAATGGAGGCGTGTCGTAGCCCGGGGGAGCTATAGAACTCAGATGATAACTACATTAGAGCTTGTTAGTAGGGGGGAGGGGTAGCACTGCAAAAAGATTCAACTGTAGGAGACGTACTTCCAGGAGACCATCGCGATCTCTATCTTTCTAGCTTCTTGTGCGTTTTCAGCCTCATCTGGGCAGGAAGCTCTTCATCTAGAGCACATCCGAGGTTCGATGAGGGTGCCTATGGAGCTTGTGTCACGGAACATGGTTCAATTCGTAATCCTTGGCAGAGGACGTCAACACGACACCTCCGACACCCCCGAGCTCTATTCTGCTACGCTTCAAACCCCCCAGACACGATTTATCACCATGGTAGTTGACAGGCGCCTCGATAATATTCTCCGGATCCTGCTACAGCCAGGCCAAGCAGATCCAAACAGCGCAGATGCTTCACGGTTCGTTGAACACCCCCCCCCCTTGCTTTCAGAACGCGAGCTAACTTCTTTGTCTAGTGTTTACGCCTCGGCAGCAACAGTACTCGCAACCTTAACCAATCCACTCAATGTTTCTTTACTCTCGACCCAGATATTGATTTCGCCTGCTATATGGGAGAATTTTGACGGGCTTAAGGCAGGCCTGCGGGTATTTGGGGTGTTTCAATCAGCGACTCTAGGAAAAATTGAGAATCAAGACTCCATATCTATATTGAGTGTCGAGGAATGGATTAATGCTATAGTTCGGGGGGCAAATAACAATGGTATTCTCAATTTCTTCTTGGAAATTGTCCTGCGCTAATAGTGGATAGTTCCCAGGTGGAAGCATCTGTTATTGCTGGGGGGTATTCTTTCAGCAGATCAGGAGAGATCCCATTTGCCTCGGGTAACTCGGCGAAGCTTAGAGGAAGCTTTTTGTAGAGCTGTAAATCTTTCGGTAGAAACAAACGAAACAAATGGTATTTGCCGTAATTCAAAACATTTGGATTTTACTAATTTCGGTTAGAGCTTGAGGCAGACACTTTAAGTCTTATATTATCACATGCGATGCAAAGCCTCTCGAGAAAGGCGAAAGAGGTCATTAATTACGATGTAAGTTTTCTTAGTCCTATATAAAACATTATATCTAATTATTCAAAGGCTCTTCTCCCGGTGGTTATTAAATCAATATACTATTCTCGGGAAGGCTTTCAATCGGGCTATTTTCTTTCGACCATTGACCATGATATCATGAATTTTGAAGGCAAACTTGCTTGGCCGGTACGTTGCAATAAGGTTTGCTAATCTTACTACTTGCTAAAAGTTATCTAGAGTAAATCCAACTCCTTTCTCGAACTCCAAAACCGGTCTGGTAGACCCATGTTTGCAGCCATGAGCGGCCTAGCTCGATTGGCAGCAGCTTCGATAAGGCACGCCCAAGAACCTGCCGTCTTACACGCTTTCTTGGAAAGGTAGATTGGTCTGGACATTATATAATACTGAAACGCAGACTAATAGCTCTCCAGTCTCCTCAATTTCTCCCATATTTTGACTGCGCAATGGAAAGTGAATGGGCTCAGCGAAATTCCAATGTCAGAAGAAGCAAACCTGGTTGACGAGGATTCACTAAAAGCAACAATTCCTGTTGTCTGGCAAATCTTGAAGTCTATACTTTTTGCATCAACCTTGATACTCCAAGAGTTGATGTCGCGGGTTGCCGAGTCACCGGCGTTGTGCGACTCCGAGAGTAGGTCTGACCTTGACTGCCCTCCAAAGCTGAATTTACTAATTTCAATAGATGGCCCTATGATAGCTTCTAAGGTATTGCACGTGTTGCGTGGATTTTACTTTATCACCTCAAGATTAGGCCCCAATGCCTTTTCTTCGTACAATTTTGTCTATTTTGCTGCTATCGACATCTTATCTTCTTACCCCGCTCAAGCAGAGGAGTTTGTCAAGGGGATTGTTCCTACAGAAGGTAAATACTACACATTGTTATGACACGCTTAACTAGCACTAACGTAACCTAGCCGGAAGTATTCCTAAGAAGCTACCAGACCGTATATTGGACCTTTTCTTTTTGAATACTGTTGAGCACTTTTCACTATCCATATCGCAATCGGTCAATGAAGAAATTGTCATACCTGCCACATCACCATACCTTGCAGGTGGGCTAGAAGCCAGCTTACATGCACACTTTGAAGCTGCCCACTCTGTCATGCTTTCCATTATTAGCTCACCATCTTCGGCAGAGCTGGGCTCTCGCATCCTGCCTTTCTACATCGAATCAGCGTTCGAGGCATTCCCGACATCTCTCTCGGCCCGACAGTTCCGTCTGGCGTTCGGTACAATCATTCGGGAATGCAGTCCACCGCAACCAATTTCGAAACTTCAACCGCATTTGACAGACGTAATTCTCGAGATTTTGTGCGATCGTGCAGCACGGGCTTCGACCGAACCTTTGCCAAACCTGGTCGATGAAGGTGCGGTAGGATTGAGTGAAAAGGATGTGTGCATACTTGCACTGATTGACGGACTTCCATCAATGCAAGTTAATGCCATGGAACGATGGCTTGAACCTACAGCAGAGCTTCTGGATATGGTGGAGAACCCAGGAAGTAAGCTAAGGATTCGGGAGAGATTTTGGGACGTCTTGAGCAGCGAGCTTGATGTGGAGAGGGCAGAGGTTGCAGTCAAGTGGTGGACGATGGGAGGAAGGGAGAAGGTCCTTTTCGGAAAGGAGAAGCCAGAGGGCGTTGAAGGCATCAGGAGTATGCTGTAGAACATACACATGGGCAGCACTGGTGTTGGATTCCTTAAATCATATGTACGGTTTATGTATCAATATATATAGAAATTTCATTTGTGTTCCCGGGATATGCCATGCGGCTGCAATGCTGGCTCTGCGTACCCGTCCTGGTGTAGTACATGTAGTTATTAGTCAACTTTGTTATAATCTAGTTTTTTTTTTTTTTTTTTTTTTGAAAGAACGAAACGATACATATATACTTTTTACATTTCTATTTCCGTAACTACTGCGAAGGAGACAAAACCGTTGGTATCGTCCGCAGTCCGCTCTGCCCAGCCAATATCAGCTGGGCTGGAAATGATAAATACGCAGACCCACCTGCCAAGAACATTGTGTAACCCTGAACAAGCAACAAAAGCACACCCCTGTCACCTGTGACCTCCGTTCTCGAAGCACAAGGAGCAACCAGATACATAACTGCCACTTCCCACAACTCACCACCACCACCATCACCACCACCATTACAATCAACCACCATGTCCGAGCCCGACCGGTCCCCTTTCCCGCCTCGCTCCTCCTCCCGCGCCTACAACCCCCCCACACGCAGCAGCTACCCAGGCTCCCCCAACTTCGAGCCACCCTCCTACCTCTACCCCGGGCACCCCTTCGCCCTCGACGGCATCGCCCTCCGCGCCGGCGCCCTCGGCGCCGTCGCAGCAGGCAGCATCGCAGTCGCATGGCAGCTCCGCGCGTCATACTGGCAGCTCCCAATGTTCGCCGCGGCACTCGCCGTCTTCCACTTCTTTGAGTTCTGGACCACCGCGCGCTTCAACACAAGGAAGGCCGAAGTCAAATGTAACCCCCTCTTCCCCCCCCCCCCCCCCCCAAAACCCACCCCTTCTAGCAGCAACGCTAACGCCCCGCCCGCCCAACAACAGCATTCCTACTCACCAGCAACGGCGCCGCCTGGAACACCGCCCACGCCTCCGCGTTCGCCGAGGCCCTCCTCGAGGCCGTCTTCTTCCCGCAGCTCAAGATGCACCGGCTCCCCACGCTGCTCGGCGTGCTCTTCATGGTCGTCGGCCAGCTCGCGCGCTCGTACGCGATGGCCCACGCGGGGACAAACTTCACGCATCTGGTCGCGCTGAACCATGAGCAGGGGCATGTGCTCGTCACGGACGGCATCTACGCGTGGCTGCGCCACCCGTCGTATTTTGGCTTCTTCTGGTGGGGCATTGGCACGCAGTTGATGCTCGGCAACCCGCTGTGTGGGCTCGCGTATTGCGCGGTGTTGTGGAGGTTCTTTAGCTGCAGGATTGAGGCGGAGGAGAGGCTGTTGGTGGGCTTCTTTGGGGATGAGTATGTGAGGTATAAGCAGAGGACCAGGACGTGGATCCCGTTTATAGGGTAGAGGAGGGGCGTTTTTTTCTCGTTTCTTGTCTTTTGGGCGTGCGGGGGACTGTACCCCCATCTAGATGCTTGTCACGGAGTGGGTGGGTGGGGGATGGTTAGAGTATGTAGTGCAAACTATTTATTAATATATAGTACTAGTTTCTATGCTTTTTAGAACCAATTGCCTCTACGTAGAATGATTTCTTATAGCAACCACGAGACATAACCCATTCCCTTATCCCCACAAACTAGCACTGATATTCAATGAGTGACACGCCATGACCTCCCTACCCACCCCCACGAACCAAAACACCCCCAAACAGCAAAAAGACCACCCACAGACGTACGCCCTTACCCAAAGCCCGACCAAGCCCTCACCAACCCTCCCGAAACACATCCCCTCACAGCATCCCCGCCATCCCGCCCCACGCCGCAAACGAGTGACACACCATGACTCCCCCGTTCCACCCAACCCCCCCCCCCCGCCGGGTTCCCACCCACCCAGCCCACCCCGTCCGCCCTAAACCACATCACACGAGATCTAACCAGAAGCAGGCAAAACACAGCAGCAAACAAATATAAATAAAAAAACGCCACCAATCTTATCTTTTTTTTTTTTTCATCTGACTAACAGACCACGCATATATAGGCTACATAGAAACTGAGAGGTCTGTTCCTATAACTTTAACTTTTTTTTTTTTTGTATGTGTGTATGTTTGGTGTGTGGGGGGGGGGAATCATTACCGGCTGCAATTGAAAAAAAGGAAACGGGGAAAGAGATAATAGAGAGAAACCCTGAACACCGGACCGACCTGACTAACGCGGACTAACCGACTAACGCGGACTAACTGCTCTCTCTGGTGGGAGGAGCGGGGGGGGGGGAGAGGAGAGGGGAGGGGGGAGTCGATGTGAAACGCGGATGGAAAGTGAAAAAAATCAAAAACTAGAAATCAAAAACGGCCACGCGGGGGATACTTAACGAGACGGTTGAAAAACAGAGAAAAACAGAGAGAAGAATAGAAAAACAGAAAAAAACAGCAAGACTCGATATCGACCTATCGAACTCCCGAAAACTTTTGAAACTCCCCCCTCCCCCTCCCCGCCCCCGGCCCCCACACCCACCCACCACCCACCACCCACTGCCTCCTACCTCCTAACCTTCTTACTCGCCTCGCCCCTGTCCAGATCCGCCACGACCGCCGCACGCGCCTTCCACGCCTTCCTCACCTCCGCCTGCACCGCCACCAGCTCCTCGCGGCTCACCGCATCCCTCACGCTCTCCATCACGCTGTCCACCGTCGATATATGGTTCCCATGCTTCTTATCCTTTCTGAAGCGCATGTACCGCCAGCGGCCCTCCTTGTCCATCGCGCACTCGACAATCGCGTCGTCCAGCGGCACGCCCATGCCCTTGAGCCCCTCCCACTCCTCCTCGGTGACATGCATCTGCGCCCACTTCTTGTACACGTCCTCGCCCATGAACACGCTCAGGTGGAATGTCGGCATTGCGTGGTAGTCGTGCTCGGGCGTGCTCTCGCGCGAGGAGGACGGCGACGACGGGAGCAGCGGGAACTCGAGGTTGAGGCGGAAGTCGATGCTGTTTTCGAGCGCGGGCTTCCACTTGATGATGTGCGGGTCGGTGCCGAATTTGTAGGGCGTGGTGCGGCAGGTGAAGATCAGCCCGTCGTTGCCGTGCGGCAGCTTGGGCAGCACGGACTCGAACATCCATTGGATGCTGTAGCTGAACTCCATCTTTTTGAACTCGATCTGGAAGGGGAAGAATTGCACTTCGTCGCGGAAGGCTTTGCAGAGGTTCTTGTACGGCTTGTAGATGCGCTCCATGACGTACTGCACACAGACACACATAGTTCAATTAGCACCTCCTCACACCCCCACTAGCCCACGGGAAAGCAACGAAAAAGTGTCCAACTCACGCCCAACCGCTTATCCAGCATGCGGTGCATCATGCGCTGATTATCCAGCATGAGGCAATCAAACACCAAGAAGCGCAGGAGCTTCTTTCCCTCGCCCACGTCGTCCAGCACCAGCTCCCCGTCGATCAAGGTCTCCGTGTGGAAGCCGCGGAACGTGTCGTCGCCCGGCAGCGGGAAGTGCAGGTTGCGCACCCAGTAGTAGTCGTTCTTGCGGTCAATCAGGTAGTGCACCTCCTGGTCGCCGTCGCGCGTAAAGTACAGCAGGCAGCGGATGCCGTCGCTCTTCTCGCACAGGTAGTAGCTGTTCCCCCCCCTGTTAGCTGCCGTAGTGGGGGTAGGGTAGGGTAGGGAGGGAGGGAATGTGGTTGGGGGGGGGGGAGTTACTCGGTGCGCTTGAGCTCCTCGAGGTGCTTGGCGGCGAAGGAGACGGGCTGCGCGCCGGGGAAGCCGCTGCTGGTGCGGCCGAGCATCTCGGCGACTTCTTTGCGCAGCATCTGCGCGAGCTTGTGGTCCGCTTTGATGCCCGGTATGTCGGGGACGGAGGACTCTGGGGCGGCGGTGGGCGGGGGCGCGCTGGATTCGGGCGCGGGGGGGGACGGGGGGGAGGGCGAGGATGAGTCGGTGGCGGCGTGGGGGGTGTTGATGCTCTCGGTGGGGCAGGACATGGTGGGCGTGGGAGGTGGAGGTGGGCGTGGGAGGTGGAGGTGGGCGTGGGAGGTGGAGGTGGAGGTGGAGGTGGAGGTGAGGGTAAGGCGCGAGATGGAGGTTATGGGCGGTGTGGTGGGTGGTGGGTGGTGGGTGGTGGTGGGTTGGAGTGGTGGGTTGGAGGTAGAGCTTCGGCGTCGGCGGGCTGTCTGTCGCGGGGTGGGAGTTGTGAGGTTGGACACGTGCGGGCTGGTGGGTTGGGTTGTGAGTGTTGAGAGTTGGGAGTTGAGTGTCGAGTGTCTCGTCTCGTCTCGAGTTTGGTTGCAGTGCTTGTATTGTGTGTAGTTTTAGTTTGTGCCTGAGCTGAGCACTGCTAAGTAAGAGAGTAAAACTAACAACTGCCTTGCCAGTGAACGGCGGCAAGGCCCCCAATAAATACCACATCCTTCCGCTCTCTCTCCAGTCGATCAGTTCAATGCGCAGCAGTGTTGCATTCCAATTCCAAAGTGCAATTCTCTCCAAGATGCAGTTAATTCATCATCGGACCTAGGCCCTCCCCCCACACGACGGGATTGGCTGCGGGTAAATTGAATACATACTCTATCTCCCTGCTGGATTTCATACCTAGGTCTCAATAGCTACTTACATGTATATGAGCATTAATACTGCATCATGAAAATATATGGAAAGCCCATGTGAAATCAGCCTTCCTGCTGTACACCCACGACTCATCATCATCATCATCATGAAAGCTAGCTGAATCCTGCCCACCAACTACTGACTCGCCTTACGCACCCTATCTACGAGGGCAAAACATACCGAATTCTCATTGGCCAATGTCAACACCTGAATTGAATTGCGCAATGGCCGGCGCCGTGACAAGATCTGCGCGTGTGGACCTGTGGCTACGCTGCCCGAGCGATAAGGCTGCACTGTAGGTAGGGCTGCCCGTCTACGCTACGTAAATAGCTCATCCTCTCACATCATCCACGCTCGCCATCGAGACTCACCACCGATAGCTGGGATAGTTATAACCACCATTGACTGACTCACAGAACCAAGAACCACGGACGGAATCACGAAACTCACGACTCACTGCCCCATACATACATACTATACCAAACCATACCACGGACTTTAATTAGACCCCCCCCCAATTGCACTCCCAATTGCACCTCAACTACACTCACAATCCCCACCCACAACCACACCCAGTACAATGCCGCCCAAAATCACCCTCCCCAAGCCCCCCAAACCCACCGGCCCCCCCAAGCCAAAACGCCCTCTGCAGAACTTCGCCGCCGACTCCTCGTCCGACTCCGACTCCGACACCCCCACCGCCTCCAGCGCCTTCTCCAAATCCAAACCCAAACCCAAATCCGCCGCCTCAAAAGACAAAGCCCGCGTCAACGCCCAACTCGCCGCCACCCCCTCCTCCACCACCACCGCCCCCCCGGCAGACCTCGACCCCACCATCTACGACTACGACACCGCCTGGGACTCCATGTCCACGCTACGCACGCAGGCCGCCGCGCCGTCGGCCGCCGACGCCGCGCGGCAGCCAAAATACATGGCGTCACTGCTGTCGGCGGCCGAGGTGCGCAAGCGCGACGCGCTGGTCGCGAAGGAGCGCGCGCTGGCGAAGGAGCGCGAGGCCGAGGGCGCCGAGTATGATGGCAAGGAGACGTTCGTTACGGACGCGTATCGGCGGCAGCGGGCGGAGGTGGCGGAGGAGGCGGCGCGGGAGCGGGAGCGGGAGGAGCGGGAGGAGAGGAGGCGGAAGGAGGGTGCGGGGGGAGGTGCGGGGTTTTGGAGGGGCGTGTTGGAGAGGGGGGAGGAGCGGCATGGGGCGCTGGTGGAGGCTGCGGTGAAGGGGGTGGTGGGGGGGAAGAAGGGGGGGGAGAAGGAGGGGGAGGGGGAGAAGGAGAAGGTGAAGGAGAAAGGCGAGGCGGAGCTGGCGAGGGAGAGGGGGGTCGAGGTGAATGAGGAGGGGGTGGTGGTGGATAAGACACAGCTGCTGGAGGGGGGGCTGAACGTGAGTGCGAAGCCGCGGGGTGTTGCGGCGGTGGTTGCGGCGGCGCGCGGGGGGGAGAGGAAGCAGGCGTGGCAGGGGGTTGGCGGGAGGAGGGAGGACGCGAGGGCGAGGCAGAGCAGGATGGTGGAGGAGCAGCTGGCAGCCGCGCAGAAGAGGGCGTTGGAGGCGGGAGAGGAGGAGAGGAAGAATCTGGAGAGGGCTGCGAAGAGTCGTAAGACGGAGGGGGAGGTCATGGGTGCCAGGGAGAGGTACCTGCAGAGGAAGAGGGAGGCGGAGGAGAAGAAGAAGGCGGGGGCCACGTAGAGGTGGGGTTGTAGATAGGTAGATACATGTAGGTAGATAGTTTGGCTTAGCTTTTCCTTTTTAATAATGCATTGGGTCTGGGGTTCTTCTTCTGCTGGTGCTTGATAGAAAGAATCAACATAAACAATTATATGAATCTAAATACATCTTGCATACAATAGATGCCATCCAGCTGTGTATAAGAGAACTCATATTTTTATTCCCACTTTCTCTAACTGATAAAAGTGCGGACACAAAAAGATAAATTTGTCTAAAAAAAAGTTCCAAAAAACTATTTACAGCACAAGTTCGACACAAAATAACTTTTGGCCCCCCCAAAACGTGTTTCAGCTTCGAGTGTGATCCCCTGTTGCGCAGTGACTGTTACGCATCTCGAGTACCCCACGAATGCCTCAAGAGCGGGCATAGGCTACACAGCTTCTCTCCAGCTGCCACGAAGATAACAGAATACTCGGGGGGAAATAATCAAAATAGTAAATCAGCATCATAGAACATATTGTATGTGGCTTATGAGCTACTAGGGCGGGCATAGGCGCTCATAGAATATCACTCGACCGCCTGCGCACTCCCCCCAGCCTGTCCGCATCCCCGCCGAGAAAGGCAAGTGACCGTAACACCCTCGAGGCCACTTCCTCTCTTCCCCCTCGTCTTCTTCCTCTCTTCCCCCTCTTCTTCTTCCTCTCTTCCCCCTCTTCTTCTTCCTCTCTTCTTCTTCCTTCATCCTTCATCCTTCATCAGTGAGAATAATCATCTTCATTCCGCTTCCTTCATCAAATATCAAGTCATCTCTATAACGATCTTCCCCTCTCGCATTTATCTCTCGTCATGGCCTACACCCGCTCCAAGAAAGCCCCCAAGAAGGCCAAAACCCGTGCTCGCAAACTTGCACTCGCCGGCTCAGCTAAACCCAGAGCCAGGCCGTCTGCTGCAAAGCGTTCTACCCCCACCACGAACACCACTCCCACTCCTACCCCCACCCCCGCTGAAGTCCACAGCGATACCGACGAGGATCTTCTCGGTGCAGCAAATAGTATCGTCAGCGAGCTGGGTAAAATCACTCGAAGCCTCGAAAAACCTAAAGCGAGCTTCTGGAAAAAGCACGGAAGTAACCTCGCTGTGGTCATCAGAAGGGTTCCCAGCTTCGATCCCTCCAGATACCAGCGTGTCGAAGACGAGGACGAAGACGTCTCGATGGATAACACCGCTACTACCCCTCCTTCCTCGTACAAGAAGGTTCGCTTCGACAGGCAGGTCGAAGAGATTGGTAGCTCTGGTGGTATGAGCGGCATTCTCACTGCGGCCAAGTTCGGTGATTCGGAGGACGAGGAGTCTAGTTCCAGCGACGAGACCGACGAAGCCGAGCTCAGTGAGGATGAGCTCTCCGAGTCGGTCCGTCGGATTACTAGAAGTCGGGGGCCTATTAAACCCAAAAACCACGGCTTTGCAGTGGTCATCAAGAAGTCCCCGGCTTTGACAGCGCCCGTCACCCCGACTCCTGCTGCTTCTGGAGTTCCGAGGGTTACGAGACATGCTACGACCACTCGTCATCAGTTCCGCCTTGCTGTCACTGGGAACCCTGCTGCTGTTCCGTCGTCGACGACTACAAGCGAGGCCGTCAGTGTCAGGTCTTTGATTCATTCCCGCATCGACGATAAGTATGCTGCGTCTAGAACTCGTGCTACTGCTGCTACCATTGCTGCAAACCGTCCTGCGTCCAAGGCCTCGAATGCAAAGAATGTTTCGACTTTCGCTACTGGTGTCGTTCAGAAGAACACTCGTGGAGCCACCATCAAGAGGACCAGCGGCCGCATCGCTGTTAAGGCTTCTAAGGCTAAAATCGTCGACGTGGATGATGACGACGAGGAGGAAGACGACGAGAAGGAGTCTGAGGGGGAGTCTGAGGAGGAGGAGGAGTCTGACGAAGACGAGTAGTGGTTTCACTTTCGGTTTCTTTTCCCTTCTTTCTTTCTTTCGTACTTTGTTGCGGACCTGTCGTGTGTCTTGTCTTGTTGTCCGTACCTACGGAGACACCGGGTGATAAAAGTTGCTGCCGTTGGCGGAAACTCGCTGGATATCATTTCATTTTTTTGCTTTCTTTTTCCCTTCTATCAAATGTTGGCTCGCACGCAGCCAGTTAGTTGATACGCTATCTGTCTCTGTCTTACGGTTTACCATGGTCGGTCTGGGTGTTGTGGTCGGTTCTTTTACTTACTTTTACTTCTCTTGTCTCATTCCTCTTTCATACTATCTTTCTTTACTTTCTTTTTCTTCGTCGTTTCAGTCATGTCGATCATCAACTATGTACCGGCAAGTCGTGTCCTATCTACTAGATCTTAGAGGATTAGATTAGGAGAGTTAGTCAGTCAGTTAGGTCGTTTGGTTTGAATCAAGAGAAGTTTCGCTGTCTATCTATCGTATGGTGTTGTCGTGACTGTGATGTTTGTGCCGCCCACTCACGCCCATGGATGGTTTGGCCGTTTGTTCGTAGGTAGGTAGGAGGAGGTGTCGAGTGATGTCGTGTGTCGCCGATGTGGATGCCCGCGGAGACATGCCCGCGGAACTGATGCCCGCAGATGGCAGGCCTTGGCATGGTAGTGGTTATGGACCCACTACACACATATATCCATAACCGCCATGCTACTAACCTTCGAAATGCGATATATTCGATTATATAGTGGTTTATATGGAAAAGTGCTATCTACGCCTAGGTGGTCCCATCTACAATCACATGCACTTGCAGAATCTACGATAACACAAATAGCCTCCCCCCCCCACTTTCCCCACCACTTTCTCACCCCGCATTATACCCTTATTTCCAGTCTCCATATCGTAATTACACTAAGTAGGCTTGAAGCAGCCAGCTACAGTAAAATAGCTAAATTACACAACCCATAGAAGGAATTATAGTACTGGTTTTACTAAGCCTACCAGCCCTGTCCGGTAAAGCTAACCCCCCTATAATAGAGGAATTAAATTCGTATGGGAGATTTATTATTTGATAAGAGAGATAACAAGATCCCTTTATAGTAAAGCCACGCAAAATTTGCTTTTTTTTTTTTGGGGGGGGGGGGGGGGGTCAGCATTTCACTGACGCACGGTGGGATATAATGGCTTTTCTCTTCTGCTTTTTGAAGGTTTAGATAGCTATGGACTTACAGATTGTGAGTACCTACTCCAGGCCTACACCCCAAAACCATGAAAGGCGATTTATTGGTACCTGAAGCCCGAACAAATGGTTTTCCCGTCAAGCCATTGACCGCCAGGGGACCGGCACCATAATAACCCTATCACATTCCCGGAAATAGAATGACATCGTGGTTATATCTCATCGTGGTTGCATCGCCGCGCGTGCGGGCGGATACGTGCGGGCATGCATGCGGTCAAGCAACGGGAACGAATGGCCGCGTCATGGTGTATCACTCGCTACAATTATGAGCGGGGAAGGGCGTTTTGTTGATATATAGTGCTGGCTTCTTGGTAATAGCCCTCTACCGGAAGCTATACGCACCAGATCTGTCTTGTAACTTCTTGGGAGCGGGGGGTAGGAGGGTGTCTTGATGCTGTGTTCCAGGGTTGCGATGGTGGGGGCCGGCAGGCAGAGGGATCTTACTAGAAGGGCCGAAAACCATACCGCTAAATCTCGAGTCATTCGAAGGCACAGAATCGAAGACCTATCCTAGCAATGGGTCATTTCACGGGACGATGCGTTTTTAAGGCAACCTATCGAGTCGCATCTCGAAAGATACCTCGTCTTGGCGCTATAGGGTTAGGTATATACTAAGCAGACCCAAAGTCGAAAAATAGCCAACAAAGCCACTGCACAGCGTGCCGTGAAGAAAAATATCCGTAACTACATGTATGTAGGTACATAGCAGAAATGATCTTAGGTATCTCCATCTCCCGAAGAGCTGTGAATCCGGAGATTCCCATCCTCATTGAAATTACCCCACCATCCCACCGGCAACACCCCACCGCGTATCCCTCATCACGGCACATCCCACCCAGCCAGTTGCGTCACACGCAACAATAATTTTTCCCCCAACCCAACTACATAACTCTATCTCAACGTCACCGTCCCACCTGCGCAATTGATTAAACCAACCAATTAATTGCACTCTCAGCAACCCGGCCCCTGGATTAATTCACGTATCCTACACAAACAGAAAGAAACAATGGCTGGCCTCGGCGGTGCTTTCGGCCTCGGCCCGGGCGCGAGTAAGGATGAGCGCAAGCATGTATGCACCTCCTAGCCTCCAGACCCAACCGGCCCAGCTTGGGGAGATAGAGGGAGAGACTGATTTGGATGATTTGGGCGCGGCGGTAGGCATTGATGCAGACGATCCAGCACGAGACAAATGTCGAGAACGCCCGCATGCTCATCGAGGTACACCCCCCCCCCCCACACACACACACACACACAAGAGAGAGAGAGAGTGAGGGAGAAGGGGCTAACGGGGATGTGCAATGCAGAAAATCAACGAAAAGTGCTTCGAGAAGTGCATTCCCAAGCCGGGAAGCAGCCTGTCGTCGGGCGAGAGCCTGTGCCTGACGAACTGCATGCAGAAGTACATGGCGGCGTGGAACGCGGTGTCGGCGGCGTATATTACGAGGATCAAGTCGGATCCGGCGCTATAGAAAAATGCTTTCTACTACTATTTACTAGACTGGGCGCGGCGGCGGGAAAAAGTTAGAAATGGGGGGTCATTTGTATAGTATTTTGGGCGGCAATTGAGGGCATGGAGGTTTGAAGGTTGTGTGGACTGGGTGAGAGTGATGGATCGTGAAACTACGACTGGGACTATACGGGCGTTGGACACCCCTGTTTAATGATGCCTACCGCCGGTGACACCGGCCCTGGCTGGGCCCGTTATTGAAAGCGCATCTACTCGCGAATCTCAGTTTCAAAAAAAGCAGCTTGATGCCCGTCCATCCATTGGCCCATCCACAGAGGTGCTCATGTCCGAGAATTCACAGCAATACACCAGCTCTATATTATTAGAATGGCATAGTAACAAGAGCCCATACTGGGCCCGCGATAGTGAATACCGGAACGTAAACCCCGGGGATCACTCCCATTGAAAGCAAAAGACACCTACATAGTAAAAGCAAGGACGCCCAGCACGTGCACACCCCACCCCCAAACTAACCGCAAAACAAAAAACACCGTGTTCTGTCCCATTCGCAGGCGCTACCCTTTCACCGGACATTTTACTATAACGTACGCATAGAAGAAAAATGGAACAGTGACAGGGGTTGCCGAATTGTTAAAGTTGTAAGGTGTTAATACCCCGTCCCCCATATGCTCACATAGATTCATGATTCTGAGAGAATAAAAATAGGCCTATTGAGCAAATTTAAGTGGAATGATGTCGCGGGTTACCCTGTTCGGTAGATAGTACTTTCAAGAAGTTAGAAATCACGTTCTCAATCGACAGAAAAACTAAGAAAAATCTTTATATTTAACCTCTGATTGTACCTTATCCTCATATTCTTCTTTATTGATAATCGCGGTCACGGAGCAATTTCAGATTTTAATCCGAATTACTGATAACCATGGATCCTTCCACCAGCTGCATAATTCTTTCTTCTTTCTAATTCCAGTCATCTTATTTTGAAGCCGTGTGCATGTGTGCCTTTGTTTCATTAGGCACGGTAGTAGTACGGTTCCAGAATTGTAGGTACAAATGTCCGATGAATGGGATGCCTATATGGCAGACGTCTAGAATATCTAAAGTGTCCATCAGATAGGATACCCAATCGATGGACGTCCGGTGAATGGGTAGCATCCACAAATGGGACAGAACACACGCATAGAGAAAATTTAGCCAGCACGTACATACCCGTGGATACGAACACGATAATGTAACCAATAGGCTTAACGGATATGATATAATACAGTGTTATGTGTACGGGAGTTGGAGCAAAGCTGCATTTTGCTCTCTGTAGCAGACAATTTGCACCAAAATAACCCCTTACCCTAATTTCTCTATAAGGGTATAGCACCAAAAACCATCTCAAAGTCATAAGGGTATTCTTATAGCAAGAATACAGCACTTTGCCCTTAATTTACTATACAAAAAAAATGGGCCCCTACACCGCACTCCTTATAGGGCGATTATTCTTATAGGGGGTAACCTTATAGGGAGACCCGACTGTACTCGGGGCAGGCATGAAGAACCTGAACATCGTTTTTCTGGTAGCAACCACTTTGGCCCTGCTAGCGCGTTTTTATGTTCAGGTTCTTGTTACCTGCCCCGAGTACCGTTATTTCTGGGAAATAAGCCCATGGGCTTAAAGCAAAGTACTAGTAGAAAATTAAATTGATTGGCTTAAGTCACGGGAATATGCATGCATGATGCACCACGGTAACTAAACTTGCAGTACAACCGCCAGTGTCCATGCCCATTATCCAGAAACCGCTAACTCCTTGTAGAGTATATAAATAGTTTTATGTAGTCGTTCTATCTACTATCTATGAAAATACAGCTGATCGACTGCATGTCTGGCTACGATCACAACGAACCACTCGCCCACTCGCTCCCACGCCAAGCTCGGCTTTCAGACTCTCGGGGGCTGACGAGCTGTTTACTTATGAGGACTCGGGGGTTGAGAATGGACTGGAACTTAAGGCTGGCTCGCTGCCTGCCTGGTCAGCTGAATAATGGGCTGGAAGGTTGACTCACTGTATATACACGGATACCGACATAATAATAGTACCTTTCATCTTACCATAATCCCTGGAAAAAAGAGTTGAAACTAGAAAACCTGTTTGAAGATCATCGGTACGTGCCTACACACCAGGGTACAAACCCGCCTGTGTTAGTAACACAATTCGTATGTGTCGTGTTATCGTGCTAGTAACACAATCAAAATGTGCTATATAATGCATTAAAACATCGAAGTTTTGTGCAATTGCGTGCTGTGTCGAAATGTGCCAATAATGTGTCGAAAATGTGCTGGAACTGTGTCTATAGCACTGTTTCGATGTGTCAAAAATGTGTCCTTGACACATGTAAACCATTGTTATATTGTGTTTTTGACACTATATACTTATGTTTTTAACACTATAGACTTGTGTTACTAGCATAAAAATCGAAAAATGACTTTAGACAGAATTGAACATACAGCTAAAATGTGTTACTGAAGGACGAAAGGGAGGAAGAAAGAGCTTTTTTATAGCCTTGTGGCCAGCCCGTGCGTGTGGTCAGTCTGCAGACCTACCGTTATTCCTCTTAATTACGGTCGAGGAAAAAGCGTGTATCTGCACGAACCCGCAGTACAGCTTTGCAAAATTTTCAGCCGGCGGCATCAATCAGGAATTAGCAGCCTTTTGGGTATAAAACTTCACGGTACGTGCAGATACACGGGTTCGTTCGTGCAGATACACGCTTTTTCCTCGGCCGTAATTAAGAGGAATAACGGTAGGTCTGCAGACTGACCACACGCACGGGCTGGCCACAAGGCTATAAAAAAGCTCTTTCTTCCTCCCTTTCGTCCTTCAGGAACTGCAAAGTCCCTCAACATTTCCGAAGTCCTTAACAATTATAAGCCCCTCAACGATTTCCTCTAGCGATTATCAAGTCCTTCAATGATTTCCTTCAGCTATCACAAAATACCAAAGCTACTTAAATCAGCTACGCCTCAAGTAGAGCGTCCTTTCAAAAGTTTCTTGATCAAAGCTAGTTACAATTCGTAAGTAGTATCTCTCAAGCTCTCCCCGCCCCCCCCCCCCCCCCCCGCTCTGTTGACTGTACTGACATTTCTCAGCCCCTGGCAGTACTCTTCACCCACCCGCGAGCTGAGCGATTCTCCTTCTCATTACCTCCGTTGCCTCCTCTACCTCCGATGGGCCCCCCACCCGTACCCCCGCAGCCTCGACTACCTTCGCCGCATCCCCTACCTTCGCCGCATCCCCTACCTCCGCTGGATCACCCGCCGGCCTCTGCTGCCGCATCCCCACCGCCCTTGCTGCTACCTCACCGCGACCACAAACACCGCGGGCCTCAAAAAAGGGTTGCGAAGGTGGCAGCACGCGAATGTCCACTTCCAGCACACCAAACAAACGCCCCAGATCCAGCGCAGCTACCAGCGTATATAATCTCATGTAGTCTTGAAATATTGCTACCGTGCATGATGAGTTGGCGGTGGGGGATGTGTTCTGTGCGTGCTGAGTTAAGAGTTGAGAACTAGGAATCAGGAATTAGGAATCAGGAATTAGGAATCAGGAATTAGGAATCAGGAATTAGGAATCAGGAATTAGGAATTAGGAATTAGGAACTAGGAATTAGGAATTAGGAATTATATGCTGAATTGAACTATAGTGCTATGTGCTTGCCCGCCTGAGTCTTTATGAGCAATTAAGCAGATCGTCAACCTCCTCGCCCATCCCATCACCCAGCCCAAGCAAGCAAGCAAGCAAGCAAGCAAGCAAGCAAGCAAGCAAGCAAGCAAGCAAGCAAGCAGCGGCCCAACCCCCTCAATCGAAATTGTTGATATTACTGTGCGAGCCTAGGAGCAATGTCCTACTACTCATAGTAAGTGGTGTCAGTATATGTCAATATGTAGTCATATATAGAACTATTCTAGGCACAACATTTGTGTATAAATAGGGCCTTGATCTGCCCTCTGTATTATCGTTATATGCAAGTCAATTAAGAAAGCCAAGATCTTCCGCATTTATTATTATTTATTATTTATTTATTACAACAGAAAATGCCAGAGGTCGTGCCGAGTGATATTTCATGATTACGCTGGCTTGATTGATTGATTGGATTGATTGATAATTGGTCGAGGTCTGTGGTTTAGAGCTGGAGGGTCGTGGTGAAACTAACTGGAGCCTTCACCTCTGGTCGATCTGTGGTGTGTTGGCTCAGGTACGCGGCGCACTACAGGGCGCATCATGAGCTGTCACTCAGAACATCAGTGACTAGATGTGGGTGTGTGTTTCTGGTATTTTGGAGGTATTTGGCAACCGGGCGTTTGTTGTCAACCGTTGTTGTCGAGGAAAACCCCCATCAAGGCTCAAAATCAACAAAAGGGAACTTTTATAACCGCCCCCCCAAACAACCACGCCCAAAGTCATCCCACGGAAAGTGTGATTTAGTTAATTCCATATAGTTCAGAAGTAGATCTATCTTTCTATACAATAATCGTATCTTCCATGCTTTTAGAATCTTCACATTTTCCTGGCCCCAGGTCCCGCCCACATCACAGCTTAGAGACATGCTGAATTAATTCCGAGTACTTGAATGCCTTCTTTAGATACCTTACTACTCGTTGGCAATTTTGTCCATTTGGTGGTGGTTGACCAAACACCCCCGAATACAAGAAACACACCCATGCAACTTATTCGTTGGTGGCCGGATTAGTACCGCGTGAAAGTGTTTGTGTAATGGTAGGTTTCTGTGGGTCTGCTCTACATATGCCCTAGCTAGGGCCTGTGGCAGCAGGCCACTCGGTGGGGCCAACTGCTGAGAGCTCAATCACCTACAGTTTACAGAAAAGTCTATAAAAGCTACTTGTTATTGGTCATCTAGTTTATGTACCTCCCGAAAGCCCGTCAGCCCACCCACCCCCGCCTACTTCCTCGGCTTCCTCTCGCCCTTGCTCGCATTATTAAACTCCCTCATCACCAGCGAGCACTCAACCTCCTTACACAGCGCCCTCCTCCTGCCCTCCTCCAGCTTCTCCAAAAACGTCAGCCCACTCGCCCGCTCCACCACCTCCACGGGCACCTCAAACTCCGTCAACTTGACGCTATTCCCAATCACCGCATTCGGGAGCACAAACGCGCCCACCGCCACACTCCCGCCCGCCTTCCCATCCTCCGCCACAATCACCTTATAGAAGTGCGTGGGGACCGCCACATTCGGCGGGTCGCCCACGACCTCATACGACACGCGCCACTTGCCATCCGGGTGCTGGCGCGGCAGGTACAGCGGCCCCGTGACGATGCGCACGCTGGGGTAGTGCCCCGTGAGGCGGCGGCAGAAGTCCTCAAAGTGCGCCCAGTAGTCGCGGTTGAAGCCCTGGCCGACCTGCGGGCACATGTTGGTCAGGTAGAAGGTCTCGTCCATGGCGGCCTGGGAGAACTTTGCGTCGGCGGCGGGCGCCTGGTGGCCGCGGTCGTAGCCGGAGCGGAAGTAGTCTTTGAGGAGGGCGCGGAACTTTGGTGGGATGGACTCGTCTTCGAGGAATTTGCTGTTGCCGCGGTCGCCGTCGCGCGAGGAGAGGGATTCGGGGGTGATGTGTTCGGCGACCTGGAGGCGGGGTTAGTGTGTGGGTGGGGAGAAGGGGGGGGGGGGGGGGAGGGGGGAGGGGAGGGGGGAGGGGAGGGGTACCCAGTGCGGGTTCCGGGTGCGGCGGTCGTAGGAGGAGACGTAGAGCTTCCGTGTGGCTAGGTCTGCGACGGGGCCGGGGAAGCCTGGGATATCGCGTTAGCCACCAACGAGGCCTACAATACACGTGTGCACTGCATGCAGAAGAAGAAGCTCACTCACCATACTGGAACAGCCCGGTCGGGTCCACAAGGCTCGGGCCGCCCTCCTCAGGCTTCCGCCGCACCGGGTGCTTCGACGCAATACCGGCGGGCACTGCTGCGGGCACTGCTGCTGCTGCCTTAGGCTTCGTCCCCGAGAGGTAGAGGGCCGTGGCGGCAGCGCCGGTGGCGGCCGAGGCGGCGGCAATGATTCCGAGCGTGATTTTGGACATTGCGGCGTGGGTTGGTGAGGTTGTGGATGGTGGAGGGGATTTTGTGGGGGGGGGGGGGTGAGGGAAGGGGACTGTTGTGTTGCCCTTGCGGTATTGCCCCGCGCTTGGAAGGGGCTAGCCTGGCGCGTGACTGCATGTGTTCGTTATCGGTGTGGAGAGCACAGACAGACACATGTAAATGTGATCACCGTCGGGTATGACCCAGAAGCCAAACCACCCATGTACTCTCCATATTCGAAGATGGAGTGCATAGATCAAATCGATACAGCAGGTGAGATGGCAGAATCTAGAACCGAGAACTCAAGGCTGTTTGAGGAACACAGCGTTTCTGTTCTGTTCGGCTCTGGCTACTTGCCAGACATCGGATGCAGTAGCTTCATGCTCTTATCTGCTGTCTCAGCTGTCGACAGGACGGTAGAGCACATGTACTCTATCTGCCCTGCTCTAAGCGTTGTCGATTCCACCCGGGCCGCAGTCAGTCAGGGTGCGTGCAGCCCCACGATTGCCTGCCTACACACTTCTATGTAGACTGCAAATCTACCCATCCAGGTACCCACTCACTCAGTCAGTCAGTCACTGCGGCCCCCCTTCCTTCCTTCCCTCACGCTCACTCACTCACTCACTCACTCACTCAAGTCCGAGCACAACGTAAGGTACATGGACCCTACCTAGGTATCCAGAAGGGTGTCCACTGTCCATGCCAGGAAATTCAATGAAATGTAGTAGTACCTATGCAGTCATGCCGGCGTACTAGAGTATTCTACCTGCTTGCACATCTCCCTCCCCTTTATATAACCTGCTGGGTATCTATTTGTAAAGCTCCTACTCCTTCTCCTCCTCACCCTAGCTTTTTCCTCTTTCTCCCCACACACACGCCCACACACACACTTGTTCCCCCTGTACTCTATCTGGGTGGTTAGTTGAGCAGCGATCCGATCTGCGATAAACATCCTTGCGAAAACTTGTAATACTTGCTTGTTTGCGGGCAAAAGGAAAAGAAAGCAACACCACTTCTCGACACTCTGCTACACTACTCCACTACTACTCACCCCTTGATTGCTTTGTCCATTCCATCCTCAGAAAGCAGGCAAACCTCCGCTCCGGCCCATCCACCACCCAATCCCACCTCGAACCGTTCCTTTTTCCCACTCATGGCCTCCTCCGACGACAAAACCGGGTGGATTCTCGCCTGCGCGAGCGGGCTAGCCTGTGGTATGCTACTCCCCCTCCCCTCCCCTCCCGCTCCCGCGCAAACATGTGCAGCCGATCACTGACAGGGCCGTTGTGCATCATGTAGTTGTTGGCTCGTCGATAATCTGCCTGGACCTTATCACGCGGCAAGTTCCGCGCTGGAAGCACTTCAGTATCAGGGAGTCGACGACGTTCCTGTCGGCGTCGCTGTCGCTGTCGTTTGGTGTTATGGTGAGTGTGTTGCTTCATTCCTAGCTTTTCCTGGCTTCCTGGCTGTTACTTTTTTTCTTTGAACATTGGTGGAAGTGGAATACTAACAACTACATATCTACATGCAGTTCTACAGCGCCCTCTACGGCATGCTGCCCAAAGCCCACAGCTACTTCCTCGCCACCACATCCAGCACGACAGCCGCCTACGCCACAATCGGCTCCTTCCTCGCCGGCGTCGCCGGCCTCCAGATCGTCTCCGACACACTGCACCACCTGCTGCCCAGCAGCATCGTCAACTGCGAGGAACACGCCTCCGAGGCCAAGCCCAAACCGCTGCCGCTGCCGCTGCCGCCGCACGATCTCGAGTCGGGTGATGCCGCCGAAACGACGCCGCTGCTCACAGGGCCGCCAACGCTGGTGAGGAAGCCCAGTATCAAGCAGAAGCTGAGCGGCTTCGTCAAGTGCAGGGGCGACGGAACGTGCTACGGCTTTACAGACCACGTGTGTCAGCAGCGCTGCGACCCCGTGATGCTGCTCGCCTCCGACGGCGACGACCTGCTGCCCCCCCCGCCCGCACCTGCGCCGGCCCCCCCCGCTTCCAGCAGCACCCCCGCCCTCGCCACACCGCACCAGCACGCACACCTGCCGCCCCTCCCGCAGGGCACGCACTCGCACGCCCACATCTCGCCGGAAACGGACAAGCGCGGGCACCACCACGTCGCGAAAAACAAGTTCCTGAGCATCGGCGTGCAGACGTCGCTCGCCATCGCGCTGCACAAGATCCCCGAGGGCTTCATCACGTACGCCACCAACCATGCCAGCCCGGCGCTGGGCTTCAGCGTGTTCCTCGCCCTGTTCATCCATAACATCGCGGAGGGGTTCATTATGTCGCTGCCGCTGTTCCTGGCGCTGCGCAGCCGCGGGAAGGCGGTGCTGTGGGCGTCGGTGCTGGGGGGGCTGGCGCAGCCGCTGGGGGCCGGGTTGGCGGCCGTGGTGATGCGGGGGGGTAGGGGGGAGGGGGACGGGGAGGTGGGCGGCGTGGGGTATGGCGTGCTGTTTGCGAGTACGGCGGGGATTATGGCGAGTGTGGGCGTGACGCTGTTTAGTCAGGCGGTGGCGCTGAAGCATGGGAGTCGTGTGCCGTTTGTGTTTGGGTTTGTGGGCATGGGGCTGTTGGGCGTGAGCTTTGCGCTGACGGCGGAGCGTGAGTGAGGGGTGTGTGTGCGCGCGGGATGTGGGTGTACGATACGATACGATACCTTGTGGTGCAGGAATGTAGGCTAGGTTATTACATATCATTACGCATTTTTTTTTTTTACTATTTCGAGTATTTCGAATACTGTTAGTAAAGTGCATGCATAAAGCTCTGATGGTCGGGTCGGACGGACGGGGCGCCGTGGGGTCATGGTTTTTCTCTCTCTTTTTGTGTTTTTTTTTTTTTTTTTTTTCTTGTAACGTGTGTGTGGGTTACGGGTCTTCTGGTGTGGTTTGGTAAAAAGGGAGGGATGGAATATACATGTAGCTCTATCTATATTTACATAGTGCTTGCGGCGTTCAATACATGCTACAGCGTTGCTTGGAAGTCGAAAGTGGGCATGTATGCGTGTCCGTGTGTGTGTGCGAGTGATACCCTATGACCAACCGTAACACACCACCCAGTCCAACCCACCCATGGTCAGTCCAATCCGCCCGGCTGGCTTAAACTACATACAATGCTGAACTCGCAACCGCATTAATCACCCCCCCCCCCCCCCAAAAAAAAGCCCTCATACCGCGGGCGCGCATGTAGAGCACGAGTACTTTACCAGTATGCGTGGTAATAATCCGGGGTGGGCTTGGGCCCCCGGGGGGGGGGGGGGGGGGGGAGCAGCAGTGGTTGTGCGGTCGGCGGGTCGGTAGTGATATTGTAGTGCCAGGTAATGCTGCCATGAAAGCAAGTACATGTATCCGACATAGCCCGGATTGTGAGGTTCGAGTGATAACTCGTGATTGAAGTTACATGTGGTGGAATGGTGTGTGCCTTGCGGTCCGCTGGGGGTGAGAGTGCATGTAGTGGTCTATGGGGCGCGTTGGTGGTATGAGTGCGTGGGGTCGAGGTAGGAGGGGGGGGGGGGGACGTTGGCTTGAGATGGTGGGTGCCTTTGCGTGAGGGTGGAGGGCCGGGGATAGGGATCGTGCATCGGTTCTATGGACGTGGGTCTTGGTTTGGGGTCTTGAGGAGAGTCGGGGTGGGATCTATCTTATGCTTAGGGCTGGAGTATTGATGCGGTGATCTGTCCTTGGGGTTGGTTTGGAGCTGGGGGTTGATTGCTGACGCTCTGGCTTGGAGTCGCCCGGTGGATGAGGGAATCCACCCCGACCCTAGTTTATTGTTGTTATAAGAAGAGGGCGTGTTGTCATTATGATAGGTGGCTTGGATTGTATTTACTTAGAACGGAGAAGAGCGAGGCTTCTCCTGTTCTCATCATCATCTACACTTCGTCTTCATTGATTGCCATATGGGCCATAGCAACATTACTATGCCATCAACTACATGTACATGCATGTGCATACACTCTGTCGCTCGAGGCCTTGTTGTCTGGTCTCGCATTCTGAAACAAAGAGATCGTGGATGTTCTGATGCATAGAATAGCTACGAGTAAGCATACATGTAAATACCCTCGACTCTCGAAGACTGACCGACTGACTGATTACTAAATCACGGCTAGAGGTTTTCGGATCCACTTTCTTTGTGCATTGCCATATTATATAATAAGGATTGTCTGGCAACTGGACGGACTCTTTGTTGGCAAACACCCACGCACGACCCGGCACATATATCTCTTTGTTCCCCCGAGTCCCACCCCCCGACGCCAGATCCTATCTCGACATTGACATTTAAGCAGCCTGCCCTCCTGCATGGCGCGATGCCTCTCTCTCGAGTGGTAAAGATTTATGGCCCCCCCGCCTGCAACCCATAAATTTTAGACTACACACACTTTGACACCTCCATCATGCCGCCCGCCCCTGTCCCGCCCGCCCCTGTCCCGCCCGCCCTGGTCCCGCCTGCGCCTGCGCCAGTGCCGCCGCCGCCCCCACCGCCCCCACCGCCGCCACCGGTCTATCCAGCCATAGAAATGCCCTTCCCGTTGATGGTTCTCGGAGTACCACCGCCCCCGCCGCTCACAACGGGTATAATCCCGCCCTTGGTCGGCGGTCTACCCCCGCCCGCACCCATGCTCCCCGGCCCGATCCTGGCCCTTGCACTCGCAGCTGGCCAAACCAGCGCAACCGTGCACCTGCTCGACGCCCCCACCCGACTGGCGCTCCTCCAGGCCTGCAGAACCTTCGAGGAGCTCCTCGCCGTGCGCACGCATTGCCGCGAGCTCTTCGAAGTGTACGAGCTCAACTCCAGCGCGCTGCTCACGCTTATGACCGCACGCTACTTCGCCGCCCTCAGCGGTGTCCCCTCGACCGCCGCACTCGTCGAGCCCGCAAAGGAGATCCTGATCTACCAGCGCTACATCGTGCAGGGCGAGCTCTCGCGGGAGGGCCAGCGCGCGCTCACAGGCCTACTATATGACCGCCTCGTCACCAAGGACAGGAACAACGTCTGGATGCGCGCCATCGATGTCCGCCAGCTGAAGGAGAATAACTACTTCTATGAGCGCTTCAGCGTGTTCTACCACGACCAGCTGGCGCACGCCACGTACCCGTATGATGGCGACCCGCGGCACTGGGCCATACTGCAGGACGAGCGGCATCTCGATATTACCATGGTCCCGACCGTCGTCAGTGAAAGTCCGGGGCTGCAGTCGGTCGAGTTTGAGGTTGATGATGTGCTCACCATGACGGACTTTTATGCGGCGTGGCTGCTGACGTACCGCTTCAAGTATGAGAGCATCGCGACGTTTGCGAGGCGGACGCAGCCGATGACGCCCGCGAACTTGGGGAAGATCCACTTCATTGCGTTCCTGATGGACCAGTTCTATCTCTCGCAGATCCCGTTCAACAGGAAGTCGAGTGGCCGCTCCGGACCGCTGAATGCGAACCTGGGGGTGCAGCGGGCGGTTGTGAAGACGTCGGTGCTGACGGGGTGGCGGAATAGGTGTTTTATGGGTGTGTGGTACCCGCTGAAGATTGCGGAGGAGGGGTTCTTCAGCCTGGACTTTTCGAAGGGCGTCTGGGAGAAGATTATGGTGAACCGTCGGATGGTGGGGTGGGCGTTCTTCCAGCGGAATAATTGGGGCATCTTTACGGAGGTGAGGGGCGGGGGCCATCTGATGTACTGGAAGATGTTGGCGCATTTGGCAGATACGATGTGGCAGACGGCGGCGGTGGAGGAGCGCGAGGATAGGACGTGGGAGGAGGTGTTTTTAGATATAAAGATGGACTTTGATGAGGATTTTGGCGTGTTGGGGACGTTGGAGCTGGCGGCGAAGTATAACTTGGTGGATACTAATTAAAATGGCCGGCTGTATATATGTATTTAGAGAGGTTTCTGTTTTGTTAGCACTTGTGTGATCGTGTATTATCTTTGGTTTGAGCTCGATCTTTAGCGCTTGGTTTGCGTTATGGAATGTTATTGTAGTTTTCACTGCTTCATGCCAAAGCCAAAGAGTAAAGTATTGATTAGCACACCTCACCCACAAATAACTTGAGCAGAGAACGAGGAACAGGCCGACAAGAGCCCGGGAATGAGACTAGGAGTTCCGGCGCAGTATCGAAACCGCTTCCCCCCCCCCCCCCCCCCCCGTGCTTACAATTATATTAGTTCTCTAAAGGTGTTCGTACATCAGAATACATTCATTACACACATCTCTTTACTAGTATGATCTACGCTATCCACCTTAGTAGCTGTCAATTGACCGCTTTAATGTTTCCCGCGCAATATGCGTTGCGTCATGTGCTATCACTCGTCATCACAAAGTGCCTTCCCTTTTTGGCAACGAGGTATGATGCACGAAGCCACGGTAGGTGTTACTTATGCTCTTGCGCGGCGTTCCCATCATCATCATCGGCATGCCCACCTAGGAAGATGGGATTTTTTTTTTTTTTTTTTTTTTTTTTGGGGGGGGGGGGGGGGGTTCTTTCGATATTATATCGTGAATACATGCCACTAACCGCACCACCTCCACTTGATCATGAAACTCAAAGTATATATAGTACCGATATATTTCTCTCCCAACGCTCGTACAGATGCGTCCGCCCGTCCGTCCGTAGCTTAGCTCAGACCGTTTTTGGCGCAGTTGTGAGCATGCGGATGTGTTCTCCTCTGTGCTCACAACTGGCGGTTTTCTGCGGTTGGGTCATGGGCTATCATCACTCGAAAGGCCCGTGTGGCTTTCAAGGCCCTTTTTTGCGGCGAGATGTGGTACACGAGGCCATGGTGGGTGTTGCTTGTGCGTTTATATGCTTTCTTCGAGGCCGGGTTTCTGGTTCCATCGTCGGCATGCCGGGAAGATGGGTTTTTTTTTGTGGGGGGAGGGTCTTTCAGCGTCGGCGCTCTGGATCTGCTTGAGAACTATAACTCTTTCAAGCCCATGCAGCCCATTGTATGGGATCTGGAAAGTCTACTTTGTCTAGTGGTGAGAACGGAGTTCTACCGCTCTACTTTGAGTCTTGCAGCCAGGAAAGTACTGTTATCGTTCTGCTCTCTCGCTATATATAAGGTCGTAATTAAATCATAAATACATACACTAACCAAACAGACTGAATAGGTCTTAGCACCACCTCCAACCATCCTTCCACTTAATTATGAAACTACAAGTACCGGTATTTCTCTCCCAACGCTCATACAGATGCGTTCGAAACCCTCCACACCATCATCCCGTGATTTCACGGCCACAGTTCCCAACAGACTTGCTAGCTCGGGATTATGATGACAAGTCGTAAGCTCAAGTGGAGTCCTTCCTTCACCGTCCGTAGCTGTAACATCGACTCCTCGCTCAAGCATCAACGAGACTATTTCTAGAATTCTACCATTATTTATGTGGCGATCCAGAGATTGACGGCTACACGCCACATGGAGTGGTGTGTTTCCATTGTGATCGACTATTGACATGTCTGCGCCGTTGTCGAGGAGGAGTCGAGTAATCGCTAAATTGTAGCCCTCGGCGGAAAGATGGAGTGGGGTCTGTCCGTCGTCGTCGGCTGCGGACGTGTCGGCGCCTTTCTCGAGAAGTATTTTGGTTATCGCTTCTTTCCCTCTTCTCACAGCGATATGGAGAGGTGTTCGTCTGAATAGTCCGGCTTCTGAGGCATTGGCGCCTCGCTTGAGCAGTAATTCAGTGATTGCTACATTCCCTTTCCATACTGCCTCGTGAAGCGGTGGTATACCTCGATCTCCGAATTTTGACGTCTTGGCCCCTTTATCGAGAAGTAATCGGGTTGCTATTTCGTTCCCTTGCCTCACGGGTATCACAAGATCTACAGTCGCCTCGGCTCCTTTCTCAAGAAGGAGTCGGGTTATTGAATTCTCGTCTGCTCCCGATGACACGCAAAGAGGTGTTCGACCTAGATTATCGGCCACTTCCGGGTTTGCGCCTTTCTCGAGCAGTAGTTTGGTTATCGGTCTGTTGCCCAGTTCTACTGAGATATGGAGTGGCGTCTTTCCTTGTGGCCCGACTGTTAACACCCCTACTATGGTTTTCTTGATGGGCGTTGTTGATTCTCTCTGTGGATTCCTCGAGATGTGGGGTGTCTTGCCCCCCTCTCCACATATTGCTGATGCATCGGCGCCTCCCTTGAGGAGTATCTGTGTTATTGATTCGTTTTCTAGGGTTACGGAGAGATATAAAGGTGTCCGACCAAGATTGTCGGCTGCTGATATGCTGGCGCCCCTTTCAATGAGTAGTGATGTAATAGGCTCTTGTTTCCCAAGGACCGCTAAACTAAGGGGTGACAGCCCTTGTATACAAGCGGTAAACAGAGCACAGTCTCTTCTTGAGTACCAGAGATCGAAATCTGTAAATTCAAATGGGGTTTTTACAGTAGTGTTCCCGGAGCATCCCACAAGTACTGAATAATGAAGACAAGTTCTCCCCGAGGAATCTCTGTGCTCGATATCAGCTCCTCCATCGAGTAGCATTTGGACCACGAGCTTTGATCCCAATATAGTCGCAAGCTGCAACGGGCCGGTGCTGGTGGATTTCTGCGCGGGGCCGCGGGCTCGATGGATTACCCCCGAGGTATCTAGATACGACTGGACTACCTCCAAGGTATCTAGATACGACTGGATATTTCCGGGACTGGAAAGAAACCGAAAGAGGGTGTCTGCCAGCAGTGTCTCGTCGCAGCTGTAGACATGGGAATAGAATCGTGTTGCGGCATATTTTATGAAAGGATATGATTTTTCTCGAGCCAACCTCAATTGGGAAGAGTCGCAGGGCTTTGAGAATATATCGTAGGAAAGAAAGGTGGTGCACGCCATGGCAAGTCGGAATTCTGCATCCTCGGGGATGATCGATTTCCGGAGGAGGTATTCGTAAACTGTGAGGTGGACAAGGACAACTCTGTCCTCTTCGATTGCTGTAAACCCGCCACATACGTCGAGAAGCGTCTTCCGGTCCGGCAAAGAAAATTCTTCGAAAACAGTGCATTTCTCCTCAACAGATACAGCCAGTTGAAGCTCACGGACGCTTAACGTGGATCGAGACTTGACTATCCAGGTAAGAACTCTCATGGCCAATTCCACGCAATTTGGGGTTTGGGACCGGATGATATCGATAACCCTATCGTAGGTAGGGTCCATGGGGCTTTCCTTGTTGGAGGATTTGGAAAGGTTGTCGAGTTCCACCAGTATCTGCTTCACGGTGGCCTGTTGACACAGATATTTGATATGAAAAGACACTAATAAAAACCTAAACTCCCAGATTGTTAGCACCGGAACTAACGAGCTCTGCGCCTGCACTTCGACTCACATTCCATTGGCGCACTGTTGCAATTGTTCGATAATCTGGTCCTTACAGTTGCCTTGTGAGATCAGACGCCGTGCCCGTGGGTTTTCTTCTATCTTTTGCTCTATGTAGATCTTGATATCCTCATTTCTTGCCGAAAGCTCGACCTTTGGTGAGCTTTGGAAGGAGTCCTGAATATCCTCCGGATGTTCTCGACTAGTCAAGAACAATCTTATGCCGTCATTTTCCATTCTATGGAATAGAGGAAGTAAATCCTTTCGTTGAGTCTCGAAATCACACTCATCCAGCGCATCGCAGACGACGAAAGTCTGAGAAAAAGAGCTTGCGACGCGAATGAAAGCAGTATAGAGGTCATCGAGAGTGGGCCTTTCCTGCTTGCTATCCATTACATTGTGCAAGTCCCTGACTGCCTTTGGCAAGCTGGGACTTTGGCATGACAGCTGTTTCAGAAAACTAGAGAGGACATCGATAGGTTTTTGCTGGTCTTGTTCTTTGTGGTTGAAGTAGATATAAACCGAGGCCTGGTTTTGTGCCCGGAGGTGATCGATTATGAAAGAACTACAATATATATTTAGTTAGTACTGGTCCAGGGGCCTTTAAGTATGGTCGTTTTATGACCTTAGAAACGTCTTTCCAGCACCGGCTAAAACGGTGTGCACCATCAGTTTTTCCATATGAAAAAGAGTGGGGTTTCTGATAATAATACTTACGTATCCCGTACGCCCAAAGAAGCCGAGAGCCTGTGTTATCCGGGTCGAGCCAATCCTGCACCTTCTGTAATTCTAAGATCCATTTCCCAGTGTTCTTTTGTCTTCTCCCACTAATCTCTCTGTGTTTTTCATCATATGGACGAGGATATAGCCAGTTCAACACGTTTGTCCGATTTGAATCTATATTTATGTCAGATACCATGTAATTACCTTGCAGAGAGTTCTCGGCAAACTACTAATCTGCTGGGTTTTCATTTCGGAAGTATGCGAGTAGAGATCTCGTTTTATATCCTGCACGTTCTTATCAATCACTTTTGAGCATGCCCTTAACCCAGGTCAGCACATTTCTAAAAACCTTTGGTCCACACATGAAGCCCCTCCCAACAATACATCCAAACTCACCTATTCTCGACCGTCATAGCCAGCGTAAAATGGCTCTTCAGCCTCTCCATCTTCCAAACATAATCCAGAGTCTCCCTCTCCCCCAGCGGCCACTGCAACCTTCCCAAGGCCGCCCCCCACCAACCCCTCTTCGGCTCCAGCCTCTCCCTGACATCCTTCAACTCCTCCACGCATCTGCGCAGCTCCGTGCCAAGCCCCCACGAGTCTTCGATATCCGGGTTATCCAGCGCGAACATCTGCAGCCTCGACAGCACCGCAGTGAACGCTTTCAGCTCGTTCATGAAGCGCTGGAGCTCTGAGGGCGCGCGCGCGACGCCGCTAATGTACTTGTAACTCAGCTCGGCCACGGCCGCGGTGAGCTGGATGACCGCGATCACGCTGGCGGCGGTTCCTAGGAGTTCGGCCATTGATTGAGGTTTTGTTTGGTGATTCGACGAAGCAGCGGGAGGTAACGAGAACGATCGAGGCCGCTCTTAAGTACTTGCGGACATTTTGCGGAATTGATAATGGGGCTGGTGGGCGCGTGAGTTTATCCCCATGTTCTTCTGCTAAGTACTTTTTTTTTCTTCGTGTAGGACAAAGGCCGCAGCAGGTGCAGCCTGCGGGGTTGATTCAGATGCGTTAATACGAAGATGGGTTGCCGATTCTCTCATACCAGCTATAGCTTGCGGAGCTTCTACCGTAGCAATCCGTTCGGTAAAAGGCTCAAATTAACAAGCAGACTCCAATCACTGGGCTCATATATTGAAGAAATCGCACTAATAAACTGCCTCAACACCAGGTTAATCAGTAGGGGTTTCAATACTCATTGTTAGGTGTTTATGAAGAAGTGAACAATATCCCACACACCTGCGTGGTCGCCACAAGCCTACTTCCAGTGCATGCATGCACTCGAAGCATAGCCCTGCCCCCAGATCTGCTCGACACGCTGGTGTGTGCAAGGCTCTCCCTGCTCAGATAACTCGGCAGGGCTAAGTCAACTTGCCGGCTGTTTTTCTCCTACTGTGCCTATCTACCCCACCTACTCGTAATTTCCTAACATTTGTGGAACTGCTAATATCTACCGCAGTAATTCGTCTCAGCGGACGGTTACACAGACGTCGAAGTTGCCTTTTACAGCGCGTTTTCAAGACAAATGCCCAGATCAAGGAATTTCAACGTCAATCTGAGCGGTATTGTAATCCGTACAAAAACGCGTCAAGTCCATGGCAGTTCCTTTTACAAACGTCAGGAAAGTACAAATAAAGTAGAGCTACAGTGAGAGCTATACCTACTCAGTTGTATGCCTAACCCTTCACTCTAAATTTCAAGGTTTGGGATCGATCACTCGACGCAGGTGCCAACATGTAGCTATGTAGAGCTAGCCAATGATTCAGTCGAGGCAAAACACACTGCAACGAGCGTGCCATAGAACGGCCCGAGCTTCACTTTTAGCTGCATCTCGAGCCATCACTCGCAAGAAATTTTCACTTCATTCGCACACCGACCGACTACATACTTGCCGCCAGCTCTCAAAGCGCCAATCAAGTACCAAGTGCGCCAATACACACGCAAGACAAACATAGAAACGAACGGAACAGAGGTATCGGTAGATAAAAAAAGGGGCCCAAGTTATTGATTGAGGAATTGCGCTTTTTGTTCCCTTTTTTTCTTTTCTCCAAATCCAGAGATAAATCATTTCATAAAATCTGACAAACATACCAACACACCCGGGAGGAGGAAACAATACATAAGACAGAAAAAGAAAGATATAGTGCGGAAGAAGCAGGAAAAGAAAGAAAGAAAGAAAAAGCATATTTTAAACAAGCGGTTTTGGGGGGGGGGGGGGGGGGGGGGGTGGAATATTAAAAGCGGGAGCTTCTCTTTTGTGCCCTATAGGCGGTGTATCCAACGTATCCTCCAATAAGGACGACGACAAAGACAACGAACTTAAGGAAGAACCAGCCCCATCCTCCAGACTCTGTGGCCGGCTTCTCTGTAATCTTGTTGGGCCTGGTCGTTTGCGAGTTGGAAGCGGGACGGTTGGGGTTGATCGAGTAGAGGTTCTTGGACGCAATGGTAATGATGTCATGGTTATCTGTGCCGAATACCATTAGGCATGCTGAGCCATTAAAAAAAGACATGTAGAAAGTTAACTCACCACTAAGCTCTCCGCAGTGTGCTGTGAATCCAAGATATGCGATCTGCGGCAGAGTGACATTGTGGACGTTGAAGCAAGTAACCCACTGGTCCTCATTCTTGTACTGCAATTCGAGCTGGAGGTAGTTCTCCTGGAAATAGGTAAGTTTCCCCTTCGTGGGAATGACCGCGCCGCGCAGACCCCTAGCTGAGCATCCAGCCAACTCATTATCCTTGCCGTCGTTTTCATGGTTATACGAAGTTTCGCCGTCACCTAGAATTCGAAATGCCAATTAGAACCCGTAGCCACCCCACCCCCAACCCCAGTCAATGTATGAGGAGCTGCATACCAAGCATTGCCATGACGTAGGGGAAAATGATTCCTGGACGGTTGTTCTTGTAGGTATCAAAGAAGATACCCAATCCTTCAAACTTGTCAACTGAGCCAAATACAGGACCAGTCTGTGCGCGCTGCTTGGTTATCCACATGGCCATTCCATCGCCATAGAGGTTCCCGGCTCCGTGGATCTTGAATTCAAACTCAATCTACCCCAAAACAAAAACTCCCCGTCAGTCTCATCTCGCCGTCTTTGAAAGCCCTTCAAAAGATTGCCGTACCTCCCAGTTTGTAGCTGTCAAGGGAAGGCGCGACCACAGCCACCCGGACTGTGCCTGTCTGTCTGACGTCAAGCGAATATACCTACAGCAGCAAATCAGCATAACCACTCATCGCCCACAACCCCCACAGCAAAAACATATTTCGATTAACTTACTGGTCCGCACGAATGATTGTGTCCCCGCCCCAATCGAACCACCGACTCTGGAGTTCCGAGTCCAGGTACGGCTGTTACCCAGCGTCAATTTTCTAGAATCTTTCATTCTCTTTCTCACTCCGAGGCGAAACAAACCTGGTACAAGCTGTGTGTGCGCAGGGGAACGGTCTTGATGTCTTCGTCGTTTGAAGACTGTGCGGAAACCGACTGTACCTGCAGCGCTAGTAGACCGAGCAGGCCAGACACAACGCCCCTCGCCATGGTCGAGCTCCAGCTCGAGAGATGCATTGTCGCTTTTGCGGGGTCGGTAAATTATGTGCTGCTTATTACAGTCGAATGAGAGCGGTGAATGGAAAAAAGCCACGAAACGTTTACTATGGGCAAAGTGCTTAGGAGAAATAGAGAGAGCTGCAGTCGTCAGAGGGCGTGAGCAACAGATCCGCGAACTGTGGCCTCAAAATCGCCAAGCATATTGAACCCTTGCCCAGGGGCAAATTCCGGAGTATTATTACTAAGCATACGAAATATCACTCGACACCAGTCTTTGTCCGAAAGATAAACCTGCTAAGTGTACGCCAGAGATTTGGAACAAGCCTCTGTCACTCCATGACAGAATGAGAAATTTAAAGCACCTATCTTTACAAGCCCAAACTAGCAAGACTAGGAAAGTCTGACGCTTAATCCCGTTGCCGTGGCAAGCTCCATATTCTGTAAAAGAAGACGATAAAGCTGGCTTCCCCCAAATGCTAACACCACCACTACTACCATCACATCGCGACGCCGAATAACGTTAATGATAACAATAACCTCATATTAACTACATCATGAGGCTGGGGGCTAGATTGGTTGACAAGAACAGGGCTAGGTGTTCCCGTTTCGTCTTGGCACTGATTGTCTTATCTATCACTTGCAGGGAATATACCGCAAGGGCGAGTGGTCTACCGGTTAGACTGCTCGTCAGGTTAGACACCGAGTGTTTGTGCTCAGGACGACGGAAGGTTCTGGGTTCAAGCCAGGGGTGGGAGTAGTAGCTGGATTTAATCACCGGCTGCAGTACTTTTTGTTCATTTTATATACACACCCCCAAAAAAACAATGTATTAATTAAAAAATGATTTAAATAAAGGTATAGGCAAACTCAAACCATCATAAAAGCCACTCCCATCTAGGGTGATGCTAAGTTTGGGAGCCACTCGAAAGAGGTCGATACCACCAGCCCCCAAAACTACAAAACCTCCATCAAGGGGGTGAGTGTGGGGGCTAACCTGACCCCCCGTCCTCTATACCTCAGAAATTGGGTAGACAGATCCATACACTATCATAGTCACAGTGGTGGGCTTGGCGGTCACGGGCGGGCGTAAAACGCGAGTGATACGCTATGAATCAAAATTTCTATTGTCTTCTTTTTTTTATATATTAACCCGGCCTTACATCGTAACTACCCACCCACCAGCTGCAGCCCATTAGATTCCACCACGACTTTGACCTCTACACCCCATCCGCGCCAGACAGAAAAGAGAGACCGAGGAGATGATGGGAGAATACATGGGGACGGACATCAGGAGGTGGATAAAGAAAGGAGAGAATAAAAAAGAAGAGAATGAAACAGAAGAAAGGGGGAAGAAAGAAGAAGAAATCGAAGCAATTTCATTATCAGTAAACGTTATCCCTTCCACATAGCATGACCATTACTCATCGCGACGCACAATAAGCAAGAAAAAAGAAAAAAGAAGAAGCAGAAGACAGAAACCACAGCCAACAAACAGCAGAAACTATTTAAACTACATTGTATAAAAAAGAACAAAGCCGAGAGTAAAAAAAAAAAAAAAAAGAGGGAAGAGAAAATAAAAAGACAAATACTGACACATATGACCAACTCCTCCAAACCCAGGCAAAAAAAAAAAAAACCAAACTCCAAACAAACCCCACTCATTACCCATCAATCACCGATCACGCACTCCCACCACCGCCCAACAACAACTCCAACAAATCCACCCCACCAACATCCGGCCCCATCTGGCTCTGCGTAACGCCATTGAACCCCGCACCAACAATCGGATCAATCGGCAGCGCCAGCCAGTCCTCATACCCGCAGAAGAAGTTCGGATCATCCTGGACCTCCCCTCCCGCATATCCCTCATGCGTATAGTTAACACCTGGCTCATACACCATCCCCGTTGGCGTTGGAGGCGGTGGCATCCCCATACTCGGGTCCGCGTCCGGTGTGCGCGGAATCGTCATGTCAAGCTGGCTGGCCTTCAATGGCATGGTTGAGTAGGGCGGCACCGGGGTGCCAGCGCGGCTACGAGACATGCGCACGAAGCGGAGCTTAATCCGCTTTGTGAGCGTTTCGAGGAGGTCGGCGAAGCGCAGGCCGAGGTGGACGTCGTCGACGGAAGCATTGCGGAGGGCCAGCACCGTCTGGTCGATCAGCGTGATGGAGATGGCGACTTCTTCTTCGGGGGCGCCAAGGGCGAAGGTCTGCTGGTTGTCAGTAATGGGGCGGACGCGAGACGGGGGGTGAAGTCTTACTTTGAGTAGAAACATGCTTGCGCTGAGGATCCGGAGGTAGATCCGGACGGGTGCGTGTTTAAGGTACCCGCCGGGCAGCATCTTTTCTACTACGCAACGGAGCAGTGCCCGGCTTGCATCCACGACTTCATTGATGAACTCCATATCTTGGCTGCTCAGCTGCATCAATGCCGCAAAATTGTTGGACCCATTGCTATTGCCGTTCATTGCTGCTCCGTTCATATTGGCGGTACCATTCATGCCCTTGGTGTTGTAGTACGTGCACCGATCCACAACCGCCTGCAAGGCAAGAGAATTGATATAGAAGCGGACATGTTCATACTCCATTGTTAGAATATGCTGAATCGGCTCCGGGAGTCCCAACGCCTCAAATTCCCTCTTCCAATCCCTCAGCAGCGGCTGGAAGTGTTCTAGCAACGATACGTACTTGCCGCTACGCATGATACTCTTCGTTGCACTTCTGCTGGGGAACAACTTCTCGCCGGACGATTTCATCAGCATGGTCAAATCAACCCAGGTGTGAAATACGACATCCTGGAGCTCGTCTTCGTTCTCCCACCTCATCCGGGAACCACGAGGGTCCCATGAGCTATTGGGGGCAGAATTGACGGAAGCTGACGCAGGAGATGGTGCCTGGGAGTTCAACTTGTGGCGGACTAGGTGTGTGATGTGGCGCGGAATCATGGACGTCCATCCAAGGCGAGACGCAAGTTGCAGAACATACACCAAAAGGAGCTTCTGAATACGTTGGAAGCGTAGACGAGATGCGTCGAGCTCAGCATGCAGGGGTGTTTGCGATGCTGGTTCGTCAATCTCGTCAAAAACACCTAGTTCATACGCCAGGGCAAGGGCATTCCCGAGCAGCATCCAACTCATGCGATCACTCCGATAAGCGGGCTCCAAGATATTCTCAATCCTGTCACCGAGGCCTTCGACCACTCCGCCCTTTGGCCTGGCCCTCTTGGCTCGCCCAGGGTGCACATACTCGTCTTCGTCATCGCTGACATCGACCATCCAGTATCCCTCTTCAACATCCATAGGGAAATGAAGCCCCCGGACATGCCATTCTGTGAGAATGAGTAGCCCTTCCACCGTGCCCAAAGTTCTGAGGCCTTTGGTTGCACTTGTACCACCTGGTCCACCCGGTCCCATGCCGCCAAAACCGCCCATACTGCCACCAGCGTGGGTGGTACCAAGGCCGCCCCACCCACCACCCCACATCAGGCCTTCACAACCACCGCGAACCTCCCGCCAGAGCATATCATGAATTGCATATGATCGAGACGTGCCGCCCGGAGCAGGTAAGATCATATAGCGGGAGGTGATCAAAAGAATGATAGTTGTCAAAAACGGCTCATGCTTCAACAGCATCGGGTGATGAATTGGATGCGTTATATGCTGTAAGTTCGGCGAAGTAAGTGTTGGCGACAAAGGGTGAAGATGGTGATAAAAACTACACGAAATCAGCGATGCCTAACCTCTGAGATTCAAAAGAGGAATTACTATTCTACGTATCCAATTGCCTCTCGGGCAGTGAACCACCCGGCCTTTACAAATCTGAATTTATTCCATGCTCTAATACTCTTCTCCATACCCTCCTTCTCCTTAGGATCCTGAATCGCCGAGGTTGACATGCTCCGCCCGTGCGATCTCATCCCCGGCGACACAGTACTCGTACTCGCGGCCCTCCGCCTGGCATGCGAGCTCGTGAAGCTGCTCCCCGCCGCCTCCGACGGCGAAGCCATCTCCGAGAACCGCACACCCGCGCCAGTGCCTCTCGCCACAGGCGATTGGTGGTTGTGGTGATAGTGGTCACCGTTACTCTGGTGATGTCGGTCTTCGCCGGATCCCTTGCCAATGATTGCGTCGTCACCTTCCCCTTCCGAATCGCTATCGCCCGAGTTGGACTTTGCCCCTGCCGACAAGGGCGTATCTTTCCCGGCGGCCTCGATGAGCGTGAGCAGCGCTTCGTGCGAGTTGTAGACGGGCGTCTGCAATAGTGTCACATCGGTATTGATCGATTGTGCCGACTCGCGTTCGTGCCGTGGCTCCACAGCGGTCTGGATCTGCAGCCTGGGGTCAATCCTATCATGGTACCCTTGCGTCGAGTACGGCGAGCCGTGGTGCCCGCCCCTAGAATTATACTCAGACGGCGGGTACGCCCCCGCCGGGTCCTCGAGTGGCGAGCCGTGGCCAATTGATCTCGGTCTCTTTAGCGCCCCCCCAGCCTCACTGCTCTCCTCGTCCTCACGCTTCCGCACCACGCCCACGCCGACGCCCGCCCTGATGCCGCGGCCGCGGCCAATACCGATTACGGAGCTTGCGTCATCGGCCGTGACGGACGGCGTGCGTGTCTTGCGGCGGGTGGCGGAGAAGTAGCATTCCTTTGACTCGCGGCGGCAGCGGACGCAGGGCGGGTCGTGGGGGGCCTCAACGGAACCGAGGTCGCAGCGGACCTTGCGCTGCCGGCACGGAATGCACGCCTGGTATGTTCGTTTGTGAATTGTTGGAGGTGGGGGAGGAGGAGCTGGCGTTGGGGTGGTGCTGGGGGTAACTGGTGGGTGAGTAGGTATGATGTCAGCCTTGCGAGGACAATGGATGGGAATGGGTGGGAGAAGAGCACTAGAGTGGAAGCCCGAGATAGGAGCGGGCGGATAGTGACATGTGGCAGGTAGGTATTTAGGAACTCCTAGGTATCTAATAGAGGACGGAAGTAAAAAAAGGTAGAGGTAAGTCCCATACCTCCCAGAGCACCTGAAGAAGCTGTTAGGGCAGCAGCTGTTGTAGCAGTAGCAGCAGCTGTAGACGCCGAGGGAGAACTCGCCGACGCAAACCCTACAGAGCCGTTCTGCGTGGCGGCGACCGGAGAGGAGCTATTGTTTGCTGGGCGAGATGGTGGGTGCGTAGAATCGTAAGACATCGAACGAGGCAAGGAACTAGAAAAAGAGATAATTCGAAACTGGGGGGGGGGGGGGGGGGAGTGGAAGCAAAGATCAGAGGGAGTGTGAGTGAGTACTGGGAAAAAAATAAAAAAGTGATGTATGTATTAATGTATGAGGCTCAATGTGGCCTGCTCTTTCTCTTTCTCTCTTCCCTGGGTATCTCGAACTCTTGGGACTCTTCTCGCTGCTCTCAACTCTCTCTCAGTGGCTCAATCGCTGTAAGTGTATGGATTCTGCGAGGGACGGCGGCGGGAGATGACGGTTTAAACCGGGCCAGGCCAGATGTTGTAATAAGAAGAGGGATCGATGAGTTAGTTACAGAGAAAGGTTAGGGCCCCAGCAGTGCAAAGTAAAAGTACAGTAGGTACCGTACATAAAGTCCCACCCAGGCCCGGCCAGGCCTGCCTACACCTACCATGCCCTCCCTCCCTCTCCCTCCTCCTCCTTCCTTCCTTTTCCACCCCAACGTTGCGCGTGCCCTCCCACTGCCAGCAACCCAACACAAAAAAGCAACCCTTACTGTACTCTGCATTACATTACATACGATAGATACTCTTTCTCCGCTGCCTGCCTGCCTGCCCTCACGTGCGGGTTCAGTCACAAAGCTCCGATACGTGTGTGGGGAGGGAGGGAGTTGCCCTCCTCCAAATCCAAATCCAGAAGCAGCATCACACACACTCCCCCACGCGCAACGTGACCTCACGCCCAGGGCTTGTACCTTCCTGGCTGGGGGTGGAGGTTGTTCCGGTGTCCTGGGTGCTGGAACCGGGGCTAGCTGTTTCGGGGAATGGCGTTGGGGTTTATCCGAGCGAGTGACACGGCGTGGAGGTGATGTGTGTTTTGTCTTTGCTTTGAACTCCATTCTTATTCTATGGGGGGGGGTTTCTTTTCTTGCAAGGTGCTACTATTGCTTTTGGGAAGGCAATTAGTAGCAATTAGTAGCAGCAAGTTACATGTAGTTAGTAGCGACCCGCGTTTAGTAGTAATGGCCGAATCGCGGCTAGGGGCAAACGTGCAGGCTAGTATTCTATTCTGTAAATCCTCAAAAAAGATACTCAGTCAGGCAGGCAAAGCAGTGCAAAGCAAGGCGCGATACCGACATTTGAGCAAAACACCAACCAAGGCCAACCCGTGCGGAGGTGTAACAAACTAGTAGGAGGAGCCAACAACGGTCCAATTATACAACAGCCAAGCCGCTCGTTCCCCAATTCGAAGAAGCTTGTTGAGAACCCCAGTGTCAGCCTAGCCTAGCGACCTAGCTAACAACCTCAGATTTCTTCTGATCGATGATGTCAACGTTCACGACACCACGACTCAGCGAACATCACCAAAAGTTGAGTTGCGACGAGTCAGCGAAACGAGACGAGTCGCATAGAAGTGAAGCTTTGCGATTAGTTGGATGTTTGTGATAAGCAACCTTCTGCAAACCCCCGCCTAGGCCTGATCCTCATTCATCACCATCTTCATCACTACGCATCACCACTACCACTTCTTCTATCAAACATCTACAAATTCATCTCCAGACACTATCCAGGTCCTCCTTCTACATCCAAGGCTCACCATGGATAACCTGGGTGGCCCCAGTAGCAAACGCAAGATTGAAGTTATTGATATCACCGACGCCGACGACGACGCCTACAATCCGAGCCCCACAAGGCTCCGCAAAGCCGCGGCTACCATCACGCCCGAATCACAAGTTGAGTACGACAATGAAGCCGAACAAGCGTCCGGCCAAGAGGCAGACGACGAGGTGGAGCAATATGGAATCATAGACGTTAAAATCGTGGGTACCAGATACTATGATGGTATTGCGACTATGGGAGAACAGGTTCTCTTGAAGCGGGAGCCTGGTAATCCGGTATGTTCTTTTCTTCTCTACCTATCGTGCAGTACATGTATTTATGAGAATTATATGCTGATTCACTTGCTATGTAGTTCGATAGGAACGCAATCCAGGTTGATAATGTCTCCGGCGCTACGATTGGCCACCTCCCCAGCTGGATGGCTGCGCACCTGGTCCCGCTGGTCGACAAAAACATAATCCAGATTGAAGGAATTATCGTCGGAAAGAAGACCAAGTATAACATGCCCATTCGCATGGGAGTCTACATCAGCTCCGACCCAACTCGCCGAGAAGAAAATATCCGGCAAATCGAAATGGCCGCGATTCCCAACATTCTTGTTACCCATGCTGGAATGGGCAACATGACACGTGACTCAGTAGGACAGGCAGGGCCCTCGAACCCAACTGGTATCGTTGGTGCGGGCAGAGCACCGCCAATGTTGGGGTTGCCGGACCATAATCTGCCAGTAATCATTGGCCTCGGAGATATGTTCCAGGCCGCCGAAACACAAGCCATGTCCGAGCAGACGCTCTCCGAACTTCCTTCTGCGTCGCAGCCTCGAAGACTTGAAACCTTCCTGCTGCCGTACCAGCTGCAAGGCCTTGCATGGCTGCTGAAGAAGGAGCACCCAGTGCTCCCCACCTCACCCAAGGAAATCGTCCAGATGTGGTCCGTCTCGGGCCGGTCAAAGAAGCTGTACCAGAACGTTGCTACGATGTTTACAACCGAGGCGCCGCCGTTCCTGGCGAGCGGCGGTGTGCTGGCGGACGATATGGGGCTCGGCAAAACACTGCAGATGATCTCACTCATCGTAACTAATCCCACAGATGAGCGAAAGCTGGTGCCGGCTCCGCTGGAGATGGTCGGGTGCACGGGTGGGACACTGATTGTGGCCCCGCTCAGCGTCATGAGCAACTGGGCGAACCAGATTACGCAGCATGTCTCGAAGTGGTCGCCGTTAAAGGTTTATGTCTACCACGGGCAGGGGAGATCGAGGCCTAGTTTGAAGGATTATGATGTCGTGATTACTAGTTACGGTATGTTTCACCCTCTGTTTGTTGTACTTTTCATGTTCTGACGATCATTACCCCTCCAGGCACCATCACGTCCGAGTTCAACGCCAGGAACGGCAACCTCAACTCATTAGTGTGGCGACGCATCATCCTCGACGAAGCCCACTACATACGAAACCCGAAATCCAAGTCGAGTCTCGCCGTCTCCGCCCTTGACGCCAAAAGCCGCTGGTGCCTCACTGGCACCCCGATCATCAACAACCTCAAGGACCTCTACTCCCTCGTCCGCTTCCTGCGCTACTCCGGCGGCCTCTCCGACCTCAGCGTCTACAACAGCGTCATCACCCGCGCCATGAAGCGCAACCTCGCCGGCGACAAGGAGCGCCTCCAGGCACTCGTCACCGCGCTCTGCCTCCGCCGCACAAAGGCAATGGCCTTCATCGACCTGCGCCTGCCCAGTCTGACCAAGCACGTCTACGCCGTCACCTTCTCGCCCGAGGAGAAGGCGAAATACGAGCTCCTCTCCAAGGAGGCCTCCGGCCTCCTCCGCAGATACAGCGTCGACGACTCCGGCCAGGAGGTCTACCGCTTCATCCTGGAGCTGCTGCTCCGCATGCGCCAGGTGTGCAACCACTGGATGCTGTGTAGCGAGAGAATCAAGAGCCTGATGCACCTATCGGGGAAGAGGCTGGTGGATCTAACGCCGGAGAATAGAGCGGCGCTGCAGGATATATTGCAGATTGCAATCGACTCGCAGGAAGACTGTGCGGTCTGTTTGGACGCCCTGCATGAGCCGAGAATCACCATATGCAAGCATGTCTTTGGACTGGAGTGTATCACGAAGGTCATTGAGGTGCAGCAGAAATGCCCGCTGTGTAGAGCGGTCCTATTGACGCCTGAGTCGTCGCTCGTTGAGCCGGCGGCCGAAGACGCGATCAAGGAGGCCCCGGTTGAAGAGACCGAGCATATCGGCTCTAAACTCGAGGCCCTGTTGACCATCCTAAACAGTATATTTCCCTTATCATTCTTCACTATACGTCCTCTAGAAACTAACCCAGAGTATAGACACCCGCAACGCCGACCCATCCGTCAAGACCGTCGTCTTCTCACAGTGGACCAGCTATCTGACCCTCCTCGAGCCGCAGCTGCGCGCCCACAAGTTCCACTTCGCCCGCATCGACGGGTCCATGAGGCCTCGCTCCCGCGACGACGCTATCGACGCCCTCAACAACGACCCCAAATGCACGATCCTCCTCGCCTCGCTCGCCGTCGCCTCCGTCGGGCTCAACCTCACCGCCGCGAGCCAGGTCGTGCTGTGCGATAGCTGGTGGGCCCCGGCCATCGAGGACCAGGCCGTTGATAGAGTGTATAGGCTTGGCCAGAAGAGGGAGTGTGTGGTGTGGCGCTTGATTGTGGAGGGCACGATCGAGGAGAGGGTGCTGGACATTCAGGAGAGGAAGAGGAATTTGGTGAAGACGGCGTTTGCGGAGAGGAAGAGGGATGCGAGGGAGACGAGGGAGGCGCGGATTGCGGAGTTGAAGGTGCTGCTGGCGTAGATGCGGCGGGGTGGGGGGGGGGGGGGGTGGGTTTGGGTTGGTTGGACTGTTTGGGTTGGGGGTTCTCATGGTCGGTATTAGGTTTTCTTGGAGGGTGGGTGGGATTTGTCTGCGTAGTTACCATTTTACCATTGCATCGTTATGAGATGAATACATTACTATTATTTTTTTGAACCTGGTTAAAAGTTGTTCGTATGGACCTGCCTGTACTTGTGTCGAGTAGCTCATCTAGTATCTAATTAAAGATTAACGGGCAGTCTTGAAAGTTCTGCTGGGCAAGATGCTCGCCGTATGTGTGCACCGTCTATATAGTAACTGCAATATTCCCGGCCAGATCATGTATTAGTTAGCGTTATCTTTATCTCGCATATTGTATATTCGCCCTTACTCATACATTCTTCTCTCGACTTCAACAACTCCATCTCTCTATTCCCTAGCAATCACAACCTCTCACTCGCCGCATCCCACCCCGCCAGATTTGTACAAACACACCCCGAGCTTATTGGAAGTGATTATATCTGGGCGCGGGGCACTTTGCACCATGGCGTTATGGTCTACTGTAGTCACATAGCTCTTGAATAGGTAGGGTGGAGTCATGAGGGATCACTCGTTGATGTAGTTCTCGTTCTTTTTTAGGGCGTGGAGCTGGTTGTAGATAGGAAACAGGGCTGTAAGGAATGGACATGTCAACTCTATGTGGAGATAGGGAGCCTAGACTGTCGATTCTAGGTAATGCAATTTGGATGAACTACTCTGCCGAGATGTAGACAGAGCACGCTCGGACGCTATATATTACAATTGCGCCTATAGTTTACAGGATACTAAGGCCCAATTAATCTAAGACATCTTCTCCGCCCTGATATCTTTTGTATATAGCAGTAGTGATATATCCCCGGAAAAACACTGCATCCACAATGGCTGCTTCATATATGGACTCACTGCCCCATTGTGACTCCAGGTCACCGACCTCCCCTCCCTCCACCCCACAAAACTACCCCCATCTCCCTCCACCCCACCTTCCCAACTCAACCCTATCCCTTTCTCGTTCCTGATACCTGATATCTACAACCAGTCACTGCAACACAGTAGATCTGTACGTAAGTCGCCATCCCCACGCTACCCCAACCGACGCAAAGCGGCACCCGAAACAGGAAGGAGGGTGGTAAATATAATATAAATGGCTCAATTACATGTATCTATGTGCGACCTTCCTCTACCCGTGGATATATGTGAACCTAGCCTCGTACCCATTGCATTCCCTACGAGCAGCTCTCTATATCGCGTGTAGTAGATGGTAGTGAGGGACGTGGATGTGTAGCCGAAGCTTGGGCTTGGGGCGCTGGGTAGGTGGGGGCTAGAATAACGGTTTGGATTTTGCGATATTGGCGTGGGTGGCGCTATCAGGGGGGGAAAGAGGAGGTTTGGTGAGGATGAAGTTGGCGGGGTGGGGCGGGGCGGGGCGGAGTGGAGGTTGGGGATTATCACGGGCGGTATTGATGAATGGAGCGGCGAGGTAAGGGCAGGCGGCGGCGATATCAATGAGCTCACCGTCTGCGCAATTGTACATCCCGCTAAAGTTATCCTGTCTCCGGAATCCCATGACGGCCGGTCAAGCAGGAATACGCGTAACGGGTTCGGTCGGCGGTGGGGGAAAAAAAGCAAGAAGCGAATGCGGGCCGCGACGGGCGGGTAGCGGTGGTGGTTGACATAGGCGCAACCCGGCCTGCCCGGTGCTATTATAGCTTATTTTATGCTTTTATTACTTGTCGTTTTCGACACGATACGTGTACCACATTTTGTCTCGATTCCTTCTCTTCTCCGATATTTTTTTTTTGTCTCAATCTCTGTCCGAATAAGCCCGTTTGTGCAATCGGCGGTTTACCTCCACAATGAATGACTTCGCATCCCTAGCATTCTACGCACGGCCGTAGAAAACATCTGGTATCTGGGTTCATGCAGCTAGGCGGTTTACTTCTCAGACATCCCACCCTGTACGTTCGGCCCGGCCGGGGGGTACATTCCCGCTGTTCCACCGCCTCGCCGTCTCTCACGCCCACGAAAAAGACAAAGACAGACACTCAACGAAAGACAACATCACGAATTTCACGAAACCCACAATTCATCGTCCGAGTTTCCACCCTCCAGTCTCGAACACTCACCCCCGCAGCCACACCCACCCCCACCCCCTCCGCCTCCCCCTCGTTTCAACTTAAAGCCAACCTCCACCAACCACCCACCAACGCATCCTTCATCGCATCCCTTCCCAAATCTCAGTCCACCCCGCATGAGCGATCCTCTGCGACTTTCATACAGCCTCCCTGCATGCATGCGCCCTCGAGTCCCCCAACCTCCACCCCAGCCACACAATAAGCCGAGTGACACCCCGTGACGTGAGCCGCCCAGCAACAACACCTCGGCTCGGCCTAATCTGACAGCCGTTTAGTTTACTAAAGCCTAAGCCAAAGCCTCGTAAGCTTAACTTGACTTACCGCCCGAAACACACTAATTGTCTTTTCCCGCCTGCTAGAGTGCTGCGGTATAGAGTAAGTACTAATTTCTCCGGCCGACGACGACCCCGGCTGCGGTGGTCTAAGCGCCATCTGCACTAGCCATTGGCGCTATCTGCTACTCTAAAGTACATGTACTAACAAAGTGCCTCGGCGCGCATTTCACTTCACTCACAACTACATGCCTTGTAGTTACTCGGCCCAACAACAGCACCTCGTCGTTCAACCTGAAACCGCGGGCTACATTAGAGTTTAACCGGGAGCTCGTTAGTTAGGCAGGAACCAATTAGACAACTAGATAGAGTTTGCCCGCCAGAGCAGAGTAGAGTGAATTGTCTTGGCAGAGGTATCGGATAGATTGGGGAGGGTCTTTGGCCCTTGGTTAATCTGCATGGGTGTTTGTTTATTAAACAGGAGTTTCAGGGCATGCCTACAGGCGATGTCCGATCACGCGGTGAGAGGAGAATGGCCTTCCGTTTGGTTTGGTTTGGTTTGGTTTATGGTTATATACAGTAAACGTGGACATGGATGGGAGGTATAGTACTGTGGTGTATGTAGGGTGAGCAGGCAGGAGAAGAGACGGGAAGAGGAGAGGGAGGTATGAGATAGATGGACTGATAGAGAGGGAGGACGATGGATGATAGCCATTACTCGTGCTCAACACGCCAGGAAATTTACACTCCCACCACTGGCGAGACACAACCAAGCCGATAAGTAAAAGAAAAAAAAAGGGATTAATGAAACAAAACCAAAAAGAAGAATAAAAAGAAGAAGTAATTTAGTAGTAGAATAAGAAGAATTCGCAACAACAAAATCCACCACAGCGAAATATACAACTACCCTATCCTCCCTTACACCAAACCCGCACCCAAAGCCACAACAGCCAACACAACAGCCCCCCACCCGGCCTTTACACCCCCGGCCGCAGCCCCCGTTTGCGCCGTCGAATCAGAGCTCGACTCAAATGGCGACCCATTCCCCGCAGCGGCAGCAGACGACTGCACCGCCTCCGCCGACACAACACCACTCCCCGAGACAACAGCATACGCGGCATATCCGCCATAGGCACTAGAAACAGTTGGCTCAGCGCTGTCGTCGAGCGTGAGCTCGGCCGGGATGCTGGCGGTCGAGGCGGCGGAGGAGGCCGTGATGGTCATGAAGCCGGAGAAGGCGACGGTCGTGGGCGTGACGGTTGAGACTGCGCTTTCGGTCTTGGTCTTTGCAGGTGATTGGGTTGAGGTTGGTTGGGTTTCGGCTTCGGCGGAGGTTGAAGCTGGGGTTGAGTGGGAAGCTGAAGAGGACTTTGATGGTGCTGGAGCTGAAGTTGTCGTCGGTGCGGCCGTGGAAGAGGAGGAGGAAGCGGCAGGGCAGAGTACCTTGACGAGGCCGCCGTCGAGGAGGCGGCGGAGAAGGCTGTCGGGTGAGACGAAGGCCTGGCGGCACACGAGGATTGTGTCATCTGAGAATGTGTTCAGGGCGGAGATGCACTCGTCGGAGCAGGTCTTCTTGGCCTTGAAGTCGGCGGCGGCGGGGCAGGCGGTGATTTCCTGGTTGTAGGCGGAGAGGCAGCCGGGGGTCACGGTGTCGGACGGGATGGACTCCAGGTCGCCGAGGGAGAGGGAGGAGACGGAGGCGGCGAGAGCGAGGAGGAGGGTGCTGATGAGGGGGGCGTGCATCGTTGCGGTTTGTGAAATTGTTTGTTTGATGGTTTTTTTTGTTTTATTTGAGATTTGTTTAATTTGATATACCGCCTGGGTATGAGAGAGAGTTTGAGCTTTTTGAAAGAGGGTTTTTCAAAAAAAAAAATTGGGTTTGATATTGGAAATGATTGTGATGATTCCCCAGGGAATTGTCAATCGAAAGGACAGTAAAAACAAAAAAAGGAAGAGGCTGGGAAAAAAAAGGCGACAGCCTGTGTATGTGAAGAATTCTGAAGGAGAGAAAAATCTGTCAAAGATTGGGTTTTCGGTCGTCGAGACTCGAGAATATGTAGTAGGTGAGGAAAGGAAGGGAAGGGATGGGGCAGGAGAGGGGATGTAGGCACTAGCCTCCGGGTACTAACAAACATATTCCCACCCCCCAGGCCCTGCAGATCTCGCAAGATGGGACTACGCCCTTTCCGGATCAGGGGCGCAAAGGTTCAGGCTGCCAAGCGAGTAATGACGTTGAAACGTTTCGAAAATTCTCCTTTGCTCGGGGATCGCTGTTTATTCTACCGTATGTACAGTACATGCTCGAGTTGCCTCTCCCCCTTTCGTTCTTTTGTGGCAACTGAAGCCCCCCCGGGGCAAGTGGTAACTTCTGTCCTGCCCGGTCGGTTCAAGATCTTGCAGGTATAATATTCTAAGTTTGTATTTAGCAGTCAGTCGTTCTTGAAGATCTCGCAGTCTCTCACTCAGCCCAATCCTCCTCTCAGCCGTTCCCTTAAGGTTAAGGTAGACGATAGTCAAAAACAAAAGTTAACCTATCCCGTGCACTACCGCAGGGAAGTGCCGGTTGTTTCGTGTGTTGGGTTCGGTTCCGCCGGCACTGGAAATCTGCTTCGAGGACCAATGACGGCGGAAAGCTACAGCCTGCCCAGAACCAGGTTACTCCACTAGCGGGCCAGGGGTCAATGGTGGCGTGTAACAAAGTGAGCCCTAACTGGCCCTAACTGGGAAGAGGGAAAAAAAGCGGAGCAGCGATGCTCTTCTCTTCTCGAATAACTTGTGGAAGGCGCTAATAGTAGAAAAAACGGTGTTTAGCCGCTCAAGGTTAGGATGAAGGTTGAATTATTACGACTGTACCGACAGGGAATAGTTGACCGGCTGTTACTTGTCTGGTACCGCCAACCAGGCTTCTCGACTGCACAGCATCAGGTCGGTAACCTCAACTGCGATGAATGTGTCTGCCCAGTTAACGGCGCGGGATCTGGACGGACATTGCTCGTACAAATTACAGGATCTTATTTCTGTCGCTCCCAACGTCACCGCAGGAAATGCACGGAGCTTCATAAGGTCATCAGCTCAAAGCTCAACGTACGCATGTAGATCTGCCTCGTTTGCGTTGTCTTGACCCGAAAATCCTGCAATCAACTGGTTGGCCTCTATCGAGGGCCGTTTGCGCAGCGAAAGGGAAATTAGGGAAACGTTGCAATCAATGACCGAAGGACCCTCATCGCGCCTTTTGTGTGAGCTGATGTGATATAGATCTGGGGTTACCGTAATTGTGATGTCCTGATTCGTTGACTGGATCTCCCCTTACTGATTAAAACGGGCAGTTTATCAAGGTAGCACCATGTATACCCCCTCGCATGATGATCCCCGCTGACTGTAAACACACAAGTACCGGTAGTTGGGTCTTGACTGGCTGAGAATATCTAGCACCACATATAGCCAAACATTCACGTGTGGACTGAAACAAGGTGTCCCACTAGATTGTGGGGTCTGCGTAGACGTGCGGGGGGTATTGAATCGAGTGATTATTTATGATCCATACTGGGGTGGCAGCTGTAACAAATATCAACGGGACCGGTCATGTTTGCGTATGTTCTTGGCCCTCGGGATCGGTCACTTCGGCGGTCTGTCACATACAGCTTAGTAGATTTGGTCCTTTGTTAGTATGCGAATATGCATCACATGCAGTATGTACTGGGAGGGAGTCTGCATACCTAGCAAGTACTTGATTGTACAGTAATCTTAGACACGTCAATGGCATCGATAGCTTTTGATAATGCATCTAACCGGAAGGATTTAATATGTCGTGTGTGTTCTCAGAGATGATCTTTGAAAAGCAAAGTAAAGAACCGAGGACGTAGAAAATGTTTTGTATGAACTGATGAGTAGAAACAAAGGAGAGAGAGCGAAAGCTCTCGCTTTTTAAAAGTACAGACAGTTTGGAACTACGTCTAAACTAAAATTGTTAACAACATCCACCATAGGGTGTCCCGGAAGAGATTATAGTCACAGAGTATCACTCGAGAGGACCATGCTCAAGCAATTTCGAGATTTGAGAGCGCTATGGGCGCTTTAGTTTTTAGGACGGATTTCAGTAGCGTTGAAGCGGGATTTGATCAACAAGAAGAGCAAATGGATGCCTGATCTAGCAGCCCTATGACTTATGATACATGCGCCTTGCCGAGGTCTTCCTGGTATCTATTGTCGTTCCGTTTTTTGTCGGCACCTTCATAGTATTTCCGGAAAATTCCAGAGATTATTTCAGTCATCGACATCACCTGGTCTGTAGAGCATCTCGTGTCCTTTTTTCCGACGGATCCTGTTATAACAAAACATCAAGTGTTGGCCTCTTTGGGAATTTAGTCGATCGTATCTTCTTCGGCTTTTTCATCCGAGTTAAGATTTGATATAACTAAACCGCTGATGCCTTTAGGTACTGCAAATAATCTAATGATCTGATAAAAGACTTAGTGGCATGTGTTCTCTAGATCGAGGGACGTGTTTAAACAGGTCGATTTGTGTGTAAAGCACTTTCCAATTTGTGGTTTGCGCTAACAATGAACTGACTGTACTGCATTTACTTTCTCTCATCTTCCACATTAGCTCTACCCCACTTCTCATAGGCTTCAATTCTCACCTATCCGTGTGTCTGAGGATTAATAGTAGTTCTATCCATCAATTTTTGAATGCTCCTCTGTCCTTTCAGTTTAAAGTTGCACACAACAACACCTCAACACACTTCGGATTGCCAGGCACGAAACCCATGAAGTTAAGCAAGTCAGGTTGATAAATCAGGATATTCTGACGTCTGAGGACCTACCCAATTTAATGGCCTCTGACCCCCGACGATGACTATTGCTTAATTGACTAATTATAACTAGGTGAAGGTTTATGGAAGTGAACGAAGCCCACGAACCCAGAGAGCAACAAAAACCACAAGAGATCTTTCCATCCAATGAAAAAGTGACTATCTACCTTTTCTAATATATACTTTGAAACACATAATGTTTTTTTTCTAAGTCCTGTGATTAGTGTTTGATGTTTGTGCGTTTTGGGAGATAGTTACAGTACCTTCACTAATATAACAACAGTTTTGGGGATTAGTTTCTTATCTTCACTAAAATAATGATTTTGCATAGTTTCTTCGCCTTGATGCTTTTTCGTGTGCTGACCAGCTTGATGTGGAGTGCAGTCAATTTCAAGTTCTCTTGCGTTTGTCACATTTTTTGGGTTGCTGATCAATAGCGGCCGGCTCGGGATCTTTACTGAGGTAACTACGGAGATTGAGAAAGAGGGCCTTAGGCATCTTGCGATGGTCGACAAGAAGACGATCTTCATTCCCTTCTCCACTCTCTTCAATAACATAATCCATCACCATAGAAAGCAAATGTCCGGGGATCCGATGGTAGTCAAAGAAAACGCCTTCCGATGCGGTGGTACACTTTTTAGTAGGCAAGACTTCCTGTGGAAAATCCCGCTGTTGCTGATTTGTTAGTTGGACCATCTTTTTATTTTCCTGGTAACCTGTGTTTTGAACAGGAAAACTCTGGGGACTCGGATGACTCCTTTAAAGGTACCGGCTGGGGGACAAAGGGTGGGAATTCGAGAGTGTCATAACTAACCTGCACAGGCACATTTTGGGTAATATATTGATTTGCATAATCCATATGCATAGGTTTAGCTGAGGTGACATGCAGTTGATCCTTATAATTTATCTGCATAGGTACGGGTGAGGCAATCTGTTGGCCCTTATACCCCATTCGCACAAGTGAAGGACTGTTTGGAACTTGCTCTTTGCGAAATTGGGATTTTGCAGGCTGATTCTCAAGAATAGCCGATCTGCAGCGACGTTTGCGTACCGGATTATCCACCGCTGTTTCAAACATTTCGCTTTTCGATTGCTTTACCGCTACCTCCCACCTATGAACCAAGCTTTGGATACTCTTATAATCACCCTGAATATCTTTTGGAATACTCTTTTGCCATTCGATTGCAGATCTTAGATCTTCGACGCTCGACGCTGTACTCGAGACATCATCCCCCGCAAGAATAGATCGGAGGACTAGTTGTGCAGGACAAGCATAGCTGCTGCGATCATGACCATAATGCAGGCAGCTTTTACAAAGATTATCTCCGCGGACGCCGATAGTTCTCAGTGTGCACTTTTGACGCCATAAAATATCAGGAGGAAGTTCATCTTGAGAACTCTCCTCCCATTCTTCCGCAGGGGCGGGAGTTGAATCGACTAACATTTGACTCGTTGATGTGTTTGACGACGATATTCTTCTATAGGCTTGTGGGGTGGAAATAATCTTTTGAGTTTCTTCCTGAAATCTGGGCTGATTATCCACCGCAGCTAATAATGACGCCGAAGTGTCATGGCTAGATGCACCAAAATCTTGATCACAAAAGTCTGATATTCCCTCCCGATCGTCGAAGGTACCGTACAATTGATTCAAATTTTCTGGATAGGTAATGCCATTGTTAGAGTTTTGAGAAGTAAAAGATGATGGCTCGGCGTTATTTTCGAGTGAGACATAAGAGCTTTGACGGGGCTCTGGGGCACGATGTGTGTAAGTTGACCCATCGACCACCTCGGGAGAAAAATTCCTAGGGAGGTTTGTTGCCACATGTGAGTTACTGGAATCTCCTTCCTGGAGGATAGCTGCAAAGGTATCTGCTATTTTATAGTCGACGAATCCTATTGGAACAGACGGAGATGTTGCTGGAGCCTTTGATTTTCCCCCTAAAAGATTATCAACAACTATAAAAATAGCTTTTGAAAAGAACTACTTACACGCTACGTTCTTTTCGATAGTTTCATGCCATTCATCCAGAAGATTCATGATGTTTCTTATACCCTTTACACCAGGACCAACATCATCTACCAGCTTTTGCAATCGCCCAACCTCTTTGGTAACATCATCAATCCTTTTTTTGCGACCTCGAGTTTTCATCTTGCTTATGGCCACCGATATCATCTTGAATGGACAGAGTTTTGTTGAGTTTTGTGTGTGTCCGCGATGCAAACAGGTGGCACAAATTGTGTTAGGGCGAGCACCCAATACTTCAAGCCTCAAATTGTCTGCTGGAGCTGGTCCGAAAGGCTCTATCTCTATTTCCTTAGCTGAAAGTTTAAGAAGAGCATCCTTTCGAGAAATGCCAATCTCTGGTGGGATATAGTCCTGAATCCCGCCGCTGATCTCATCAGGTTGACAGAATTCTTGCTGGTAGACAGTGCCTTTGGTCTCAATCATTGGAATATCGACTGGCTCCGCACTCTTCACTAAAGGTTAGGTCTTAGATCAATGTTTTAGAAAGTTGGGGTTGAATTTACTAAAATCTCAACATTCAGTGTGCCGAACTTTCCAAATTCGAATGCTTCTTTACTGAGTATTGACTTCCAAGCATGAAGCAGAGCTTGAATATCGGTGAGTGCGGTATAAAATATCCCAACTTGTTCGAGATATCCTGTGTCCTTATACGTGATTGCCCATGAAAGAGATTGGCAAATGTAGCCCAGATCTTGCTTTATCAATCCAATGGCTGGTGCTAGGCCAGGAAAGCTGTCATAGCAAGAGTTGCCCGAGAAAAATGATCTGAGGCGGGCAACGGGACAGAAAGAAAAATTGGATTGATAATGCCCCATATGAAAGCATACCGTGCACAATTCACCTGAGTCTTCCCCGAGCACCTGCTCTAACGGCTTTATGGCGGTCATAACAGCAAGAAACTGCTTTTCCTGTGATTTTTCAAACTCTCCAACATCTTGAGGGCTGTCTACTCCAAACATGGTCTCCATAACATCGCTAAAATTGTCACTAGGAATATCCGATACTGGTGTAATATTGTCTGATGAGATTTCAATTGGCATGATCTCGTCTGGTGTGATTTCGGCCGCTGAGATCTCAATTGGCATAATTTTAGCTGGCGCGATTCCAGCTGATGACATCTCCCTTGACATGGTTTCGGCTGGTATCGTTTCTGATGATTTATCTACTGGTGATCCCCAAGTATTATCAATAGTGCCATCAGGATCATCAGGGTCATCAACTAAGAATTCCCTGAAAAAACTATCTTCATCGGTTGCACTACTTGCTGGCCCCAGGGGAGGCGCATCTATGACTGTAACCATAGCATTTGAGTTCATTATTTTTGGTGAGTTCACTGCATGACTTAACAGGCTTCCTAATTGTTCCTCGCTGTAACCCCCCGGAAGGAAAAGCATCGTAGGGTGCTGCTCCATAGTAGCACTGGGCATAATCGTTGGTGGTGTATCTTGGGAGGGTTCACCGCCTTAGATCTTTATTAGACTCCATTGGCGATTATGAGATAAAACTAACAAACACATACCTTTTGAGAAATTTCTACGCCGAACATTCCTCTTACCCCATTGGCTTTCCATGCAGCCAGCGGAGCTAGTTCAATGGCACCAGTAGAGATGTGGAAGGTTTTTGAGGAAGATGATAGGGCCTGACGTTCGAAAGATGGGATGGGATGTCGTGGGTTATCTCTAAAAGGAATGGAGGGAATATTTCAATACCCTTGAAGAGTTCGATAATTTGGGTAGAAGGGATGGGGTTGCGAGGATGGGATAAAGGGGGGATTGTGGTATACTATCAATAGAATGGGAGATCGACTGGACAACCCTGTAAAGAAGTAGGGCCTCCAGCACCTACACTAGCATATTATAAACGAGAAATTTGTATCTATTATTCCCGCTGGTTACTTTGAGCAACATCTTTGATGACTATTGAGAGCGTTGAGACAACTAGAAATCATACATGTAAATTCCTAGCACAGCTGATTACTGGTAAGGTGCATAATCACAGCTAAAGATGAGAATGTTTCACACATATCAAGGAAGCGTACGATTGTATCTATACATGACTAAATGTCTTTTTCAACTTTATATGTAATTTTCTCTTAGATCACGTCAAAGGTTAGCTCCTTCTCACAAAAGTGTGAGAAGAGGAAACATTTATTCTAGACTAGCCTGCCACTCAGTGAGCGTTGCTTGATACATTTATCCTGAGTGTTTCAATAATTCCTGCCCACCAAATCTGGGTGGAGGTTCGCCGAGGAGTCATACTCGCTGTCATGGGGGCGGGCTATTTTATTACCATCAGATTTTGGGTTGGTAAAGACTCCAAATTAATAGTGCCTCTTAATACCGAAGCCATCATCCATTCCACGGATACTTTGTTCAGTCAAGTACGTTGACCTACTTCCTCTTTTGAGTTTTGTCTTCCTTGTTTACATACCACATGTATACATGTAATTTCGGATAGAAATTACAAGTAGGTCAATCATGCCAAGCTACATGTCATATAATTACAAGTGCATGTATGTCCGAGTGATATTCTATGCAAACGAGGAAACAAACTAATCGAGGCGACATACATGTATATATTCCAGTATAGTAGGATATGGAGCATGAAAATACATGTATGCTATATTGACTGGAATTTATATACATGTAGTCAATTACATGTACCCTTTGCTTCTTGCATAGAATATCAAGTTCGTGAGGTTATGGGCACAAGACTAGGCTTAACTTGGAAATTATTTTAAGATATTATGACGTGTTTGGGGGTTTCCTAAGTATGTCGTTGTCGTAGTATGGGTGGCTGACCTCCACGCTACTTGGCCATCCATTACAACGTGCACCTCCTTCTCACCTACCCCCCCCCCCAAAAAAAAAAAAAACCTACATACATCAACCTGCATGCACGTATCCTTCACACCAATTAACAGATTCGATATCAACTACATTCAAGTAGGATATTTTAGACACCACCTGCTCTATTATGCCGAGGTTTAGGTAATTGTCTGTTACGAAATCCGAGAGAAGTACAGCCGCTGAATATTGAGAAACCATATAGAAACTGTACTGTGCCAGACGCACAAAATCCGATCAGTCTGTAAGTAAATCTCTCTCCTCCATGTCTCGATTAACAGTGCTTACTTTTTATATCTATAGGGTATCTTCTAAGACCTCTGATGACACTGTAGAGGGGAATCGAACCGAGGAGAATCGGATCAGCCAGACTGCCAATAGCTTGAAAACCGCAGCTACTCTCACCAACTCAGTGAAAAAAGAAGGCCCTCAAGGTCCCACCAGTGTGCCCATCAGAGCTTCTTTTTTTACCGCACCTTCACCGGAGCCATATGTATCTGTCGGTTGCCTTAAATGTGGTGCCCTAGACCACTCGGCATCAAACCGAAACTGTCCCCGTCCTCGAAAGGCATCCACAGCGACCAATGCAGCAGCCGTAGCCACTCAAATTCCCAAGAAGCCTGTTGCTAGAACCCCCAAGAAAGCAATAGCCGACAATCACCAAATTAAGAAAGCTAAACTTGGGGATAATACAAAGTTCTGGTATTATAAATCCGACGACAGCCAAAGTGAAGAGGAAATTGGTACTAAGAACTCGGATCAAAGGAACCCCATCAAAGAGGAATACCAGGAGCGTCTTTACGATGATTTCAATTCTATAATGGACGGATTATTCAAGCCGACTGGTCAGTTTACCAAAGAACGGGCAGATTTGAGTCCATTGACTGTCACCTATAGGAGTATGGGGGAATATGGGGCCAGTACAACTGAGCAGAACACCACTGATTTGTCCCATGCAGTCATGTATGTCGCCCTAACACCCAAACAATCCAAATTATGCGTCACAAAGCTTACAGAGAAATAGTCAAAGAGTAACTGCGGGCAAAGGACAACTGGACTTGATGGAGTTAAATGACAAGAATGGGTTTGGCTCTTGTCCCTCTATTCAAGAGACAGTTCAAACTGCCTCGGTGTTCTCATCACAGAAGCAAACGGGTATCGGCCCAGATAGGTATTTGAAGGCGAACAAGTCTGCTAGAAATAGGAAGCGGATTTTTCAATCGGTTGTGACCGAGGAAGATGATGATGAGATTCCAATTTTTAAGCACCCCCAGCCAATGTCGGGTTATAAGACAAAACAGCCATTGTTTCCAACTGCCTCTACCATGAAGGCCAAAAAGCATCACGACGGCCACCAAAGTAGGGATTTAAATACTGAGATACTCGATTTGGGCTATTCTCCACAGACCCCCATTCAACCTGCAACGAACCAATCCTTCCTCTCTCATCGTGCCACTAAGGGCCTTCAAAACGATGTAGACGTCAACCATTCTTCTACTCAACCTGATGTTGAGGAGAAAGAGCCCTCCAGGGTATTTAGGTATAACTACATGGGTGCTCGAAATCATATACAGCAACCTAGAGTTCGTTACGCTCCTGACCGAGTGCAAGGTTGGAGGGAGTGCAGGAGCATGGGAACAGGGTTGGAGTAAGATATCGGGATTCTATTGATTTAACAGAGACAGAAGGAGTTGATGATACTACTGCTAAAGGCAGCTTATAGGAAGAACTTGCATGAATTAGTGGTCCTGTAAGCCCAGGTACAATGGTCTTTGTCTCTTGTTGTTCGCTCAGATTGAGTCAGGATCCAAGTATTGTTTAGAGAATGTTAGGATCAAATCCTTTTTTCTTTTCTCTTTCCTTCTTTTTTTCCTTCTTTTTTCTAATCAATTTTCTCGCAACCCAAATTATTTGCTTGCGCATGGTGGAGAAAAGTGCGTTCTTGGGGTCATTATCTTGATAGGTTCCTGGTCTCTTGCAATAATGGCGAGAAGGTCGTTCTCAGGGCCAATTCCAGGTTTCTGGATTGGTTTTACACCGTTGGATTCGTAGTACTACATACGGCATTGATCGGCCCCGGTGTAGGCGTATAGAGTCGAGATTTCCCCCCGCTCGGGACTATCTCAAGTCTCCAGCAATTTCCGGTTTTTTTTTGGGGGCCCCCCGCCCACATCTATACTCTTGAGCACTGAAGGCCATCTCGAGGGCATGGTGGCAGCAGCTATCGGGCCGATGAGAGGCTAGGTTACAATTTGTTTTTTTGCACATGGGCTCTGGTATGGCTTTACTCGGAGTTGGACAGATTGGAGAGGTTAGACAGGTTAGATAGGTTGCTTTTCTTCGTTTGGTTTTCTTTCTTATCATGTCTTTACTCGTCAATCTGGTGTGAACAGGATCATCGTGATTTGGACATTATGAGAATACAGTAGTCAATACCTCTCAAAACTGTTACACCTAGTTTCTCGATTTCTTGAGATCGTATGGCTCTCGTGGCGTTCTGACACTCTGGTGTAGCTACATATTATGTATCTATTAGGGGAACCGACAGGTAGAATGCAGTTGAGATTTTAAATAGGTGAATATGACCGCATAAAATTAGATACTCATGAGAAATAAATCAGTCTCGTGAGTTGAAAGGAGCGCCTTGCATGGATTAGCAGGCTTGTCACAAGACCTGTTGAGGGGAAGGCTGCATAGGGACAGCAATGATACCTATTGTTTTTTCTGATGGTAAAGCGATGGCGCGAACGACGAGATCTCCGAGCACTAAGAAGAGTGGAAGGTGCATAGATGTGGGGAAGGCTAGGGTGCATCATGACCTAACGAAAACATAGGGAACTTGAAAAGGTTTCAGGTCGACCATTCTTGAGTTTTCAGCATGAAAAGTACAGTATACAAGTCTGCTGAGTTGATCCGGGTTTGACCTGGAGCGCGGGTTCACGTTTCATGCATCGTCATGGTCAATCAGACACAGAGTTCATAGTATATGACTATATCAATCCTCAATTTCAATAATTAATTAGGTGCGTACAAACAAAGGAATAAGTCCCAAGAATTTGGGCAAACAATAACGAAGTCCAAAAGAAAACCATAAAATACATGATATGTTACACACGTTAACCATTACCGTTATACAACTAGTCGTCCTTATCTGGATCCCATTTCTGCTTTTAACATTCCGACATTAATGCGAAATCCATCAGTGCCATTCTCGTCAAGGTCATCGATAAAGTGTTTCGTATAAGCAATCCAGTCTTCTCGTCCCAATTCTCTATCATAAAACGTAGGTCCAAAAAGATCACTTAAAATTTCCCTCTTGATCGCTTCTATCGTTTTCTGCTCCGCATCTACGCAGCCGTTGCCAGCGCGCGACGAATGGAAAACAGTTATTTCTTCCAGTCTTTCACTACCTCTCAACAGCGATTCTACGGCCTTGGGGTGAGGCTTCATAGCACCGATATGGAAGCGGAGTGTTTTTAGCCGTGAGCATGCCGATAGAGCGGTAATTCCTGCGGCGGTATAAGGGACTTCGATATCACCCGAGTGCGGAAAGTATATCGTCAATGCCTCCAGATTGGAGGCTCGGGTTGGATTAGCAAGGACGCGTAAGGTTTCGTCCGAAATGCAAGGACAACTAATTTCGCGTAGACGAGGATTCGCAACGACTACTGAGTGGAGATAGCCACGGGGAAGCAATTGGACTCCCTCAACATCGAAGCCTTGCCATTCAGTGTTTCTAGGGTCACACAATTCGAGGACTGTGAGATTGTGAAATTTGATATTGGCTGGGATGTAGTTCTTGGTAAATTCTTCTTGGGGATACTGAAATGTACTTTGTATTTTGAGCCTTTGAAGGGTTGTTCTGCTGGCAAGATCCTCGAATTCCTGGGGTGGTGGGGAGGAATCGATGTGAGTGTAGTTAATGATATTCGAAGGCACGAAGAAGAGGCCTCCAGTAAGTTCGATAGATCTTAGGCCCTCCAAAGAGAGTCTATGATCATCAAGGCGATTGGGTGGGTATTCGTCAAGAATGTCGGTGTATTCATCGGCAATTTTGAGGGTGCGAAGATTTCTTCCATTTCTCTCAAGCACATCATAGAAGGCCTCGATTGAATCAGGATTACTCCTGCTCCAGGCCGTTTCAACGGAAATCGAGGAAATGATTCCCTGCCTCATCTCCTCTAAATTACACATCGCCGTGAGAAACTCCAAGCTTTTTGAGGACACCTCCACGGAGCGAAGTGATGGCAACTTTGAAATAACAAAGCGCACATCTTCCACGAGTGCAGAGCTATTGATTCTGAATTCTTCGACCCAGTTTCCTATGGGGCCAATAAGCATATGTGAACAATATTACAGTCATATGCAAAGTAGAATGGGTTGAATACTAATTGATACTCTCAGGGTCTGAACACCTGACATATACGGCAACGCCCGCTGGAATGCAACAAGCTGCTGGTTGTTGGGATCATCAATGCAGGTTCTAAACAAGAGTTCATCGGTGATCCCGAGCACTCTGACCCATCTGAACTCCGAAAACCCATCCCGAAGGCAGGCGCTTTGGAAGATATTGTTGATATGTGGAGTGCGATATGATCCATTATCACCAGACCAAGTAACCTTGCGGCTAGTAGTATTGGTAGTATCAATCGTGTGATACAGGGATTGCTGGAGTGTATTACAAAGAGTTCTACACGTGTTGATAAGAGCATATAGGGAGCTCGGCTGTAGATATGGTATGATTTCGAGAAGAAGTTCAACTGGTAGACTCTCCAAAGGAGAGGCTTTGTGTGATGGGCAAGGAGCAATAACGTCTGTTGACATCTTGAAATCTGTTTTTCTAAAGTTCCGAAGTTGAGTTAAGGTCTTTCTGTATTGAGCGAGAGTAGAAGATACTAGAGGTGAAAGGCACCTTTAAATACAAGATGTCCATAGCCAGGCCAAGAGTATAAGGGGTAAATCTTACCCATCCCTTCGTGGCTCACCACACAAACTGCAGCAGGGGTATTCTCTACCAAAACTTGCATATTAACGTTCTAGTTAGCTTATACCCCTGCTGAGGCGCAACGAATATTCTCAAATACTTCGGTAGCTGGAAGCGGCTTCCGGCGGTGCAGAACTGCCCGCTTGTCATACCACTTATCGTTAAATTCCTGTCTATCACCACGCCGTTTCTTCGGCAAAAAGTTCTGAATCACGGGAACAGACGAAGGGATCTTCAAGCTCCTAGTGCTGCCAAGCCCATCACATTGCAATTGCCACTCCGGCTCTACAGAAAGAATTACCTCGCTTCGTTAGTCCGATCGATCTTTCGGAGTATTATGACAATAATTCTGGCTTAGAACGCTTATAGACGGTTCTAGTTGCTGGTCTAGAAGCAGCGCTCACAACATCTCCAGGCTGAACCAGGGTTTGGCAAAGCAGGATTTAGGTTGCTACGTGCACTCTACCTTAACCGTAGGAAGGGCCAGGAAATATCGGCCAGCCAATAAAGACACTTACCCGCTTATCAGGTTTTAGAGTACCTTAGTCTTAGACAGGGTATCTATTGGTTAAATTGTTTATTAAACTTGATTCAATATATATATCGTAATAGCTTCATATTCACCAGCTACCATAAGCTTATCATTTACCTGAAAAGAGAAGAACACCTACTCACATAAGCTCAAGATAAACACGCAGTCACTGGTCATCACTCGGCGAGCCTGATATTATGAGAAGGACGTTCCAGCGTGTCTCGACTTATCAGCCATATTTAGTTTCTTTTTGATAGCTCATAGGCTGTAATCTTTATTTTTATTTATTTATATTTTGATATAGTGGGGTACCAGTGTAGAGACATGCTCTCAGGCCATGTAGATTGCCGCAAGCTGCTGGCAAGATATGCGTTTGATTCCCTCTGAAGTGAGTGACATCTCATGATCAAGAGGTCTTGGCGGGCTTCTGTCTTCATCTGTTTTCTGCTTGTTTCGAATCTGTCGCGTTCTGTTGGAATTATTATCCGTCACTCACTCTCGATCCTTCTTTTGCTATTAAATATTTTCTTCTGAACTGAGCGGTCCGACCCTTTCAAGGGAAGCCCATCCTATTGGGATTTTGATCGGCATTGCATGGCGTATTAACCGGCAGTCCCATTTGGAACGCAAATGTACTCGTAGAAGGTAACAAGTACCCGAAAATGCACGTCCTAATCTTCAATTTCCATTGGAGTAGAAGTCAAAAATATACCAAAAACCTGCAGCTGCATATTTGGGTACTTCATGCCTGTCGCGAGTATATTTCTATATATATCCGGACGGAGAATGGTCTCTGCCGTGTTCTCGGACTTCGAAATGCAGTTTCCTAACTTCTTCCCCGGTACCAAGATAGGCGTTGCTAATTTTTATTTATCGGTTAATGCATGCGCGCACCGATAACAACTTGTATCCGTGATAAACACGTTCACTCCATGAAAGCTATTCCAACGCGATATGGGGGGTTGCACGTCTTCTCAGGGCCGGCTCTTTCTCTATGGGTAGCAGCCCAAGAGTGTCAAGAGATGTTGAAAAAACTTATCAGGTCGGTCAATAATATCCTTCTTCGGAGTAATTCAATACTCCGGGTGTTTATAAATCGAATTGTTTTTGTACTTTTGGGTGTTCTTTTTTTTGTTTAGCAAAAATCTGTTCGGTAAAGCGTCCTTTTTGGCTGTTCTAATGAATAGAGCATCGATCACAATAAGGCTCAAGAGCCATGAGGGAATTACTGATAGTTTTAGAATAAGCCCGCACTGAAAAGTGAGTGCAATTGAGCGTTGGGAGATCGAGGCCCATGTAACAAAAACAGAAACATAGAATCCACAGAGCATTGCCGCCCATGAGTTGATATCTGGGGAAGACTCACGGAAGCACGTGCAAGTGCATTTTCTGCCTGAACCTGTCACCAGCAGCAGGGGCACAGATCTTGATAGCTGCATATTTCCTCTCAAATTTTTTATTTCAATTGGTAGCATGCATCCGTGGCAAAATCTTAAATACCTCTCTGTATTGTGATATGCCCTTACATCCACGAATCACCCGGACCGTTATTTGATGACTGATTTTGAGGATCCGTGAGATCCGGGGATTATCGTTCTGGGTAATAGCTATATCTTACTTTCTCACTGCTGTCGATCTAAACAGGCCTTGACATGATAAGAAAGATTAGCTTGTGCCTTCACGTATATGGCCAATTACTCATACTTATCCGGCTTGTCATAAAAACGACAGAATCTACTGCGAATTCGGAACGCTATAGGTACCGATCATGTAAAAGTTGGCGGGGAAAATTGATACTCCACGCTCGAATCAGGCAAATGTGGATTCTGTTCTAGTCCCTTAATTCTGGGAAGTCGCTCGCCGTAGGGTTCGTAGCGGGATCCGTGTATCGGTAATCTGTTCCGAACTTAAGTAGCCGATTCAAAACTTCCAGTCGTGGCAAGATTGTATTGACGCATTAGTACCTGAGTATCGGGTGTTTTGATGCAGAGAGATTTGTTTCTAGATCTAAGATTCCTGGATTTGTCATTGGCTAAGCTGTCAACGTTGTGAGGGATGCTGGATTGGTGACCAATCAGCCGGGTAAGTAACACGTCTGTCAAAGCTAGATTTAGCTAATAAGCCAGTCGGATCCTAGCTAGACCGACCTGTAATGAGCCTACTAGACTGTCGCTAGCCCTGTAAGGGAATCGGGATCTACTCTAGCTCTCCTCTACCAGTCGGTGACAGCTGTACTGGTGATCCGATTAGCTGCACCTCGGATCCATACCAACGATAAGATGAGGTTAGGATTTTACTGAGTGTCCGGAGTGCACCGTCGATTCAGTGAATATTGATTTGGTTTAATACTACATGTACATACATGTAGATGCCCATAGCGCCTACTCTAGCTGTTGCGGGAATTTGGTGATTCACCGAGATCTAGACTTGGTCATTCGTAAAGACGTATACACGTGGAGCTAGTTGTCTACACATTAACGTACCTGCGACTTTGGTCTTAAGAAAGGTTCTAGAATTTGTGTCGTGGATGTTGTAATCATATATTATCACTCGACATTCTGGGATTCTATTTTAGGCTGCTTCTCAGATCTAGAAGACAGTGTAACTTCATAAAATACCAAATATGGTCGACTCATCCTTCAAATGTAAAGAAGTATGCCAATCCAAAGTACCTTTAGAGGGAAAGTACACTCATATCCATGTACCTAAACATATTCTCCTCGCCGAGATAAAAAAACGAAGTCGAGGTATGCGGTAAATGCTATCAACGGTTTAAGTTATTATAAGACAAATTACAGCCACCTACATATAAAATTCCCGACCTTTAAGCCCGCAATTTTGCCTCGTAAGGATTTCTTTTGGCTATATTTCAAAAGCTCGTCTAGTCCTAGTGAGAGCTTATAAAACTATTCTCTTCATATTAGAAACTAGATTCTTCGAACCTTCTTTAGGCCATACGAAATATTTGGGAAGCGCTTGATCTTTGTTCTATTTTAAACTAATTCGGTGGTCTCGGTGGGTTTGGGCATGAAGAATATGTACCTTCGAGCAAGGACCTCAACGCCTAGTGATGAAGCGGAAAGTTTCAGTTAGGATCATGGGAGGTCCGCTGAAGAAATATCAAATTTGATTTAGTTTTGAGCGGGACACAAAGTAGAATCTCAGAAAATCAAGGGTTTACAGGCTACTGGATTCGAACTATAGAATGTGCCTTTGGAAAAGATGACTTATTTCTTAAAGTCTAAAGTTATCTATAGCTAGTAATTTTAGGTACATGGGGCGTTTCATTAGCATCTTGATAAGAACTCTTCATCTTGCCACATATACAAAGTGGTCGAGAGACTTTATGCTGCATTGGCACCCAGCTTAGAGAACACAACTGCTACATCTGCTAAATCAGTAGACAAAAGCCATAAGTCCCAACCTCATCATCCATTCTCATCTCTTTGAACTTACCCAACATGAACTACCCATGGCACCACCGAGTTTCTTCATCAGAATATTCCGCATAGCCCTTATAACAGTTGTCCATGCAATTCCAGCACCATACTGGTCGCCCGAACCCAGCGAACAGCCCCCCACCACTGCAAAGCTCGAAGTCTGCCCTTACCCCCACCCGTCGTCGGGCGTCGTTGAAAAGCCTATTACGCCAAACCCCCATGTTCTTGATCTCAACACCGCAGATGACCTTATCAACAACCTTTGCGCCGAGATAATCCTTATCTTTGCTCGCGGGACCGGCAATCCGGGAAACATTGGTGTCTCCCTCGGATATCCGCTGTTTGAAGCCATGAGAGATGGTCTCAACCAGACTGTCATTGCTCAAGGTGTCCTCCCGTATCCTGCAAAGGCAATTGGCTACCTAAAGGGTGGATCAACGGAGGGCGTGGACAGCATGGTGACGCTGACATACAAGGCACGATGCCAATGCCCAAATTCAGGGCTTGTGCTGGCTGGATTTAGGTTTGTTGTAAATCTCCTATCTTGGAGGGGATATGGCATGCTGACATTGGAAACAGCCAAGGAGCACAGGTGCTACGCAGAACAATAAGCTATCTCCCCGCACCGCTGGCAGACAGGGTTGTGGCGGTGCTGAGCTTCTCGGACAGTAAGTTTCCGCGGCCATTGCCGAAGCCGTGGGATACGAAGCATATATCGTTGTGCCAGAAGATGGATTGGATCTGTGATGAGGAGTATACGGCGCTGAATGGAAGGCATTATTCAGCGCTTTATATTCCGTTCCTGGGTGTGGTTGTGGAGCAGTTGAGGGAGAGGATACGACTGATGCAGGAGGGGAGGAGAAAGAAGAGTGACGAGAGAGAGGGAGAGGACTTTTGTAATTTTAGAGTGTCCCATGCTTCGTGAATGATAATTAAATGGGAGTTTTGATGCACGCCAGTGGGCTTTTGCACGATCAGGTGATTTGGTATAGTCGAGGGATAGCACCCCAGAGCAGTCTCGTTGGATGGTTCAGTGGGAGAAGTCAGTGTGGTTGGTTCGTATAAAGTTTTGTTGCTAATCGCCTCTTCTATTAGCACGCACAAAATCCCAGTCATTCCTTGTAGATCTTATCCGCCCTGTTCGGCCAAATTCGATACACACACATAGAGCCTGCCCTCCTACAAATCGGCCATGACTACATGTAGTTAGTCCCAACCGCTGAGAGAGCGCAAAGTCGCTATTTCCCAGTGATCTGCAGCTTGGGTACTGAAAAACAGGTAAATATGTACGTATAACGCTCTGCCCACCTTTCACCAGCCATTCTTCTGAGAGGTGCTGCCGTTGGTTAAGTAGTCCCTAAATCCTAGTGTTAAGGTTCCTCGAGAGAGACCGTGGTTTCCATATCTTCTCCGTGACGGGGAAGCCCGGGGTTTCGGCTTTTCCACCATTTTGTTTGAGTGGGGTAAGTAGCACGGATGTGCGACCCAAAGCTATGGTTGCTAGCTGACTATCCAGGAAGAAAATGGAAAGAAAAGCGATGTTTGACTTCCATAGCCCACGCACTCGCGAGTGATGGGCTGTGATTAGAGCAGTCATTCATGTATGGGTTGATTCATGTCCGTTTACTCGTTCCCTATGCTGGTATGTTGGCGAAGGTACTGTTACTGAAAGACCGGTGCCGGCACTGCGTTTTGGCGCTGCGCAGTGTTGGTGGTTCTGGTGCTGCGGGGTTGGTGCTGGTGCTGGCACTGCTGTAGCAGGGTTTGTAGAGCGTGATGATTCTTATGAGATTATTGTCTACCAAATTAAGCGCTCCTCTCTTGGCTGGATATCATACGCACGTTAAGACCCCACCCTCGTATCGCCCCACCATCCCGCTGCACACAAAACCATGCAAAGAGGCCGAGCACCAACCCCACTCCCCGCGGAAGGTCCCGAGCAGATATGATCAGCACCGCTCTAGATGTGGCATTGCCCACAATCCTGATTTCTCAGAAGCATAGTTAAGACGTGCGGTTGTGCGGTGATGGTGGTTGTGGTTGTGCGGTTGGTTGTGTATGTAGTTGGTTGCGAGAAGAAAGAGTGGACGGCACAATGTCGCATAGTGTGCGGTGAAAGAGGCGAGTGATGGCTCGTGACCACAACTACAATCAACCTCAATTCTTAATTCTTGTTTGTAGCTCTACCACTTCCACTCCCGCCCACCTTCATTCACAGCGGCCGCACCATGAAAGAAACACAAATACAGAGATGAAAGTAGATGTATTTCTATAAAAAAAAAAGCGCCAACAATCGGCAAGTCCACTAACTACACTCACTCCCCACCACTCCCCGTATAAAAAAAAACACAGAAACCACCAACAAAAAGACAAAAAACACCCCTCAACTCTTCCCAAACTTCGCCTGCCACGTAAAATAGTACAACAACGCCGCAAACGGCTGCCCCACCAAACAAAAGCTGACCCAAAAGATGACATTCCCCACCACGCTCCCCTTGCCCCTGATCTTCTCCAGCGGCTGCGTAATCGCCACCAACGGGATCTGGAACATCATCCCCGCAAACGCCACGCCAATGATATTATGCGTCGGCACGCCGACCAGCAGCTCATGCAGCACCGCCGAGAACGTAAACACGACGATGCTGGCGTTCTGCGGGCTCCACCCGCGCCCCAGCAGCGGCGCATAGATGTGGCGGCGCATAAAGTGGTTGACGGGCTTGTTCCACGTCTTCCAGTATGTGCCGACGCTGCCGCTGTTCCACCAGTCGGTGTAGAACTCGCGGTCGCCGAAGCAGAGGAGCTCGGCGAGCGCGTTAAGGCCCGACTGGAAGAGCGCGAAGAAGCCGGCGAGCCAGATGACGAGGCTGATGGTCGAGAGCTTCATGAGGCGTTCGATAACATGGACGATTTGGAGTTGGCCCATGGCTGGGAGCGAGTTTTGGAGCACTGGGACGGCGTATTGCGCGGAGAGGAACCAGATGGTGATGGAGAGGGCGAGCACTTCGAAGAGACGCTTGAAGAAGAAGCTGGGGCGGAAGGAGGGCGAGCGCGGGTAGACAGGCTGGTAGACGAGGGTTGGGGCGAACCAGAAGTAGGTTAGGTTTGTGAGGGTGATGTTGGAGGGGTAGGGCGCCGAGGCATAGATGGCTGGCGTCGGCGCGGAGAGGAGGTATGCGGTGCGGAGGTCGCGGTTGGTCAGTGCGTAAGAAAGCTGCTTAAGCCAGACGATCACTGTGGTTGTCAGTATGCTAGTTGATGGAGTAGGTAGTGGGGTGGGGCCGGTGGTTGATTCCGGAGGTGGAGCTTCCGGAGAGCTCAATCTCGGGGATTGAGGCACTCGGACACCCAGCACACTACCTCCGGAACACCCCAACTCAGACCTTCGGGCAAAAAGCACTCAAAAGACTCACCAGCATGAAATTCGCAAAAGGTCCCAATCAGAGGATGGTGTATCTTGTAATACACGACCCAATTGGCCACTCCCAGACTCAGCGTCGCATTCACCACATGCGCGCCCGCAATGATCCCCCACGCTGCCCGCAGCCGCAGCTCCTGGTTGTCGTTCTTCTTGTTCTGTGCGTGCGCGCCCCGCGCATGGATCGAGGCCACGAGCTCAATGAGGAAGCCCACAAACAGGTGTGCCGGGATCAGCAGATACAGGAGCACAAACATCTTGAGGTCCTCCCCCCGGAACTCTGATCCCGAGATCTGGACGAGCACGCCGTACTTCATGTAGTTCTCGATCACCAGCCGAAGGTTCCCGACGACTGTGGTAGCAGATATGCGGTGTTAGCGGCTGCCTGCTGCACAAGAGGGGGTTATAGGGGACGACGTACTGAGCACTATCACCATGAGGTTTCTGAAGCCAATAAAGGAGGGGCTGTCGATGCTGTCGTGACTCAGGGTTGAGGTCCGCGGCTGCGAGTGGATTGCATAGATGTGTTTGTAAATGTCGCCGCCGCCGCCGCCATTTTTGCTGCTTGTCTGTGGTGGCGCGACATCGGGGATTGCTTCGGCCGGGGAGGCGAGTAGGATAGCTGTGCCTGCTGATGGGAGAGAGATTGAAGTGGACGTGGCCGAAGTCGACCGGGCGGCCATTCTTACGGAGGAGCCCTGCTATTGACTGACGATCGGAGAGGGGGTGTGGTGTGTGGTGTAGGAAGAATGAATGAATATAGACCAAGGAGAGGAGTAGCAGAGAAGAGAAAGAGAGAGAGAGAGAGAGATAGAGAGAGAGAGAGGTAAAGTGGGCAGAGGTATGGAGAGGAGGGAGGCGTGGAGGTGAATAGGATGGACCGATGGCAAGACTCGGCAATGACGACTCTGCTGCTCTGCACTGATGTTCTTCCTCCCTTTCTCTTTCTCCTCTTCTCCGTCGCCCTCTCCTTGGTTCTCCTCTCCGCACGCACCCAATGGCTTGTCTCGATGTCTCCCCATACCATACCATCCATCCACTCATACCGACCATGCAATCCATCCATCCATACATGCCCTCCTTCATCCCTACTGCTTTACCCCTACCACAACCCACCGCCAACCACGCACCATACCCTTGCGGCTAATGGAATGCATGTGAAAGTTGAAAAATTGATAAAACATTCACACGCGGTAAAGCCCGGCCGATAAGCGCTCCCTTGCGCCCTCGGAGCAGCTGGCCAACCCCCCCCTTGCTGGCAATCTCTCGTCTAACTACTCCAGTCCAGCTAGCTACATGTAGGCAGCAGCTAATACTTCGCTTAGCTAAACCTAGGTGCTCTCTCTCTCTCTCTCTTCTTTCTCTCTCCGGGAATCAACAATTGTAGGTACAATTATCGCGAGTTGGAGAGAGCGAGAGGGGTTTTACATAAGATTATATTAGGCGGTTGATGCAAGCATTTCTACCGGCAGAGCAGCGCAGAGCATCATGTAGGTATATGCAGTAGGTAAAACGTCGTAACGAAAGGGGCTCTTTGCAGACCAAGACTTTCTTTTCTGTCAGTGAGTGAGAGTGAGACCTTTGGATCTTGATCCGATCTGTTTGTGGAACCTTTGTGAACCCGAGGAAGGAGACGGCTGAGCGTGGGGTGGGGGGGTTGTGGGATTAGTCACGCGGTGGGTGGTGCGTGACTGGGACAGGTGCGTGATATATGTGATCTGAAATTACGTGACATGGACACAGTACATACAGTGTTAATATGTGATGAATACGCCTCTTGATCAATACATCTTGAACTTCAAGAGTCTGATCGCTTGGTACTACATGTACTTTACTAGCTATTCGATCCTAAAACAATAGTTACTCAAGCAGATATCAGCACGCGTCAATTTATAGGCAGATCATTCATACTTGATCCACAAGTAAGCCAGCAAGCTAAGTACAGAAAGAAGATATTAATACAAAAGCTTTTCCCAACCATCCCAACTCCACTATCTACATGCAGCACGTATAGCCTACTCTTCACCTCTGTCCATATCATCCCTCCTCCTCTTCCCACCAACAGCCCCACCCCTTCCGCCCCTCCCTCCTGATCTCCCTTCTCCTCGTCCATTACCCTTCTTTTCCTTCTCCTCCCTCATTACCTTGGCAGCTTCTCGCTGCGCCTCTCCAACCCGCTCGCTGAACACCAGTACGTTTTCCTCCTCGCACTCGTACTGGTCAATCTTCTTCCCGAGCGCAGCCTCAATCCTCAGGAAGAGCTCGACGTCGTACTGCGTCACCAAGGAAATACTCCTCCCGCTGCGTCCTGCTCTTGCCGTGCGCCCAACACGATGGATGTACGTCTTCGAGTCCTGCGCCAGATCATGGTTAATGACCGCATCCACGCTCGGGATATCAAGACCTCTCGCCGCGACATCAGTGGCCACGAGGATGTTTCTCGATCCACTCTTGAACTTGTTCAGCGCCCCCAATCGCGCGCTCTGGCTCATCTGCCCGTTCAGCGGGACGGCCTTGAAGCCCAGGAAGCGCAGCAGGATAGCGATACGGTTCGTCTCGAGCACGGTGCGCGCAAAGATGATGATTGTCTGCCCGGCAAGCTCGTTCATCAGGTAGACAAGGTACGTATCCTTGTGCTTGAACGGGATGAACAGGAAGCGCTGGATCAGCGTCGACACTGTCGAGTACTTTGACCCGACCTCGACCCTGACGGGGGCATTGAGCGAGGCGCGCTGCAGCTTCTCGACCTTTGAGGTCATGGTTGCGGAGAAGAGGTAGGTGTTTCGCGTTTTCGGGATGACCTTCAAGATCTTGTCGAGGATCGGGCCAAAGTCCATATCCAGCAGCCTGTCGGCCTCGTCCATAACCAAGTACTTTAGCGTGCGCAGACTGAATCCCTTTGTGTTCTCGAGGTGATCGAGCAGTCTTCCAGGCGTTGCGACAACAATATGCGGCTTCTTCCCCAGCGCTACGGACTGCGTCATCATGTCCATGCCACCAACGATCACGGCGCAGCGGACGCCGATGCCGCCGCCGAGAGCCTCGAATTGGTCGCTGATCTGGTATGCGAGTTCTCTGGTGGGCGCGAGCACGCAGGCGAAGAGGCCGATGGGGTTGTTCCATAGGGACTGCAGGATGGGGAGGGCGAAGGCGGCAGTCTTACCGGACCCGGTTTCGGCGAGCGCGATGAGGTCCTTGCCGGAGAGGGCGGCCGGGATGGAGAGCGCCTGGATGGGTGTTGGGGCCTTGTAGTTGAGGGTTTCGCAGGCGGTGCAGAGCGATTCCATTACGCCTAGGTCGGCGAAGGTCTTTGGCTCTTCGGGTTCAGCCTTTTCGGCGGGTTTTTCCGCGCTGGCTTCGTCTTCATTGGCAGGCTCTGGGTCTGAGTCTTCGGGGTCTGGAGATTGCTCTGTGGAGTCCTGGGGGGCTGTTTCCTTGGATTCTTCTTCCTCTTCCTCTTCGTCGGATTCGGACTCCACTACTGGTGCGGGCTCGGGGATGGCTGCAAGTGCCTTTTTTGACTTTTTGCTTAGTCGCGGGACCTCTTCTTTGGCCTTCTTGACCTCCTTGACGTCCCTCTTGTCTCTGCTCTCTTTCTTTGCGCTCCTCTGTCTCTTCTCCACACCGCCGACCACACTGGCGTGGGAGACCTTTAGCTTCTTTGCCGGGCCTTCCATAGCGCTGTTTTTTTTTCTCGTTTTGGTAGCTATGGCCTATTTGCAAATTCTTGGGAATTGAGGCGGGCGTTGTTTATGGGGCTGTCGTTTGGCAATTGTACTGAGCAGGAAGTATGTGGATCTCCAGAGAGAAGGAAAAGCGCTGTGAAAAGCAGAAGTAGAAAAGATAATTTTAAGCCTCAGGTTACCCTGCCACGGCGGTTACACACACGGCGGGGCAGCCAACGTCACTCAGGGCTAGGGTCCGCGGGTTGTATGAATTGGTGAGAGACAATACGCAGTGATAGAGATAACTATCTGCATACCCGCAATGGCTACCACGAGCGAGTCTCCAATTCTTCCCCCCTCCGCCCCAGACAAAGCAACCCCAGGGCATTCCAATCCACCACCGCCTGAAACCGTCCAGCAATGCCTCACGCTTCTCTCCCGCCGCGACGACACCAGCCGCTTCGTCGGCCTCGCTCTCCTCTCCTCACTCCTCTCCCACATCACTGACCGCACCCTGCTGCTCCAATGCTGGGCTGCCCTACCACCAACATTCCTCGACCGCCTCCTCCGCGCCGGAAAGAGTGGGAAAAAGACCCCCGAGGAAGCCCGCGATATGGTCGAGCTCGCTGTCAGCGTAATTGGCGCTTTTGCGACTGTCATGAATACCGATGAGTACGACGATGCGCTGCTAGGGAGGGCGCTGGGACTGATAAAGGCACTGGAAGGGAGCGCGGCTGTTACGAAGGCTTCAATTCTTAAGACCCTGCTGGCGTTTGCGGGGGTGGGCCGCGGCGCGGATGTGCTACTGGGCATTGAGACCGGGGAGCTCATGAAGCTTGTGGATACGGCGGCGGAGATGGAGATGGCAACGCAGGTGCTGGTGTATGCGTTTGTGAATGCGGATCAAGAAGTAGCGAGAGCTGCGCTCGCCCGTTTTCTGCCGGAGCTGTGTGGGAGGATTAAGGGCATGCAGGGGGAGCTGCAGGCACGGGTGTTGAAGTTCCTGGCAGAGCTGCTGACGAGAATGCCGTCGGAGGTGAGTGCGAGTGATAGCGTGTGAAGGAGTGTGTGTGCTAACGGGGGTGAGCGGTCTACAGCAATTACCGGACGAGACAGCGTGGGTGTCGACTCTCTACGACACGCTCCTGAGTCTGCTAGGCGCCAGACACACTTCTGCGATCCGGCATTCGGGGATCATCATTGCCGCCGCGCTCCTACACCGATACCCGCCCGCACTGCTGTTCAACCCCGCGAACCCCACCGCACCCAAAGACCCCGACGCAAAGCCACCGCTCCACCACTTCCTTCAGCTCACCCTCATCACTCTCCGCGCCTCATTCCCCTCCCTCCTCGAGTCACTAAACACACCGACCTACGCCGCCACCTCCCAGACCCTCGCCGCCGCATACGACATCACCGCCGCCCTCCTCAACCACCTCATCACCACCCCCGACGACGACGATGACGACTCTGCCGCCATCACAAGCACAGCCCTCTCCCCCACAACCCTCCTCCAACTCCGCACCGATCTCTCCGAGACCTTCTCCCTCACGCTCGAGCACCTCCGCGACCGCTGGGACGCCGCCTTCGCCGGCGCCTCCGGCCTCGAACTCGACCTCGAGCCCGGCCACGGCGAGCCCGGCGTGCCCCTAACACTAACCTGGGACCACGCCACCCCCGGCGGTCTCCTCCGCGACCCCATCATCATGGCGTCCGTGCGCGCGCTCGCGCTGTGGCTCCGCGAGGACGAGAGCCTGCGCGTCGAGGCCGGAGGCCTCATGGATTTCTGGCTGGGGCTGTGGGCGCGCGGCGCGGAGGCGGGCGTCGACTACCGCGTGTGGGTCGTGGCCGCGCTGGAGGGCGTGCTGGAGGAGGAGCATGGGCGCGCGCAGTTCGAGCAGTATGGCGGGTGGGGGACGGTCTTTGGGGATCTGAAGAGGATCTATAACGCCCCTGGCGGGGCGGATGAGGATGAGTTGCGGCTGGGCATTGCGGAGGCACGGTTGCTGGCGGAGGTGGTGGCGCTGAGGGGGGAGGCGGGGGAGGGGATGGTGAAGGATGCGGTGGGGCTGGCGGGGATTAAGGGGACGAGGGGGCTGCGGTTGGAGCTGGATGCGGAGGTGTTGAGGCTCGCCAGTGCGTGTGTGGTGAATGTGCACCGGGGCGTGAGGAAGCGGTTGGCGGGCGAGGTGGCAAAGGTGAAGGAGGTGGCGAGGAGGTTGGTGCTGGATTTGTATGAGAGGGGGGCGGCGGAGGAGGAGAGTGAGGTGATGGGGTTGGTAGCGGAGGTGGCGGGGGAGATGGAGGGGTTGTAGGGAGGTGGGTTTTCTCTTTCCTTCTTTTCTTTGGCTTGTGGTGGCTTGAGGTGGTGATGGTTGATTTTGTACAGTAGTAATAGTGGGGAATGGGCAGTGGGTAGTAGCAGTGGGCAATGGGCAGACCGTGTTATGGCAGGCTCAGATGCATCGGTGTGTAGAAGCACTTTCTAGTACTCTACGCGCCGATTAATCTTTTCCTGCCGCAAGAAACGGGATGTTATATGCATATCTTTGGCTCTTATCTTGGGTCTGTGGGTTTGTGTAGTTTGAAGGTGTTTAAAATTGCTGTGGGGTCTCGGGATGCTAAAAATGGGGGTAAAGTAGTGTAATATATCACATTATAATCATGCAGCAAAGGTTATATACCACAGACATTACATGTAGTTCTTAGCTAGGAGTTGGGTATTGCAGCGCTTTAATTTTAATGGATTTTTTTTTTATGGGCTTTCGACTACAAAGGACTCTAATACCAATAACGTTTGTTGTTGTAATGTGGTATTAGTCATTATTATATATACACCCAAAATATTCAAAACAGAGTCTGTTTTAATTTGTGGTGTTTTTATATGACCTTTGCTGGTGGTGGTGGTTGGTGGGCGGGGTAGGCCGCGGGAGGAGCGGTCGAGTGATGATTTGTGATTGGAGCCGGGGTGATTTGAGTTGAAGGCAAAACTGGGCTTGGACGTCTCTCTTTTGGCTTGTCCGTCAACAGGCAGTGTCCGTCAATACCCCGTGAACGAAGGTGTATATAATACTCGCGCGGCCACTCAAAGAACTGTGGCGAGTTATCAGATCAATTACGTTTTTTGTATGTATGAGCGGTTTCAATCCGGCAGCGTGAGTAGGTATCGGGTGTCTTTTCTGGGAGCGTTGGGGTGCGAACACTTTTTGCTATGTAACTACATGTATGTGGGCATCGGGTGCTTTGCTGGGAGCGCGCGCTGTATCGCAAGGGTGCGGGCTCGGGTGCGGGCGCGGGTGGCAACGGAATGTAGAGGGTGCCAGGAGGGATGGGTTAGGGGACAAATTCCACAGCAACCGTAAGAACAGGTACATGTAGGTACTGTGTGTGTGCAGGGATGTTGTGCACAGCAGGGGTTGTGTGCACAAAAGCCGCCAGTTTTTGTGCACAAGATCCCTGCCGATTACATAATCCTACACCAAAACCGTAAAAAACTACATTTCGGAGGGAGACTGTAGTTTGCTTACGTAGGTTGTGGTTTTCTAAACATAAACTGTAGTTTAGATATAACTACCCTACCACATTATTAAATGGGAACCATCGAACTCACCATTTCCTTACGCCCACCAACCACCACCATAACTATGATAATTAAAGCAGGAGATAATTACTTTTGAGCATAAAAATGACCATGACTTTAATACACTTGGTTTTAGCTATTGGTTGTAGCTTTATAGGGTCTCAAGTTTGGTGGGGTTGAATTGCCAGCGCACCGCAAGTACGGTTCCCGATAAATACATATATTTCACCCTTCGAAATGAGAAAGCCAAAGTTTGGACAATTAATAAGTAATCACCAGGACTGAATGCATGTACAACTGTAAGAAGCTAGGACCTTCCAGCCTAATGTCCATCGTTTAAACATACTCAAGCAACCTGGTTTAAGGCCCGGCCAAATTATTTATTGAGACTCGAAACCACAATATGTGTACTAATAGATCACTGTTTTCTGCCTTGGTCGGAATGTTGATTTACTGTGACCGGCGTCATATATATACATGTAGGGTACTCACATGCTAGTTGAAGCTTTTGATAACCTGACGGTACTTCTGCTTTGACTACTATGGTGCACTAGTTCTAGATTCATATTTACAAAAAAAAAGCTGGTCGGGGGGGGAGGTCCAAGGGAACGACATTTGGCCAAACCATACTTGCGAGTCCGTCCTTAGAACGCCATATCAATATACATCGTCCCCCTTTACCAAAATGTCATACCAAGCCCTCGAGACTCAAATTGGGAGTCGAGCGTTGTGGGGCAGAACATGTGTTCAAACACGTTTCAACGGCTAAGCATAGGTGTTAGTTTCAATTAAAGAGCCTATGAAGCTACGCTGCGGTAATCCGCTTAACCTACTCATTATCACTCTCACATTGTAATTTGAGCAATGGAGCCTCGGATCCAGACCCTCGATAGGTAGCGAGACATCGAACACCAACGGCCTGAAAGCGTGCGGTTTGTACTTATATCTATGCCCACTATGAATTGGTATATAAGGCTGTGGATGTCTTGTTCGGTCCCCGGGCTGGAAACGAGATATCCATTACTATCCTCCCTCTGCATTTTAGTCTCTGAAGTCAAGGTTGATATTGCTGCTGCTGCCGTTGTAGGTTCGCGCGGGATCTTGGCAGCGCGATACTACATGTATTTTACTAGTACATAGCTTCAAACTACATCTAGTTAGTAGCAGTCATCGAAATAATAGCAGTAGCAGCAGCAGTGGTTACTCTACACCTAGTGCTAAATACTCTCCTCCGCCATTTATTTACTCAGAGACACAACTTGCTCTCAGACACAAAAATAGAAACGTTACACCGGCGCGGCTGTTACTGAATACCCTTGCCCTTGCCAGAGCAGTCAGAGCTTGCCCCATTCCAGCTCGCACACCCCGGCCCAGCACCGCAACCTCACCGCATAGCTCCCCCCAGTAGGCATTTCCCACCACCGACAGAGCAGCACCACAGTGGCGGGGAGCGGCGGCAAAGTCCTGCTGGATAGACGCCACACACCCGCGCCCAAGGGAGCAGCAAGGGGTTTGTTTATCTAGCTGAGTACATGTATGTATATAAAGGCGCACCATCTCCCAGTATCTATACAAACGTTAACCTCCACCGCATCAAGTCCTCAGTAGCTCTCCATACCATCACCACACTCAGTACAACCCCCCCCCCCCCCACCATCTCAACAAAACACCCCCCCCCCCCCAATCTCACTACATCTACATCTACACCTACATCTACACCCACAGCATGGATTGCATCTTCGAGCAAAACCACCAGCGCATGAGAGACATCATCGCCAGCGTCGCCGCCGGCACCACCACAGCCTCCGCCGCCGCCGCAACACTCTTCCACTGGCTCGACGACATCGTCAACGAGCGGTGCCCGCCCTACGAAAACTTCGGCTACAAAACGTCCACGGGCGACACGCCGCGCGTGAACGAGTTTAGTACGTGCGTAGGCGTCAATATCGTGGACTATGCGTGCCTGCGGGAGGCGCGCGGCATGACCTTCGACGAGCGGGAGACCCACGAGCGGCTGGCGGACCTGGCGCGCGAGTGGTGGAAGCTGCTGGGCACGAGGAAGTGGATTTCGCGGGGGTACCCGATGGCGACGAGCGATAATTGGATGCTGGATAATCTGTGTAATATATTCCCGGATCGGGACTGTTGTAAGCCACCCTCCCCTCCCCCCCCCCCCCCCCCGGGGGGGCCCCCAAATCATCTTTCCCTTCTCGGCGCCATTTCGATGTTGTGCCGTGCTGTGGTTAACAGTGGGCGTGATGACAGACACAAAGTTTCCAAAGGCGGAACGGGATGCCAGGAAGAACAAAGACATCATCAGCTACTACCGCATCATCGCCACGCTGGACGAACGTGGCGGGCTCGACTGGCTGCGGGGTGGATCGGCAGCGGTAATTCGCCCGATCCAGAACGGTGACCCTAGCGACATAAGCATCCACTGTTTCGCACATGTCATGGAGATCATGGGCAAAACGCTCTACAATACGCGCGAGGACTTCTGGGTGCCGGCCACGGGGTACGTCGCGGCTAACCATTGCTTAGAGACTGTGGTCCGCGAGAAGGGGTATTGCGAGGTGAACTGGCAGCCCGTGTTGGCGGTGGTGACGAGGATCGCCGAGGACCAGGACCGTACGGAGGAGATACGAGATGTGGCGAGGAAGACGGCGGAGAGGATGGTGAGGATTGAGGAGGAGGTGAAGCAGGAGCGGGAGGCAAAAAGGCTGGAGGAGGAGGCGAAGAATCCAAAGAAAGAAGAAGAAGAAAAACCTCGAAATGAGGAAGGGGAGGTGGGGTTTAGGACCTACGTTAAAAACTGGAGCGTAGATGCCCCGGCCTCTTAGATATTCATCTTCCCCCCATTGTTTAGAAAATTCGTGGTGGCTACATGTACGTGGTTATCTACACGATTTGTATCATAGAAAAAATTACATTGTGCGTAGACACAGCTTCCTCTAGTTTAACAAGTCAGATCTCCATATTATATTACCCAACCCCCTGTACCATGAGTAACACATACGTGCAGGAGCCATAAATGTTGTGACTCAAATCCTTATAAAGTCTTGGTTCCTGATAGTGCTTGTATAACGATGGGCACGAGTCGACTCAATGTCCCAAGACATGAAGAGACGACCCTGGGGCAAGACGAGATATATATCTCGTCTTGAGACCTCCAAGTGATGCTAAACAATCTAAAACGAGGCATGATTGATTGATAATTCATTAGTTGTGTTCCAAAATGAGGCAAACCAGGTGTCCACTTTGAACTTTGGAGGTTCAATTCATCAATTTTTCGCCAAGGATTTTTCACTTCTGGAAGTCACTAATGATGGAAAGCTAGATTTAACCATGTAATGCTGGGTGACAAACGTTCCTATGATTATGGATGAGGATGCGTCGTGGAACGTAACGGCTAGGAGGACTCCATAACTACAAAAGATCGATGGTTATGTGATTAGAGAGCTGGGGGATTTCTAGAAACATATATGGCTCCTAGATAGTATGAATGCTTTATGAACCACATGTAGCCCTTTTTGAAATGTTGCTGTGCGAAAATCACGGTCACCGTGCAATACAAGTTCTTATGTATGTACACCCCAAATCTAAATTACGTTTAGCTTATATCAGTCTCAAGACTTCCAAGAGACGGAACAAGACGAGCCTTACTCTCGTCCAAAATGGTCTCGCCCATCATTATGCAGGCTGTATACTTGTTGATCTATATTAGCACGAGTCGAGGAGAGAATAAGTATCGGCGTCGAATCAGTCACTGTTCCGCCGCAGGACCTTATCCACCCCGAGGACAACTACTCGAGGGGCCGAAATATGGCAGAGACGCTTTTATAAGACTATGTACATCTTGGCCAGTAGGATTGAGTCGACTGGGTCACCAGGATCATTGGCCTTCAAGCTTGCATAAAGTAAGCCGAGCATCTTTCTTGGCAACTCAACCCACATAGATGACAAAGAATATATGTATTTAGGTGGTGCGGTTTCGAGATCATGATCAACGGAGGGCCGGCCGGGAAACGTTCGAGACGCAAGGTGTTTGAGACTCCAAGGCCATTTGTGGGGGTTGCAGTATTCTTGGATGTTTGTCTCTACTCTGGTCATGCATATCGCAGCAGGGTTGAGACCTTGATTGTGGTGAATCATGGCAGGCATCAAGTACATATGGCTACTAAGCTTAAGTTCATGTGCGTATGAGGCGCTGGTACTGGAGATCAATAGGTTGCGTTATTTCATTCGAACTGTTACCTACATAGTATTTTTTTTTCTTTCTTTCTTATTCTTTCTGCGATCTATTCAGTCTGTTATTTGGATATCCTTTTATTTATAGTATTGTGATATCATTCAGGTTGTCCTAGACTCAGAGCTAGGTTGTAGTTTCCGTTTTACGCACTCCGGCCAGAGCATCCATATCCACCCGCTGCAGGTCTAAGGCACGGTCCACAGATCGGGGTGGAGCCTCAAGCCTAAATAGAGCCTCAAGATTGGCCATGATACCCAGTACATATCCGTTTTAGCAGCTGTACGTATCATGGTAACCAGTTATCAGACAGCTTGAGCCGCATCAGCTACTGCAGAAAAGAAAGACCTGCGTGGTAGATAAAGACCTGAGATAAAACGCCTTCCGGTCAAGGCTTGTACTATGTACGCCTTGATTTTTGAGCACAATGGTAGCTACATAGCAGCTGTCTAGCTATTGGACATTTGCCCTGATCAAGGGTTCGTATGTAGAAAGGATGGGATAAAGCCCGAGCCTGGTGAGGTGGATTCGTAGCCGGTATTAGGAAGCTGTGATGGAGAGAATCCATGGTTGTTTGCCGTATTGTATCAAAGTTACCTTGCGGCGAGGATGATATAATGGGAGCTGGGTATATCGGTAAGCTTTGTCCAGTACGATTGATTGATATTCATTGAGCATGATTATCCCTAACCCAAAAGCGACGCATAAATACCTCCATGCAAGGAACTGATGTTATGGATCGTGTTCCATTTATGTAATTGTGTGTAGCTGGATTCATGATCATTTGCCTTGCAGAGCTCCGGTATAACTAGGTAGGAGCCCCGAGAGTAGCGTTATCCACAAGGGTTGAAATTCTGTGTAGTGTGCTGTTCAGAACATGATCCACGGTCATTCACCTTCCTTCTGTATCAGAAATGGCCCACATATCAAGGGTATCAAAAGCCTAAGTCCTGAAGATGAGGGGTTGCTCTATGTCAATTGATACACATGGAGTCCTTGCGTATCTCCTACTATCAATGCTTCGTAGTATTATCGTGAATTATGCCTCGCCATTTAGCCTTAGTCAATCAGGTAGCTCGAGAAAACACCAATGATCGCTTCAAATAGTACCACATTGGATATTCGAATACAAGGATAAGTTTTAGTAATTAAATATCAACTAGTGATCATGTTAGTAGAGTAGTAATCTCGGCTTTACCGCATGCTACTGTTAACCCCACCTCAACAAGGGGAGTAGACATATTGAAGCGGAAAGATAGGCGTTTGGTACTAGCTTAATTGGATACCTTTACAAATCATTCACTGTGGATCATCAGTGGTCAGAATTATGAGAGTCTATGGCAACTTCTCAAGTGTATAAATACGACCTTCTTCCACTCTATTCACCGCTTCTTTCCCCGCCATCCACCAGCCATTTCGCGCTTCTCTTCATATATTTACTCCTCACTATCCAAGTCAGCAAAATGAAGGTCTCAACCGTCATCCTCAGCGCTCTCTTCTCGTTCTCTTTTATCACTGCTCTTCCTCTCCCAGCGGATACCCCCTCGCTCGCCTATCTGGCCAAAAAGGACATCACAAGTCTAGTCCCACAGTACATAAAACGCCAGGACGAAGATTTCCCAGATGAAAGCGGTCCAGGCGTCGATATCCCCGATGACGAAGATTTCCCCGATGAGAAATTCAAACGCCAGACCGGTGAGGACATCTCATCCGGATCCGATGATGATAGCAGTGGAGATGGCTCGAGTGGCAGCGATGATGAATCCTCCGGCTCCGGTGATGAGGGGTTTGATTTCCTTATGAAAACCAGACGCCAATCCGGCGACAGCGGCGGTGATGACTCCTGGAAGGGGGACGGCGGAGAGAAGCATAGGCGTTAGGGTGGCGCTTCTGTCAATGATCCTGGCAAGGATAATTGATCCGATGTGTCCTCGGTGGGTCGAATATATATGTGGATAGTAGTGGTGGAAATATATGGGTTTATGGGTTCTGTTTTTCGGGTAGCAGAGAATTCATCATGTTTCTCGTTCGTTCGCCTATGTACTTGATCCCGATGTGACTACACGACTCTTTATGAATTTCGGCTATGTAGTGAAGAGTCCCTCCTTAAGAGATAGAAGAAATGCTTTCCCTGCTTGAATCAAGAGCTCATTCGTCCCATATTATCTACGCAGCGTGGCCACATGCTCGATGATCAATCAACATGCCCACCCACACAGCAGAGATTAGATAAATCCATGTATAGAAGAAAAGAGATCAAATATATATCTGCTTTATATATGAACCTAGATCTCTCTCTGAATGTTCTTTCACCCATCTTCAACAAATCTACCTCGTGCGGTGCTGCTTTGCTCGAAAGCATTATCGTGCTCGGCAGGTGCGCTCAAGGCTACTGTAACTATCGCTTGACAATCACTCCGGCTGCATATAGCCTTTCAGAGTGGAGTCAGCGTTCATAGCACCCCCAGCAGGTGGAATATTATCTATGGCCATTCTGGTCGTAAAATACATGCACTGTTCCTATATGATAACGGTTATCACGCTTTTCAAGAACGTTACGCCCCTAAACCGCGCGTAGTTTCGAATTGAACATGACGTTAATTGACTGTTGTGGTATCAAGAAACAAACTTATGTCCTAGTTATGATTATCCGGAATCCTCGAGTTATACGTTTGTCCTTCCTTTTGACTGAGAATTGACGTTTTTGGATTATTATAGCTTTCCTTATAGTAAGCTGGAGTCTAGGAGCGCATAATATTGCAGTCAATCCCTATCCGAGGAATTATATTCACAGTATATCACTCGATCACATATCATCACTCGCCTCTTTGGAATTTTCTTGGAGATAAGAATCTATATTAAGGGCCAAGATAACCGAGAGACGATAGAGCAAAACAGAACTTGACGCCCTCAGGAAGTTCATTATAACCACTGCTTTATATAATTTCGAATAATTATATAACCGTACTGGATTATTTGGCCCCCACAAGGGACCCTGACTTATTTTTACATATACATCTACATATACACATGCATTTATACAAAAACTCCCCTTTCCTGTTAAAAACAACACCAAAAGTCTACACGCACACACCCCGAGATATATAGCTATTTACTCTAAAAACCCTGTCCATCTATCCTTCTGCAGCCAGACCCTAACAGTCCTCTCCACGTCCTTAATACCCATACCGCTCCTTCTCGTTTCTCTCCAGCACCAGTCAAGAACAAGCTCGATGCTTCTCCTCTTGATTTGCCTCCTTTTCCGCCTCTCCGCCTTCTCCGCCTTGTCCTTCAGTTTGTCCTTCTTGCTCAGGTTCTGCTTCGGCATCTTGCCCCACATGGGATCCCACCACTTGCCCGGCACCCAATCATCCTTCTCGTGCTCCGAATCCAGCGCAATCATCTCCTTTACCGCACAATGCATCACTGTCCTAAAGCTGACGCTATCACCAATAACCGCCCCATCCGGCCGCTTCTCACCCCTTGTATGATGGTTATGACACATTTCCATGGCCTTGACACACCCCTGACCCACCGCTACACCCCTCAACAGCACATTGAAAGCCAGCGTGTCCAGCCCCGCACCAGTCTCCAGATCGATCCCCATATTCGCCATAGCCCATTTCGTCCGCGGCACATCCCTCGTCGCGACCGCCTCCCGCAGCACTGAGATCCATGCGTCTCGCGAGATCTGCATCTTCCCGGCGGTTGCCTGCTTACGGTTGCGGGTCTTAGGGCGGCGGCCGGGGTTCTTGGGGTCGAAGGGGATGACGCCGGCGCCCGACTCAACGAAGGCGTAGCCGGCGGCGCGGTCGCGCTCGAGTTCGTGGGTGACGAGGACACCAACGAGAACGCTATCAATGGTGTGGCCGTAGGTGGAGAGCGTGCTAAGAACCTCTTTGGCGGCGGTGAAGTCGCCGAATGCAAGGTTTGCTTTGAGGAGGGAGGTGTAGGTTGACTTCGTGATCCTGCGGGGATCGGTGAGTGCTAGTGCTGTGCGGACACGATCAAACAGCGGTTGGCTCTTTGAAGCCACCGCGAGAGCGAGAAGGGGGGGTGCAAGGTAGGGAGAGTTGTAGGCACTGTCTTGGATAACTGGTGGGAAAGTTTCGCCATCGACTGTGGTGGCATTGACGAGTTCAAATGCATAACCCAGATTTCGGCGGCTCACGAGGAACATGAGGTAGCGGGCGAGCAGTGGGTCGGGAATCTGCTGGATGTTCATTGTGCGGTTGCGCAGAATCGCCCACACTCTTTGAGCTCCGGGAAGGTTTTGCTTGGACATGTGCAGGTCGAGGGCCGTGTAAAACATATTACAGGCCTTAACTCCATTCTCGAACTCGAGGAGGATGGTGGCGCCGGCTTCCATTACTTCTGCATTTTTGGACCAGAGGAGAGCGGGGTGGCGCAGGAGTCTCAGGAGCGTCGTGCGCTTCATGGGTAATGATTTGGCGTATGAGAGGATCGTTATGAACATAGATTCAAGGCCACGGCCCTCGGCGGTCGAGTCCACAGCTGCGTCGACAACGCCAGGGAGAAGAGTGTCAGGCAGTGACAGAGGATGCGTAGTGACCGGCGGTCGATCCAACGAGTGGCCTTCAAGTTGCCAGGGCCCGGCTTTAGGCTCGGGTGTCGTGTAAAGTAGTGCTTTTGATGTGTATTCGTTTGGGTATAATTTACGGTAATTGACGAAAGACCAACCCTGGGAGGCAGCGTGGCGTACAACATCGACTCCAACGTTTCCATACCCTGTTTCGACAACAATGGTGAGTATGAGCTCCAGCCAGACCTCACGTTCAGAATAACTACCCCATTGCGGGGTATCTTTTTGGTGTATGCGAGCCGGCGGTGAGGCTGGTGGTGGGGGTATATCTTTAGTACCGCCGCCCCAAACTTCAAAACGGTGTCTGGCGCGGGGGACTTCGAAACCTCGGTATTCTCCTACAATACCCAGACGTTCAGCTTCCTCTGCAGCCATTGCCTCTTGAGCTCGCCACATTGCGTCGGCCAGTGACGCAAGGATGCGGGATCGGAGCAAATATAACCTTGGGTGGCGCCCCACATCATATAGCGAATCTGGCATGAACCCCGCCGTGTGCAGATACGCCAGGACCTGTCTCACTGTCGCCATCAGATCCTTGTACCCCCGGTCCCCACTTTCAGTCCCAGCCCTTATGACCATCCCAGCGAGTGAGTATAGCACCACGCCATATCCTCTTCTCCGCCTCTCGATATCGCATTTGACCTTTTTATCCCCCAATACCCACAATCCTGAGCGCCCTGCAATTGCGGGCGACGGAATCCCACCACTGTATTGTTTTTCTGCCCTACCAACGTCGTAGTCGCCATCCATCATCGTAGATCCCCGTGTTTCGTCGAATACAGAATGCATCTCCACTACCTCCGGGTACTCGAACCCCGGTTGAATCAACTGCCTCACAATCCATACTGCGATTGCCCACTCGCCTCTCACCACTAGCTCCGCAATCAGGTCATGTTTATGGCCTTTCGCGCGCTCTAGGAAGAGCAGTAGTTTCTCATTATCTGGTGGCGGGACTATATCTGCTTCGCGCCGCCATTCTGGAGGTAAGTATGGGCCTGTAAGGAGATGCGATATCCAGGCGTCTTCGTAGCGTGGGTTCTTGATTGGAGGCTTGGGGGGAATGGTAATGCCATATAGGTCTGGAAAACGGCCGTCGTGAATTAGATCTCCGTGTAAGTGAAATCGCTTCTGACGTGGGTCGAGGGGAGGTTCTCGGGTTTCGTTGGGAGTAGCATTAGTATTGTGGCGGGGTGGGAGTGGGGGTGGGGGGAACGAGAAGTTGATATTCGTGAGCCATTCGGCCGTGCTCTGGTGGCGTGTGAAACTGTGGAGATATGATCAGCCAGCTGCACTGTGTGGAATTGAGGAGGTGGCGGTAGGTGTACTTAAGGGTTGGAGAGGTAGATGTTACGGGTATCGACGTTGTTCTCTTGGTTCTCAAGGCGGTAGTGAGTCTTCGGCGGCCGCCACGACGTATTGGAAAGAAGGATCGTAGTAAAAAAGTACAGGTGAACGAGGAGTTGAGAATTGATCGGGGGGACCGGTGTACGGAGAGCATGACATCTGGGCAGTGGTGTCGTGGATTTGTGTGGAGGTGGGGTTGATTTTTTTCGTTCGTTTTGGTGGGGTTGGCGGCCGTTGGTTGTTTCCCGCTTAACTGGAACCCTGGTACAGGCCATGGATGTGTGGTAGGATCAATTGTTTTTCCGGGATCTGGGATGTTTGTAATGTGGGTTATGGACTTTTGTAGATATTGCATTTAGTATCTGCGTTTCTTTTCGCCCGTTTTGCCTTAACGCATAACTGTATGGCATGTATCGACGTCGTATACGTATCACGTGCTGTGGTGTTTTGCCTTTCCTCTTTTGTTTATGCCCTCTTTTCTTTATTGTTATTTCTTATTATAAGGTTGAGACTTGGTTTAGATACTGTATTGATTTTATCTGCAGTATATGAGCGGAGACACACAATGGGATGCCCATGCCCAATAAACAGATGCCTGCCATGTTGTATCATTTCATTATTTATCCCCAGATAGTGTGGTACCCTCTCTGGCTGCGTTGATTTATTTATTATTATTATTGCACTCTACGTGACAAAACAAACGGTACGCGCATCATATCAGCAGCAAGCAGCTGGAGGTAACATAGGATGTAGGATGTAGAATCCTCCAGGCGCGTCACTCGGTGTGCAATGAATTATCATTTCCGTAGTAGCATCAACGCCCCCATCAAATTCCCATCAATCGCTCCTCTTCATCTTCCTCTGCATCTTCCTCTTCGCCTTTAATTCCCTCTCCCTTCCCTCTTCATCTATTTTGCTTTCTCTCAACTCCCACCCGAGTTGATAAGCTCTTTCTCCCCTATTCTCGGCAAGAATATCTAGATAGCATCAGACGTCATTTCACTCACACCCAACACATACATATACTCACATACATCGTTCTGCCATCTATCCTTCCCATCCATCCATCCACATCCACCACCACCACCACCCCATTCATCCCCCCCCAACCTCCCTCTTTCCTGATTGCTCCCTTTGCCCTTCTCTCCCCTCACCTGCAGGAAAAGAAAAGAAAAATTCTTCTCCCCTATTAGCAAATTAATCAAAAGCAGCACTTTTTTTTTTGCCGCGACTTGGTTATCATGTCCACCTACAGAGCTGGTACGTATCCTCTTCCCTTGCTCCCTCTCTCTCTGCCACATTCCCTTCCCCATCCCAATCCCGACAAAACAAAGAAAGAGAGGGAAAAAAAACGCAAAAAAAAACAAGGCGTCGAAATTGAAAATTATCACGCGCCGTATTTGAAAGAATTTCTCTTCCCATCCCCAAACACATACATCCAAAAATCCATAAACCAATAACTCAAAAATTAGAAGAAATAAAAATAAAATAAAAACCAACTAATCACTACCAAAAACAGAAATCTCAAACGGCCGCGCTGCCTGCAAAGTTGTCGGTTGCGCTAGAGCCAAGATCCCCAAGGGTGAGCTCCGCTTCGGTTCCTGGGTCGACGGAGGCTTCCCAGGTTGGAACTGGCGGCACTGGTTTGCTCCCCTTTCTATTTCTACCCACCTCTCCCCCTGCCTCTTCCTTCCTCACTTCTCCTCCTTCCCCTCCCTTCACACTAGCACTAACACACCACAAGGGGTTGCGTAACACCTAAACAGTTTATCAACATCCGCCAAAAGCTCACGACCGACAAAGGCCTTGACATCACAGCGCTAGACGGATACGACGAACTAACGCCCGAATTTCAAATGAAAATCAAGGTAGCTGTTGAGGCTGGCCACGTTGCCGATGAGGAGTGGAAAGGAGTTTGTTTTCCCTTGGTTGCTCAATTGACGCGATAGACTATGTAGCTAACACGTCCTAAAGGATGTCGCAGAGAACAGACCTGGCGCGCCTGTAAAGCGTAAGAAGGCTGCGAAGAAAGATGACACCGAGGAGGAAGAGGTCGAGGCTGCCACGTTGGAACCCCCTCCCCCTTTCGCTGCGTTTTTCGTGACTTTAGAGGCTATTCCACGTGCTGACGCGATGACCAGTGAACCCGAGAAGCCAAAACGCGGCCGCAAGAAGAAGAAGGAAGTCGAGGTAGAGATCAAGGAGAAGCCCGCCGACGTTCCTGCCGGCGAGTCAGAGGCCGAGGCTGAGACCAAGGCCGCGCCTAAGAAAACTGGCGGCCGACCTAAGAAGGTTCTCGCTGAACCTGTCGCCGAGCCCTCCGAACAAGAAGAGCCCAAGCCGGCGCCTAAGAAGGGCGGTCGCCCCAAGAAGGTGGCCGCCCCAGCAGCTGAACCCGAGGCTGAGGCTGAGGCTGAAGAGGCTGAGGCTGAGGTGGAGGCGGAGAAGCCAGCACCTAAGAAACGTGGCCGCCAGCCAGCGGCTGGAAGTGAGCCAAAGGCGAAGCGCGAGAAGAAGCCGCCATCGGAGCCGACACGTGCACGTTCTGCCAGGACCGCTGCGGTGGCTAAGAAGAGCATGAAGGAGGTCGAGGAGGACCACGAAGACGAGGAGCCGAGTGAGGAAGAGAAGCCTGTTCCCAAGGAAAAGAAAAAGGCAGCACCAAAGGAGAAGGCCACTTCCAAGGAAAAAGCTACCTCCAAGGAGAAGGCTACGCCCAAGGAGAAGACTACACCAAAGGGGAAGGCTGTGACTAAGGAGAAGACTGCGCCGAAGGAGAAGGCTGTTTCCAAAGAAAAGGCCGCCTCTAAGGAAAAGGCTACTACCAAAGAAAAGGCCAAAGAGGAGTCTGCAGCTAAGGAGGAGGCTGCCCCTAAAGAGGACCCTGCCCCACAAGAGGAAGAGGCCGCGCCGAAGGAGAAGGCGACATCTAAAGAGAAGTCAGCGCCAAAGGAGAAGAAAGCTCCTGCCCCCAAGAAGCCCACCAAGGCTCAACTCGCCAAAGAAGCCAAGGAGGCTGCCGCTAAGGAAGCGGTGCCCGAAGCTGCATCTACCGCCACTGAAGCTGCCGGCAAGTCCGCTGAGACCAAGGATGCTGACGTTGAGATGAGTGATGCCGACGCTATCCCAGCCGCCGAGAAGGAAGCCGAGGCAGAGGCAGCCCCCGAAGCCGAGGCCGCCAAACCTAAGAACCGTGGTGGCCGTCCCAAGAAGGTCGTCCCACCCGTCGTTTCTGCCCCAGCTCCCAAGGAAAAGGAAGAGCCTAAACCCAAGGCTACTGCTGGCAGGAAACGCAAAGCTCCTGTTGCCCCCGAGGAGACCACTGAAAAGACAGTTGAGGAAGAGCCTAAGGAGGATGTCCCTATGGTCGGCGACGAAAGCATCGTTACCGATGCCACCACTTCCGAGTAACTGCCCCGTCCCCGCCGTTAAATTTGAAATATGCTAACAAAACCGACAGAGAGCCAAAGAAGAAGCGTGGCCGCCCATCAAAGGCCAAGGAAATCACCGCAACAGCAAAGGCGCCTGCAGCCAAGAAGGGTCGCGCGACTAAGAAGGAGCCCACTCCTGCCCCGGCATCCGCATCTGAGGAGCCGGCAGCGAGCACAGAACGCAAGAGCATCTTTGGCGGCGACGCCGCGGAGCCAACTCCTGCTGCTGCCCCCACGGCCGACGCCGCTGCTACTGAGGCTGCTGCAACAGCCACCGCTACTACCACTGCGTAAACCAATCGCATTGACTCGAGAGGATATACTAAACGTTTAGTTAGGGTAGGATACGGTGACAGAAGATTGGAGTTAGGTGGGAGGAGCGTGATCCGGATTGGAAAACAATTTTTTTTTTTCTTTTCTATTTCTTTCTGTTCTGTTCTATCTGTATTTCTGTCTGTTGTGCGATAGTTTTATATTACCTTCTCGTTCTCCTTTTCGTCCTTTTTTCTTGTTCTGTGTTGATTGTTAGTTTGTCAGTCTGTTATCCTCTCTTGGTGTTGTCCATTATTATTGATTGATTGATTGATGGGATTGATTGATTCATTGGCCTCCCTCCCTCTCTCCTCATTTTAACTCACGCCTTATCACTCACTGCCAGCAAAGGAAAAGAAGAACATATTGTACTATTAACTCTCTCTCTCCACTTTACTCTTCACCTCGTCCAATTGCAATCTAAGTAGTAATGTTTCTTTATTTTCTTTGTTTCGTTGAGAGTGTGCAGTGGAGTGGGTACGGTTGGCGGCAGGCGGGCCGGTATGCGTTTATGAATAAGGATGAGATTTTGTTTTCTATCTTGGAGAGTGCATGAGTGGGAGAGTATTCGAGCGAGGGCGTGGGACGTATGGGGTGGTGTGGTGAGGTGAGGTAAAACTGAGGGAAATGTAGCAGTGGTGATTATGTACGGAACGGTATTATTAGTCAAAGAGGTATCTGAGAGCAGTACGGAGAGGCGGTGGAGTATCTAATAATCGAAGCTAAATTATCTAAACACCATCGGGGCTCAAGGCCCATACCAAGACCAAGACCGAGTGATAGACCATGCGCGAGTGATCAACTGTGATTAGCTGTGATTAAGCTTTCTTCCTAGGGTGCCGCCTGTTCATAAAAAAAAAAAATAGGGTCCCTTTAGTCGGGGTCGGTAAGTTTCTCTAGGCCTGTAGCTGGCCGCCTTCTCTCCCTATATAGTAAACATCGTTGTCACTCTCTCCTTTGTTGTGAGGCCTGGGGGTGTACACTACCACCTCAACGATGGCTCGGTGGGAACTAAGGGTGGGAGACGTAGTGAGGAATAAAACCAACTGTATTCTGGACCGTGAGCGCTCTACTCATATGGTGCACTCCACAAAGGTATCCAAACACCCGCCCTGGGGTAGTCTAACATTATGCACGAGGGCCTATTGCGCCAAATACCTTAGGCCAGAAACACTATCATACCTCTAGTATATGCTCTTGATGGTCATGCTGCTTTCACAGCCAACTAAGGGTCCCACCGGGGGTTCCAATAGCGAGCATCGTGTACTGGATTAGATTCTATCCTCATCTCAGCAGTCTCCCGATATAAAGGTAAAAGTTACTAATGATGATCTCCGTAGGAAGGGGACAATATGATGATACATAATGACCACTTAGGTTTGCTCAATTCAACGGTGTAGAGAGTGTTGTGTCTTCGCCCATCCAGGTTCTGGGCGGCTGATATGGGGCGCTTGTTCGATTTGTGGGAATGCGCGCTGTGTTCTATTTCGAGCGGATTGGGGGGGCAAGTTGTAAAAAGTATTTACATCTGGAGTGACGGCTACAAGTAATAGATAGTGAGCGTGCGCCAAAGAAAGGTGGAACCCAACCCTCACCGAGACATGTCGCTGGTAGATGCGTATAATGGCACTCTAGCTCCCTCTCCTGTCGCCCACACCCGCGAGAGTCATGTGTCACGTTTCAGCTATGTATTGTGGATCACGGAGGATCACTCGAGGCCCCTAGAAAAGGAGGGTTGTTGTTAATTCATTTATTGTATGCAGAAAAAGAGGATGATGCTATTAATTAAGCGCTAGATCGAGCTGGCGATGGCTTATAGTAACGAATAGGGGAATGTTTGCGAGATTTATTGCGTGATGATGGAACGCAGACGGCGGTGCGTTGATTGGGAGACTGGCAAACGCACACACGGGAGAATAAGATGCAGGCCTATCCACTAGAATGCCATGGCCAGTAGCAACCCACACCACAGACATCCAACCACACCGACAGGAAACACGCTCGCCCTACAAAGCGCCCCTCTCAGTATACATGTAACCAGCGACCACTCCCCTCCCTATCACTCAACCACCCAACCCGAAAACCCCGTTTGCATACACCAAACCTACGGGTCACAGTAGATACAACGGCGCCGCGCCTACCATCATCATCACTTTCTTCCTGCTGCTTTGGTACCGAGGATGGGGGACCGGCTATACTATCTTCAGTTTCATAGAACTCTTCACTCATGCGAAGAGGAGCTGTGATATCGTCTTTCAATTTTTCTTAATAGATTGATAACACGACCGACCTAATCTACAGATTCCCTCCTCGTGAATAGAAATAGCCCTACAACATCTACGACCGAATTCTTTTCTTTGCACCGCCCCATCCTCCTTATTCTCTCTTCAAGGGCCAACTCGAAGCTCCCCAGGGTGTATAAAACTCCCTCTATCCGTAAAACTTGAAGAAAGATTTAATACCACCATGGTTCAAAGAGACCATATATGATACCCCGCTAACCTGAGTTATCGGAATGATTTGAGACATGTACTCATCTGGCCCAACGCACTGAGACAGGCCCTTCCTCGCATCGAGCTTACTCCGACACACACTACGCGGCCGCGACGTGAAACCCCAGCCTCAGATTCTAGCCTCGGCGGGAGAGGAGCCCAAGCACGCGGATAAAGACAGATATACCACCATGTAACGTACATGTAGCTATCCCACCACAATCCCTGCCCAATTGCGCTTTTATTCTCGAGAATCGAGTGATATCTCATGCTGCGTGTCATTATCGTTGGGAAGAAGTATCATGCCCCCCAAAATATACCAAAACATAAAAAAAAAGCTTGCTAGCTAGCGATAACTATACACAAAACAACAGCTTTTTTCCGACGAAATAACAGGAGTAAGCCAAGTAAGCAAAGGGCTAATTAAACTAAGTTTCGAGTTGGTAAACGCCGCATTTTATCAATTCCATTTCGTCAAATAAATAAAGAAAAAAAGAAGAAAAAGATGGGAAGCTTGTATGCCTTCCCTCTAAAAATAGATATGTTCAAAACCGTTCATGCCACCGGTTCAGTCCAGTTCACCAGGTCCACAACCTCCCCTGCCCCTTCCTTCGTGTACGAAATCTTCAACCTTAATTTGAGTGGGGGCTATCGCATTGTAAACAGTTAGTGATCATTCATCATCTCATTGTAATTAGGATAACTCACCCCTTTGCTCCCTTGGACCCTCATCGCTTGCGTTGCTTCAGCATCTGGGCTTAGCTCAGCTGTGCTTATTGGCTGCAGCTTTAGAATCTGACTCTTGGGAACAGCGGCTTGCAATGTCACCCCACTTATATTATGTGTGAAGCCGTTGTTTTTGAATCTCGCAACAATGTTCACCGTACCGTCCGCCGTACGCTGGAGTTGCAATGTAATGGCAAGATTGTTCTTGTCATAGACTGGAAGTTGTGCTGGACCTGAAGGTGCCGCGGGCTGTGCCATTGAACCTAACTGGCTTGAAAAGCTCATGGCAGCTGAAGGCATTGCGGATGCAGGATCCTGCTGTTGTACGGGTGCAGGTGAGGGAGTATTGAACAAATCCATGATACTGCTCAAGTTCGACTGCGGAGTTGGAGAAGAAGATGTAGGTGCTTCATCACTTCCACCGAACATGCCTTTCAATAAGTCCTGCGAGCCTCCGTTTGATGGAGTGGGTCCCGGAACCGCGTCACCTCCCATTAACTCAATGAGTGCATCTTCATCGATTTGTTTCTTGGCGCCGCGTTTCCCAGCACCCTTCGGCTTTGCAACCTGTTCTTGTTCAAACTGCCGCGATACTTCCTTAAATACTGGCGGTGGCATTTTTTCCAACACACCCGTTCGAATGTCGTCGTAGCCAAACATGTTACCATACTCGACAGACCGCTGTTGAATCTCGACATCGAGACTATCGGTATAGGATTGTAGAATGCGACGGACTCGTTCGATCTGAGCTGGGTTTGAAATGCGAGTGGTGAGTTTCATAAGTGCTGTGATGATATATTCATTTATTGTCTGCGAAGAATAAGCGCTCGAAAGAATTGTCGCGAGGATATCGACCACGTCTGATTCCTGAACCTTGACGACCAACTCCTCCTCCTCATAATTACCACCCTTCAGGAGCAGGTCTCCATATTCGCCGATGGTCCAAGCTCCTGCTAAAGTTAAGGCCTCTTGTGTAATATCCGCTTTCAACGCCGAAAAAAGCTTCTGTACACAGTAGGTCTGTAGCTCTGCGGAATTGGCGATGAGGCGAATAAAACTCGACAATATGTGCTCTTTAACGTAGTTCCCAGCAAGCTTCAAAACTCGCAACACCGTATCGATATGCCACCTTTTTGTAGGCGCAAAACGCTCAGCAGCAATGCAAATCTGAGTAGTCAAGACTGGCTTAAACTCGTTATTGGAGACCTCAAGGAATGCCAATAATTCCCTGATTAGAACGCGAATGTTGTTTTCGTTAATGAGGGTAAACGATAGATCAAGAGCACGACGACGGATCGAGATATCCGGATCCCGGAGACAATCAAGGATGGTATTACGGTGTCTCTGTACTGCGTTTGGTTCTACGGCGACAACTTTGATGAGAGTATTTAGGGCTACATAACGGATATTGTTGTCCTTATTGGTTAGGAACTTCCCAAGGATGTTGACACCGAGCACGCGAAGACCACTATCTGCCTCAATATCAAGGATAGTGAGTACAGATTCGTAAAGAATCGAATTTCCGACATTCTTCGTCGAGTCTGTGTTGGTTGCCACCTGAGCTAAAATATCGTTAATTTTCTCGCTAACCTCGGCATCTCCTTTGCCCAACACTCGTAATAGCCTTAGAATTTTAACCTGCAGAAACGGATCTGTAATCCCTGTCACGTCGTGCTCTGGTGCGTATCCAGAGCTAGTTAAGCTCTTCAAGTGGCGAACCAGCGCATTTGTAAAGGGCCTGAACTCGTGTACCATGTCGGGGTC